AAATAAGTGCAGTCGATCTCAAAATAAGTGCTCACTGAATTAATGAGGTAAACAAACAATGCCAAAATAGAAGGAAAAATCCCAATTTTTATGTATTTGCGTGAATCCGTGCACCTAAATCGCATACGTCACGCTACTCACCCAAAACTTTAGTATAAAATAACCTTGTCAACTTATCATGTTTGAAAAAAATGTTTTTACCCTTATTCTGTTGTGACTCAATGTGAGTTGGTCTAAGAAAAAAATTCCACAGGGAGAAAAATAGTCGGTCTCAAAATAAGTGCAGTCACTGCAGTCGGTCTCAAAATTATGCATCGGCGACTGACGAAATGAATTAATGAGGTAAACAAACAATGCCAGAATAGAAGGGAAACATCTCAAATACTTAAAATAAATACAAGTGCATCTAAATTTCTTACGTCACATAGTAGGTATCAAAGTAAGTGCTCACTGCAGTCGGTCTCAGAATAAATGAATTAATGAGGTAAAAAAAATGCCAAAATAAAAGGGAAATTGTTTTCGTAAATCCGTGCACCTCAATTGCAACGGTATAGTATAAAATAACTTAGTCAACTTGTCATGTTTGAAAAAAAAAATTCCTGTTATGTTGGTCTAAAAAATTGAAAGAGCTTGTTACGAAGATTTTGATAACGTATATTATATTATTGATTGTCATATGAATAACATTAGTCGAACAGTTGGTAAGAAGTTATCAGAAGCATAGTTTGTTTCAGAAATACGTAAAAATATATTTAAATTATGAAATGTTAAGGCGATCTATTGAACGTAAGAAATTTTACGTGTTGCATATTTAATCGCAATAGAAATTAAAACATATTATACTCATGTTGTAAGTATTTTCTGACCATCAGAATTCTGCAAAACCTTTCCCCAGACCCCAAAGTCCAGTAAATGGCATTTCAGAGACCAAGTAAGCGCCCCCGTGAGACAAAGTCCCCTCAGGCCCAGTCCCAAAAAATTAAAAGCTCAGTTACATAATCTAAATTTTGTTTGCGCCTACGGCGCTCAATTCTATTATGTCCTTATTCTTCAACTCCTCTGTCTTATACAATCTCATCACTATCATATTCAAAGTTACAGTGAATCACCCAGTTAATAGCACCAATAGTGAGTGGGGAGACAGACTGGGGCGAAATTGACGGACGGGCCTCAAGATTCTGTCCCATTTCTTACCCTCTCGTTAAGGAGAATTTGATCCTAGGCCCAGTCCCCAAAAATTAAAAGGTCAGTTACATATCTGAATTTTTTTCGCGCATGCGGGCGCTAGATCCCATTCTGTCATATTCACGGTTATAGTGAATTGCCCAGTTAGTAGTACCGCTGGTGTGTGGGTCGTGGGTCGTGAGACTGTACAAATTAATGTTCTGACAACTATTGCAAAACAGGCGGAATTGACTGGGGCAGATTTCGAGATTTCTGGTTCACAAGAATATGCCCCCCGGATGACCTCAAATGTCAGGATATTGATTCAATTTTTCAAAATTTTCTCAGGTTGCTCAGTGTTATAGCCACTGCCCCTAATGTTCACATAAATTTAATTACAAAATCAATAACAATCATCATATAATATGACATACTTTATGTCAACTTGAATAAAACGGCTTTCCGAAGAGTATATAGGCAATGCGATCTATGTTCTACCGGGACGCCCCGTGTTATAGCCAGCATTTTGTTGACATTCATTGTGGAGTGTGATTGTGGATGGCGCCGAACCACCGCCACCTCTTTTCCCAGCTTCCACAAACCAACGGTGCAAAAGCTGTCATTCTTCTCAACATGAATTACAATATTTCAGCATGTGGGGCCTGTTAAATAATGGGATATATTAAAATCATTCACTGCTCGGGTCTTGATTTTAAGCAATTTGATTGGTTGATACTTTGGGACACGATAACTTGGTAGTTTCATGACATCAATACCTTTAACAAGTTCAATAATGAGCGTTTACTGCTCAGGTTAAGCAGAGCGATAAGAAATTTAACTGGTCGAGATTTTGGAGCTATATAATTTTGATTCTGATTGAAGGAGGGGGGTGAAACTTCGTGTATCACTGTAAAAAAATGAGTGTAATTAAAAACTGTAAGCAGTGTTAATTAAGTGTAAACTTTACACCACAACTTGCGTTTTTTTAAATGTAATACCTTCCCATGGGTAACCAACTAAATGAACTACACTGTAATGTTCTACACTAGTTGGGTGTTATCGGTTTACACCACTAAAGGCTAGGAGTTACCACTATTTAGGTGGCAACTAGTTTCCACCCGAATTGGTGTAAACTACCTTACTATTTTTAACAGTGTTGGCTTGAAATAAATATCCTACAAAACAAATTACACCCGCGTTGGTATAATGATTAAAATGGAGGTGTAATTACAAAACATTCTTGAGGGATAATAAAGCTTAATTTATGTGCAAGCCAATGTGTACACAGGTTCTTGTTTTGTTTGTACCATCTACACAACTAGACACTGTTCTTTGCCAGACTCACTTTCCCGGGGAACTTACTTGACCAACACCAGGAATATGGCCGATAACCGGACAACCCGACATCACGACATCATGACACTTTAACCCAACAATACGATATTTTTACTCGACATTACGACATTTTTACTTTAGTAATGATGATCGAGGCTAGGCCGAAAATTCAATGCTAAAATTTCGGTTTAGAGTGGATCAATTTGACTGAAATTTTCAGCAAATTCCCTTTACATTATCTAGTTTTTAACTATTATAGTGAGAACTGTCAGCTCTTTATCTAATCTTCCATAATGTACCTTTAACAGTCTTTTTGTTTCATTTTCACATTTACTACACTTACGCAGATATGTACATGTACAAGACAACTACGGCGCGATTCCCCCCTGTCCGTGGTACGGGATTGGAAGGGATTTTAAGGACAATGCCCAGTCATTCGGATGGGAGGGAAAACAATAGTTTAAACAATATTTGATTCAACAAACTGAATCGGGTTGAACAACAGGTAAGGGGCTACATGGGCGTAGGGGGCCAATCTCAGTTGGAAGGGGGCGGAGGGGGGGGGCTGAGTCTATTTGCCCGAAAATTTTCTTTGTTACCCGAATTTTCTGAATGAATCAATCATTAACTAAAACGAATTTTCCACAAAGCTGTGATGGTTGTTTATTTTTAATTAATTATACATAGTTATACATTTATAGTTCCATGATATATGGTCGCATTCTCTGATGTTTGTGCCCGAAAAACTGAAATACATTGCCGGACAAATGGGAGGCGCCATATATGTTCTCTCAACAAAACAGTATTTCTGTTAATATATCTGTAAACCTTTAGTTCAGATTAGATTTTAGGCTAACTTCTAAACAAATATTTGAATTGAAACAAAGTATCTATAAATATGTAATTTTCTCACTAAAATAGATATATGGCAAAACCTGTAAGGAAGTGGAAATTGTAAATGAATTGGAGTTTAATGTCTAACTGCTCGGTATCCACGAGATAATGAAGATGTACATAACGCCAGCTATAGGGGGAATTTGGTCCAAACATCGACGTTACGGTCTACTCTCTATTTCGAATTTCGAGTTCTTTCACGTCAAACCCCGGACCTCCTCATTACCCCAGTATATAGGAGCAGAACAGAAACCCCATTTAATTTCATTTTCATTTCATTTCTTCTTCATTATACGTTTTAGTGCAGAACAGTAAGCTTCATTTGATTTCTTTTACAATGTCGTCAGTACTATTTAGATTTGGCCATATTTATTTTAGTGAGAAAACTAAATATCTGTAGATGCTATGTTTCAGGTTAAATATTTGTTAGAACTTTAGTCTCAAATCCTATTTGAAAAAAGGCTGAACTTATATAGACCCTTGTCTGTAGTTAAATCCTATTCAGTTTATCCATGAAGGGAGATAATTCCTTTTACCGTAAATGGATTTCCAAAATTCCGTTGGTTCCCTTGTCCATTATGTTTTCTACATTTTGCTTTAAATCAAAATTTAACCTATAGCATACTCTTTGCATATGATGAAGGCATTGGGTGTTTTTGCCAATATTTAATTGTATGTCAACTTCACAATTTTTAGTATAAATATGGAATTTACTTGACATTTATCACAATTTTCATCTGACCCTAAATCGAGTTATTGTAAACATTTTGCTTGGAACTCTCTGGATTTGTGTTTCTTATAGTGTTATAAGCTTTCCAAAAATGTATAGTTTGTTTTGTAGGGAGGACCTTGAACTTCACGCTAGAAATTTTGGCTGCAGGCCTAAATTAATGTTGATATATAGTTACGTCACTTTTCGACATAGCAAGGGTACGTATATCATGACGTTGAATGGATATTTTAAGTTACAATCGAATAGCTGCCAAATTATCATTAATTGTCTATCGCTAAAATTAAAACATGCCGAAGGTAGTGAAACGTGTCGCTAGAGTTTAATAATGCTAAATGTTGTGAAACTAAATAAGATTTTATAATAACTGAGTATAATGGGTGCTATGTTGGTTACAGATGCATTATTTAAGAGCTAAATTTGCCTGTTGCAGATCTTTCCTTTGGCCTCAAATGTTATATAAATCATTTATGCGACATTTATTTACATACCAGACCCATAATCAACTCTCCAGAACTTCGGATGGTTTTGAATTTCAACAGATTTATGATTTAATTTTAAAATGACAATCGAGACTACACTGTTCTGTAAACGACGATAGTTCCTCACAGAATGAAGTAATTTGACTGAAATTTTCAAACATATTCCCTTTTCATTGTCTGTTATTGCGAGAACTGTCAGCTCTTTATCTAAATCTTGTGTAGTGCATCATTAATTTTCCCTGATTGTATTAATAATACAAAATACCTTTACACCATCATCTGTTATGCATCAATAGATATATTTCATGGTGATGAAGACACCACCCGATCCACGTCCTATTGTATCCACACCTGTGTCATTTTTATAATAATAATTTAAAGATAAAAAAAAACACTTTTTATTTCCTTATATATCATTTTATTACGTACATTTTTACAATCAAACAACTTTTCTATCATATCGTCATACTATATTATTATTAATCAGTATATTACAATATCCATGTCATGGCATTCGTATATGTCTAATTTTAGCGATTACTTTAGTTTTTAAAACATTAAAATTCATGTCTAAAAATCACACTATAACATACATACAGTAAAATCTCTCTAGTGAGACCACTTGTAAATATACACGTATGTCTGACTAACATATACAATGTCTTACTTGTGTTACTTTCACAGTCCGGACCGTGGTCAAACACACAGTATGTGTTCCACCTTATTGTGTTATATTAGAATTAGAATTCAAAGTTTATAGTCATATATAATATGCATTACAAGTAAAAAATATAACATGCGCCCCATTCTATAAAATCCGTATTTGACATAATTATGTTTGCTGTGTAGAAGACAGTCAAAGTATAGAATATACTTTCGTACCCATAAAGAGACTCACATTTTCTGTCACACACAACTTAAAATAAGATACCATGACTTGTGCCAGAATTCTAGTTTGGTGCATTCCTGATTTGTCTTAACTAAAATCTAACAACAGAGTAACCTCCCTTTAAATGTATCACAGCCTTGCCGTTACGAGCCAAGTCCACCTTTCAGTTTGTCGGTGAACCTAAGAAAAGCAATCAAATAGACAACAATTTTAACATTTGTAAAGGTTAAATTTGATCGAAAGAATAAAAGACAATTATCTTAATGAAATGAAAAGGTATACACATTCTAACTAACTAATATTACTGAATTCTAGTACACTTTTTATAATATAAAGTCACTTCAATGTTATTCAAGATTAAAGTGAAGTCCCCATTTTTATAGGACATTTAAAAAAAAGTAGTAGGTTAAAGTAAGTATATTAAACGCCAAAATCTGATCAAGTAGCCTGTTTACCTTGTCTGAAAACTTCAATTCAAATTATTATGTCGCTCGGGAATGATCGATAGATTTGTTAACAGAATAACGTAACAAAGAAACCCCATTATCCATTTGTTCAAGTGACTTGATAATTATGGCCATCACTTACTAATTACTTCAGCAATTATTGAGACATGATTATCAAGACAGTTAGACATAGTGGGTTTTTGAAACATATGGTCAGCCTATTCGGAGAACTGAAAATTGTATTACATGTACTTAAAAAAGTAGAGCTTCAGATAGTTGTACAAGACCAGGTTTACAAACGGCCTTTTAAATCGAAGTAACGAGTGTTACTCACTTACATACCTCAAGAACTACTTCTTTAAAGGTGTTAGGATTTAAAGTTTGAACAGCGGTAAGAAAATAACTTTTAACATAAAACAGTGTATTGATTCTGGCGCAATATGAAAACCACAGAATGCGCATATTGTCGGCGTACTTTTACCAACTTTTGGCTAAACCTATACTAAAGAGCCTACTTATATCAAAATTTACATTAACTATGTATATTTACATCTATCTAATTGTCGGATATTAAATATTTTGGTGATATGATGATGAATTTAAAATAATATCACTTTCCCGCAATACAATATCTCTTGAGATATGTTAACAGACTGACCTAGTCGTAGCGACATGGATTTTTAAAATACAATTAATCCTGTAGGTACCACTTTGGATTTTAATACATTGAACACGAAATGACGAATGATCGTGATCTTAACACAGTTAACCCGAAGATTTTAATACAACTGGCCTAATGGCATAATTTGTGATAATAATACAATTTTCAGCTTAAAACATAATTTTAGTGTTCATTAAATCACCAGACACAAGTATTGCAACTAATAAAGTATCCTTATTGACCTGGTGGTACAGTTTGTAAAATTTATACATTTAACTAGCGGTACAACTTGAGATTTTAATACATTGCTCTAGTAATATCTACTGCAATTTTAATTAGACTTAGTGGAACTGATCGAGATTTTAATACATTGACCCAAGGGTCTCAAGTGAGCTATACATAGTTTTCTATACGTTTCATCATTACGTACATTAATTTCCAACATGTTTAGCTAATTTTTTCGTCTGTTTTTCTGTTCTGTAAATCTATGGTTTGTACATTAGATCGGCGGCATTCCTATGATATGGCCCATTGTTTGATCGATATCTGTTTATGGACCATACATTTGATCCATGGTATTATTTGGCTGTTGTTGATACATCTGTGTTGGCATCCTTGGTGGCTCCTGCATGAATAATCGGTCCCCGCCCTGGAAAAAAAAATTAGTAGGATAACAGGAATGCAGCTATGATGATTGGAAGCACAGAAAGTTTACTATTGTCATAAAAATTAAAAACGTCTTTTCGAAATGGTAGGTTAAAAATTGGCCGAGTTTTTTCTTATATTGCGATTAGCGATCGCTTTTGCACCCCATTGGTAACATCTTTCTGGCTAAGACGAAGAATCTTTCAAAAAGTAAGTCAATATCATATTCATGAAGCAATGGTTACGGGCATTATCAACTCATTAACCACGGCTAAAATTACTATGGTACATTGGCGTGTGTGATTAGTTATCCTGTCCGCAACTAAGAGGCCAAACACAAAAATTGATTTGCCCCTTGTGTTGTCACGACTTGATAACAGTCTCATCGACACTTCAAGTCGCAATGTGTCTGGTACTGCTGTCTGGAATGACATGAAGTATACATTTCTGAAAAACTTAATCGATGCTCGGTAGAGTGAAGTATAAACGATATACACGAAGGGGCAACATGTGGCAAATTCTTGACCAAAAGCACGTATAAGGTTCATCATGAAAAACTTGAGATACACAAGCTGGAAGTAGAGACTTAAGTAAACATGCAATTTTCAACCTAACCAACCTCTTAACTCTTGTATCTTTCCGCCTCAAAATCATGAATATTCAACAAAACATGGCAGGGAATGTATATTCAAAACCTTTTCTTCAATTCTACACCAAAAAAGTCAACAAAGATCGCCATGCAAAAGGGGGAAAAGGAGAAATGGGGAGAAGGACTAAAAATAGCTTTGGCCCTTGAATATTTGGTGAGCTGTGTCCTACATCTAACTATGTAGGTATTCAACCCAATAACACTGGTATAGTCTACTTTTACCATTGTTAAAATGTATTATCAGCCTTAATAGACCCCATGAGACAAGATGAAATGCCATAATATGTAGACAGACTAATTGTTTTACTGTAATTGCTACCAAGTACTACTCGGGCTCCGTTTTTACTATCCGATAATAACCTAAAATATAATAGCCAGCGCATTCAGGTTATATATAATTTTTTAGCTTAAGACAACTAAGCAATAATAAATTTTTAATCTAATGTGTGACGGAGAGTTCTCTGACCATAAACTATCGAATAGCCATGATTAAAGGGTTAAGTAAATGATTCGACTTTTTACAAAGTAAGAAAAATGTATCCATAAGGTTAAGGGTATGACAAGACCACTTTGAGTAATTAAAGTTCCGTTTCTAAAAACATACACACAACTTTACATGATTTACAAATTTCTTTGACCCCGACATTTCCCAACAAGGTATTAAAACCATAGAATAATTGCCAAGCTACATCTTTTAGACATCATTGCACTTAATATAATATTTTACTTACAGTGCTGGGCGAAGACCAGTCAGCAAAATTTCCATTATAATTAATTTCATTATTATAACTCCCTGCATTATCTGAAAAAAATAAAATACACGAGAATAAGTGTAGCACTTAGTGTTGAACCATGCAAAAACATCTGGAAGGTCTACGCCGGAATTTGAACTCGGAGTATAATAGTTCTTTCTAGAACAACCCCTGGTTAGCATGCCGATTTATATTGTATTAAAATAAAGTGTTTTTTTTTAAAAATCCCGCTTGTTTCCGCAAATACATTAAAAGGCACTACGAAGTACAAGTTAAAGGTTTTACTTACCGCGTTTAGGCATGGTTGTTGGCAATGTGTTTATTCCTTCATAATGGGTAGCTCCATATCCTGTTTGGCAGAAATAATATTAAATATTTAAAATTATATTATACAAGTAAACCTCAATAAAACAACCATGCATGGTATATAAATATTACCTGATCTCCTCTGTGAAGTGCTCTCTTACCATCTGGGAACACTGCATTGGTGTGCAAATAAACTGATATATATAATTGTCGGGGCTTCTGGATAACTTTGTGTTTTCTCTTTGAATGTATATATACTTTACTATCCATTTATACCCTGTGTTACTATGCTTTGTAAATTTCGCTTTTATAAACATTTTCGCCTCGAAGATGCAACATGTGATGGGGATCTTATACAGGAAATATCTGTGGGGAATATATTATATGTTCACATAACGGACAGATTAGTATTCATCTGTTCATCCAGATTTTCCGACGTGGTTCCCTCTTGTCAGTGATGCAGGACGGAGAGCCTGACAATGACAGCTGTCTAGTCGTTCGGATGGGACGAAAACCCGAGGTCCCGTGTACACATTAGCGTGCATGTAAAAGATCCCTTGACAGTTGGAATTCGATATAAGAGTAGGCCGTAGTGCCGCTGTCCGGGCAAAATCTTCCTCATAGCGCAGTGTATGGCGTATGCCCGTCTTCATTAGCCCAGTTCAGAGCAGAACAGTAGGACGTTAAACCCCATTTCATTTCATTTCATTTCGTATTCATCTGGATAGCGCTTGCATTCTTTATGGAAGTTTTATGTATATCTGTGAAAGATTCTGCCACTCACGACTTGCATTGACATTTTGAATTGTCTGTGATGTTGCATTGGTCGTCTGCTAGGAATTACGCTAACATAAAATGGATATTTTGATGGATAAATTAACAAGTTTTTCCATCCAGGTTACTCCGTAGGTTCGTTATAATGTCGGATGTGGATACGGCACAGCTACAAAGATCTGTGCCTATGCTATCTATTACTAAACGTGGACTGTAAAATAAATTCTAATTAATTAATACCCCGTTAATGTCGCTTAATAATTCAGATAAATTTCAATAAGAACTGTGTTGCGTGAAATGCTAGAAAGCAAGCGCACCAACCGTAATTGTGATGCTTAAAAAATAAATATAATGTACTTTATCCATTAAGAAATTATTAAAATCAATTTACCTTGGTTATTTCCTTGATCATAGTCAGACAAACGATTACTGGATAAATCCCTAGCTAGAGCGGAAGCTCCCGAGGGTACCCCATGCGGTGCCAAGATAGATGCTTCCTCTAAGATCTCATGAGATATTTTTTCTGAGACATGTGAAAAGTAGCCTCGTCTTTCAAGGTAATAATTGGTACCCATATAAATAGCCAAAACGAATATACAGGTTACACCATATACTCGGAATGTTATAACACTACCTGAAAGAAATTTAGAATCGTCGTTTTAGAGAAAGTGTTTTATTGAATATGTATTCAGTCGGAAGTCCCTTTACGCAGTTATTTCGGCAACTACTATAATCTCAGTCTGGTATAAATAGACTAAAGTCATACTATTAATTGGGCGAAGGGATGGGGGATAAAGTAAGTATACTGAAACTGTGTCTCCGACACACGTAATACAAATCGTATTTTGACGTATCCGCTAAAGTCTTGATCCTTCTCGTTTGATAAGCCACGTTAATTTAGTAAATTAAAGTCTTAAAATATCATTGGTACTCTACCAAGAAGTCCATGGAGGTCGGGAGGAGTATCTACACCATCCAATTCCAAATGAGAGAGAAAGTTTTGTGGAGTTTATTTGGGTGACCTTTCTGATTTTACATTTTTACGTAAGGCGTAAGTATTAAGCTTTACCGCTTCACAGATCATTTTGTAAATCTCTATATTTAACAAGTTGTGTCATGAAATCGATAAACATCTTTAGATGATTATACTGTTGTAGAGTTACGATAAAGCTGAAGCCAAGTCAAGATTAGATTTAAGTTAATGTTTCAACTTAATTACAATGATCAATAATTCAACCCGTCTCTAATTAGATTGATTTTCTATCACGTAAATGGTTGAAAACTTTGTAACCATGCTTTGAATGTTATGGAAAGAAGACTTTAGAGTGTTGAATATAAACACGTTAAGAAGAGTTGTTAAAATTTACAACAATCTAATCCGTATGCAGTCAGCAATGTATTAACTTCTGTTAACATTATGCTAATGCATGTTCGAAAAAATACTGCCAATGCGATATTTTAAACGACATTAATTTCTTGATTAAGCTGCATTAGATCTTTCTACAAGAAAACAAATTTCATTAATTGTATATAATATCATGTCCAAAAATAACCCCCGACTCATATAATCATTGAAAACCTATATTTGGAAGAATTCAATCAAATTTTAATAGCCTTTTAATAGTCAAATAACGGCAAATTAAAACTTATTATTTTAGCGAATGGACAAAATCGTCAATGTTCTAATGCTTCTTTAAATCCATTAAGTCAAAATATGGAACAAATTCATATGTTATTCTTTTATTTAAACTGTCAAGATATCAAAGACCGGTTTTCAAAATAATCTATGCCATTGCCTGATTCGTGGGCGCAGTGAATAGGTAATTTCCTGTCAGGGGATTATATTTATGATAAAATGATTATTATATAGTTTATCAGTAAAGTCACGCAAATAAATGGCATTTGTGTAAACGGAAGACCAGCTTAACCTAAGCACTCACCATAATTATAAACAAGGACACCGCCAAACACAGCACCACAACCTCGACCTAGACCATGATGTAGACCTTGTAATATACCTTGAGCTGAGGATCTTAATTCTTTAGGTATAGCTTGTGTAATATATGAACAACAGGCTGCCCACACAGCAGCATGAGTTAATCCTGCAAGAAAAAAAACAAGATCATGAAAACAATCATTGAACTATAGTCTCGGACCATAACAGGGAGAGTCAAAAATCCCAATAATATTTGTATTGGACCACATTGAAGTTGCTGTATTCACTGGTTGATATAGCAGGAAAATGCGATTGCGGCAGTTTAATTTTCAAAATGTTATCCCGACGGTCCCATCTCTATGGACTGTAAACGATTAATTGGTTTGGTTGATTGAAATTCAAGCCAACCATCTTAATTAGGCTATATTATTATAGATCACTTTAAAGTTGCTGAATTCTGGGGCTAGAATAGCAGGAAAACGCGTTTGCGGCCGTCAAATTTTACAAAATTTTCTTGGGGGTCCCTACATGGTAAGCTCCGCTCCCCGCCCTCGCAGGAGACTGGCGTCGCCGTCTGTAACCCGTATTCTCGTATTCGCATAATGGTATTGCAAACTGCTTGTGTGATTTTGTTTTGATTTGTTAAGTCTGCTTCCATTAAAATCTCTTAAGATCTCATCGCAGAGGCGTATTTACTCCTTTCGAGAAAGCAGTGTCACAATCACGGCATTTGTTCAGGGGCCATCTAATGTAAGGTTACGCACAAATTCAGGAGTAGCTATATACGTCATAAACAACGTGAGAGTACACTATCCTAAAGGAAAACACTAAAATGCTTTTGATCAGGGAGCAATTTTATTATGCCATTAAATGACACGGCTATATGGTTTGTCTGAACTAATAACAGTTCATTATTTTCCTTCCATCCGAGGTATTCAGTAAAATCAATACTCAGGGTTGAAATATGTCATTTAAAATATATGATATTTGATCGATGGCAAGTGACACGAGAACAGTCTGATTATATTGTGACCAACTTACGATCGTCAAAACAGTTTTTCATATGAATATACTTTGACTCTTGAAGGGTGTTGTTAAATCTGGTGTTTGTTAAGTAAAGCGATATACCCAATACTACTCAACGCCACCTAATACTAACCTAATACTACCAAATATTATCACATACTACAAAATACAACACAATGCTACCAACTATTGTCACATACTTCTCCATACCCCCCAATCATAATCAAATACTATCAAATTACCACTACTACTCAATACCACCCAATACTACCCAATACCATCTCATAATTTAATCATTCAATATCAATATTAATTCTTGGAAATTTAGCATCTGAAATATTAACCTAATATTACCAAATCCCCCCCCCCCCTCAATTCTAATCTATTAATAAAATTGTTTATAAGAAAAAATATAAGCAGAAACCAACCATTCCACGTGCTCACGGAAAAAAAACAGTTGTATTTCTAAAATGAGCTTAATTTGGCTATAGGTATTGAATATTTTAGCGCAGGAAGCAGAGTATTCTTACTCTATAATATCTTACTTAAAGGGACAATAACACACTTGCTGGCTTGACAGCTTCAGAAAATAAAAAATAGCCTTATTCTAAGTACTAGATGTGTTAGTATCCTATCTGTTTTGTAAATTATCCATTAAATCCTATTTTACTTGTCCAGAGGGTTCAAAAACATTTTTAAATCCAAGTCACATTTGAAAAGCTTTACGTCAGCTTTTCAAATCAATTAGTTGAATTTTTCCAATTTTTTAAATTAGGTGTGTTAAGATGAAATTTGTATCATCAATTAATTGGAATATTGTAAAATAGTACAATTTATTGACCAGTATAAAGATTGGGATATATTATTCAGTTACAACAAGAGTGGTATTGAGCCTTTAAGTCACTACTCATTCATTTTCGTCTTCATTAGCCCAGTTATAATAGTGAAGAACAGGTAAACTCCATTTCATTTCTTTTCATTTCTTATTTATTTCAGGAAGTTGGAATATACTAATTATTTTTTCTGGACTTTGATACGAGTTCAGGGAAAGGTTACTAATGACTTCTCTTATTTTCTGCCTGTAATCACATTGTTTCGTACAAATTACACTATAATTACCGTAGACCATTGTTCATATTATCTCATAATTAAAAAACCTGTTTTCTGGGGGTTATTAATGATTACTAATTATATGATCTCACTGACAAAAATGATATTTAATTGCCAGGTGACGTGGTAGGAAAACATAAAAACATCCTCATGTAAATATTATTATTAAAGTCTCCGATCGTCATTTTTGAAGAATCCGTTGAAAATTTGACAACATTTGAGATATGGTCAAATGCCAGTGTCACTTATAATCTGCGCTTTAATATTTTGATAGGCCTTTTTTTAATCAGACTGAATCAAAGTCTACCGTTGATATTTCGATTTTATTTTCTTTAATTAAAAGTTAAATAATGAACACATTTTGGCGTGGAAAATGTTTATTTTCCGAAATTGTAAATCACGCACAGAGACTTTAACGTATTTTATTGTTGATCATAATTAGTTCCAATTACAGCCCAATACTTTCTCTAGCATGAATATACTATGGGACAAGTTGGCGGAGTAAAATGAGTAGGGCTTGGGGCCCAGTTCCTGTTCAAAAAAGAATGAGACTGGCAGTATGTAATAAAGTATCACACTTACCTTGAACAAATTCAAACGGTAAAACCCATTGCGGATTATGTAACCAAGATATATACATAAATCTAACAACATTTCCTAATAAACCCGCATATAGAACTTTAATATGACCTGAAATTTAAAACATAATCAGTACAGGGCGTTTAACTCTAACTCAATATTACAACCAATATAACACTTGACATTAAACACACGGATTAGTATTCAATATTGGTCATGTCAATCAATACTGTTGTTATTTTACCGTGAAAATTTCAGCTCCTGTAAACCAATAGTTAAGACGAAATGAACATTTTAAATTTAGTTCCCGACTTCGGGCTGTCTATGGTCTCGAGGGCCATCTGTCTTGAAAATACAAATGGCTTATCCATAAACGACAAAAATAAGATAAACTTTGTAGAGTAGGCAATAGGCACAAACATTTGTCATTCAGTTTGCACTGCTCACGTTTTTCAACGCACATAATAAACCCGGTTAGAAATAAAAGCTTTAAAAAACCAATGTAAATCAGTATATATTACATTAATAATATGTGTTTTTATAAACATTTTAAGGTTTCCAAGAATAGATCTATACACCCTTTAAGATGCTTAAATTTATTAATATTCTTGTATTCTTCCTCGAGATATCATTAGTTTAAAAGAGTACATATTTCTAGAAGGAAATTAGTTTCTTTAAATGTCTGGGCATTAAATTTATTTCTAGTGTTATTAAAATATATATCACATTTATCTCCTACATCCAGTATTTGTCTTTATACGGTTGTCATACCGTGATATTATAGTAATCTTCTAAAAGAAACATACATCAAACTGTCACAGCGCAAGCGATAAACCAACGGCAGATTTCAGGGTTCATGGTGATTGTTCAATGAATAATTCATAACGCCAAACAGACGAATCAGGATGATTCTATTAATGGAATTGCTATAATCTATAAATATATTTGTGACTGTCGCTTGTCTGTCTGTCTGTCTTTCTGTTCTGTTCGGGGTTGGCGGCTACACTAGGTCTGCCCCGAGTCTGGAATTTGATGTATAGTGGTAGCTCGGACCGGGGAATAACATAGGCCAGGTGGCGTTAGTCTACAACTTCCGGTTTCGGAGTTATGACATCCGAGCGAAGCCGGTCTGTTCGGGGTTGGCGGCTACACTAGGTCTGCCCCGAGTCTGAAATTTGGGGTATAGGGGTAGCTCGGACCGAGGAGTAGCATAGGCCAGGTGGCGTTAGTCTACCACTTAATTCGGTTTCGGAGTTATGACCCCCGAGCGAAGTCTGTCTGTTCGGGGTTGGCGGCTACATCTGCCCCGAGTCTGAAATTTGGGGTATAGGGGTAGCTCGGACCGGGGAGTAACATCGGCCAGGTGGCGTTAGTCTACCACTTCCGGTTTCGGAGTTACGACCCCCGAGCGAAGCCGGTCTGTTCGGGGTTGGCGGCTACACTAGGTCTGGCCCGAGTCTGAAATTTGGGGTATAGGGGTAGCTCGGACCGGGGAGTAACATAGGCCAGGTGGCGTTAGTCTACCACTTCCGGTTTCCGAGTTATGACCCCCGAACGAAGTCTGCCTGTTCGGGGTTGGCGGCTACACTAGGTCTGCCCCGAGTCTGAAATTTGGGGTATAGGGGTAGCTCTGACCGGGAAGTAACATAGGCCAGGTGGCGTTAGTCTACCACTTCCGGTTTCGGAGTTATGACCCCCGAGCGAAGCCGGTCTGTTCGGAGTGTTCTAGGAAGAAAGGAAGAATGATTGAAAAGGAGTTTAACGTCCTACCGTTTTACACCAATATAAGGAATATAAAGAAATGAAATGAAATGGGGTCTAACGCCCTACTGTTCTGCTCCGACTGGGATAATGAAGACGGTCATACGCCATACAATGTGCTATGAGGAAAGCTGCACTATGGCCTACTCTTATATCAAATTCCAACTGCAAAGGGGATATTTTACGTGCAAGCCAATGTATACACGGTACCTCCGTATTGCACCACTGACAAGGAGAAACCACGCCGGAAAATCCCAAGGAACTTTCTCGGCCAATGCAGGATTCGAACACGCGACCTCCAGGCTAGCGAGCCAGCGTCTTACCTACTTAGCCACCGTGGCTCCGATAAGGAATATAATTATAATAGAAATAAAAATGGATATATAATTATAAGCAGTTTCAATATAATATATATATATATATACATGTCACGATGATAATACAACGGTATATCCAAAAAGTTTCCAATAGGTGTTTGGTTTCATTTTTGGTTGTTTAATAACTGACTACGTAATTTTAAATTTTGAGTATTCTCTCGTTCAAAACATGCACTTTATTTACTCCACTAATTCATCGAGATTACCTTCCTATGCTGGTAAAATTCAGCTATGAAATGTGAAAGGTTTATTACAAACTTGTCCAAGATATGTTCAGAGTGATCTTACTATTTCTTTCGGGAGTTACGCACAAATAAATAAAGAATATTGGGTAACCGAGGAATAATCCATCAAGTATCTCGTTATATAAGACATGTCTGTTTCGTGTTATGTGATTTGGAATATAAAACAGATTGGTATTGATTATATAATATGTTCAAATAAAAACAGAAGTGAGTGGGTGTTATAATATGTCTCGCTGGTGTTCAATTCCAAAATAATTAGTTAAAGAAGATGTCCCAGATATATTTTAGTGAAAAAAACGGAATTAATGTGGGGTGAAGGATTCCTCGAAACTTCTGTCCTAGTCCTGTGAAGCTATCTGACGCTCGGTGACACCCTTTCGAATAAAAAGAAACTTTCAGTTACCATGTAGGGTAGGTCAGAATTCTTGAAATTACAGGTCGTGTAAGTCCCTGGATAGCAACGTATATTTGCCGGAGAAAGAATGATAAGCGCACATCGAGATTATCAAGACGCAAATGAAATAAGGTTCGAAATCACTTAAATCAGTTACGTAAAAGTTAAGCAATTTATTTCTAAAGGGTCCAGTATCTTGATTTGATATTTCCAGACAAAGTAAATAAAGTATTATTGTTGTTTTTTTGTTGTTTTTTTTTTTTGGGGGGGGGGGGGGTATTTACCTACATTAACCCGCGGTGTCCTGTGAAAACTGGGATTGCTACTTTAGCCAATTACATTTTTACACAATAAGACATGGGCATATTGGGTGAAATTGATTGATGATAATATGGTAACTCGTCAACTGAGATCTGAGTTTACACTGTAGTTTCATACTGCATTTGATATCATGAGTGAAGATTTCCTTAATGACATTTCATATTAATTTACTACTAGGCGATGGGGCACCCTTCTCTCAAAGCATTAAATTCACGGATATTAAAAACATCACCATAATTTTCGTTCCTTTTTTGTTGAAATTCTGTTTTATAAGTAATTCCCTGTCAATATAGAAGGTCACAATCCCTGACCATACGTGTTGTTTGGTGGTTTTGTTTATTTTACTACTCGGTTCGCCGTATTTCAAAATAGTGTTTTTAGAATAACAATGTCTCAGGTGTTTACAGATTATCATTTGAAAGGTGGGGATTAAACTGAATAAAACAGACAATAGCGAAAATCAATTAATTAGCCCCCTACTATCGCCTCGTGTTACTTTAATATGGCTGTGATTTGCAATAATTTCATGCCATGTTGGGAAATGACCTACAAGTGTCTCGCTTTTTGGTGCCCCGAAGTTTGTGAAGATTAAGTGTTTAAAGGTGGTCGGCTAATATAACAGGCCTACTCTATAGTCATTATTTTGTAGAGCCAAAATTAAATGATGTTGTTGCTTTACCGTCAATGATCGTGCGATGACTGACTGAAAAGTTATAAGCCTGAAAAGGATGGATCAATTGGGTTGAAACAAACTTTTGCCACCAACAAATACAACCATTGAATGAATCATAGACATAAGAACTGTTTGTAGTGTTATTATTGTCTTCGTGTCAGACCATCTTGTAAACCTGCGTCCTGGGAGGCCATCAACAGCAAGCATTCATGAAAACATTACCCAGGTGCATGACATGGTGATGGCTGATCGACGATTGACCACTCGACATACTGCCAGTTTTGTAAACATCTCTCATGAGAGGGTTGAGCACATTATCGCCAATGAGTTAGGAATGACAAACGTTTCTGCAAGATGAGTGCCAAAGCCCATTGCCAGATTTGTAACCATGGATGAGACCTAGATTCATCACTTTCGACCAGAATCCAAAATTCAGTCATTTTCCTAGTAATGATGACCTCATGTCAGCTTTGGTCGACTTTTTTAGGGTGGCTAAAGACAATTTCTTTCTGGCCGGCATCCAGGCCTTGCAACATCGTTGGCTAAAGTGTGTACAGCTCGAAGGGGACTATGTTGAAAAATAAATGTACAGATCTTTCACAGATAAGCTTAGAACTTTTCCGCCAGCCCTCGTATTGTATACAGTGGATACATTTGAAGACCCTGCTCAATATTTGTCCTGGGACTCCACAATCTGCTTCTGTTATTAATGTGGCGTTAGATTTTGATCTTGATATAAATTATCTTTATGTTGAACTGTATCGATAAAAATAGATAACATAGAGGACAAAGTCACTTGAAGATTAATTGTAGTAATTTAGCCGAACAAGCACTGTGTCGACTCTATGAATTACATATTGAAACTTTTAATGAAAAAAGTAAATCATAGTTGAAACAGACGAACGGAAGTTTGGAGGTCAATAAAATCGATATCATTAATCACTTACAATAGCCAGGGGTTGAGGGAGAGGGGTCGATTAGCCACTTGACAACCAAGCACCATTTCCAACATGAACTCAGCAGCCTATAAAGGCGGAAATCGATACACAAACTAATCAAGAAATCAATATCGCCTTGGCAACCACGAGAGTGATATCTACATTCAGCAATCTAGCAGACGATAACGTTAACATTTGAAAGAAAAAGGCAGGAAATACATATGAACCGTTATTTTCGATAATTTCTACCTATAAGCACGACACTCTATTAAAATACCCATGCGATAAGATGGCAATAGAAATATTGACTTCAAATGAGAAAATTCAAAAGTTCTGTCTAATACGGTCGTTTTGGCCACCGGGTAGATGTTCGTGGCTTTGTAAATACACACTTCTGCTCTGTATATAAATTTACGACTCCAAAAACATTTAGTTGAGAATGAGTGTGAAATTCGGTTGACGGTATTGGGGGTTTAAATTTTATAGCAAAGCTTGGTAAAGATACCCTATGGTTAAATAATGCATACCAATAGTACATGGCGTCAACAGGAAGAACTTTGCAGCGCACAGGAAGCCATACTGTAGTCCAAAATACCTTAGCCTCACGCATTGAAGATGAACCCTCCGATGCACTGACAGCTCTTTTGAAAGATATGATATAATGGAATGCATTGCTCACAATAAATTAGATATAATCTCTTAAGGACGATCAATATTTTCTAACATCTTTGACTCAAAGTGTAAATATTTAAATGTTATTCAATCGCGGTTTATAAATGTGTTTGCTGGTATAAGCAATTTACAGGCGACGGTTCAGGGGTTGCTACCGCTGATCTACAAGAAATTGCTTGCAGTCAACTACACAGTGGTTGATGTCGATTTCAGAGCAACGAACAGTGCTTGTTTGATATTTCGCACCTTGTGGCCTGCGACAAAAGTAAATAACCCTTGCTGTCCAGTGGCGCTCACTCAACAAGTCGTGGGTAAGATCTATTTGATAAGGCCTACTTCAAGGCCAAACCCTTACCCTAACCCTGGACCTAGCCCTAACGCTTACTTTAACCCTAACCTACAATCTCGCCAACAATCACGTGCCCTAACCTTATTTACATCTCAGCGACCTTGAAGAAAAATTGAGTTGGGCTTAACAAATAGATCTAGCCTAAGGGTGTTCGTTTCTAGTAATTCTTGGACAATTAAAAATTGCTCTACTAATTGCATAAAACCTGTACACGAGCACACAACGATTTTTTTAAGGCAGTTATGGGCAAAAACTATGAAGTGAAATGAAATGGGGTTTAACGTCGTACTTCTCTGCACAGGGGGGGGGTGGGGGGTGGATGGCTGAATGGTTAGCGTGCGCGCGCTGTATCATAAAGTCTGTCATTGAGTCGACTGGCGTGGTTTCGAATCCCCGGTTGTACGTGGCAAGGAGTAGGGTCGCCTGTCCAACCTCGTGGGTTTTCTCCGGGTCCTCCGGTTTCCTCCCGGGTCCTCCGGTTTCCTCCCACTGCTAAAGACCCCTACGCGCAAGCGAATTGTGTAAATAAAATTAAATGTTAGTCCCGAAATGACCTAGTTTGTGTCGAGTGGACGTTAAACCCCATTTCTCTCTCGCTCTCTCTGCACAGACTGGGCTAATGAAGAAGGGTATACATACGCCGTGTGGTGTGCTATAAGTGGGGGTTTTGTCCGGACAGCAGCGTGTTGCCTACTATATATCGAATTCCAACTGTCAGCGGTTCTTTTACGTGCACTCTAATGTGTACACGGGACCTCGGGTTTTCCTCCCATGCAAACGACAAGGGGAACAGGCGTCGGAAATCCCGAGGAACCATCTCGGTCAACACAGGGACACTCCACCCCACTGGAATAGAAAACATAAAGATATATATTTTGTGAAAAAAAAGAATATGACGATGAATGGGTAGGGACTGGTCATGGCATGTCTCTGCGCTCCATGTCGCTGTTCGACCAATGCACATCAAAACAAATTGGTTAAATCAATAGCAAATGTCTTATACGACAAAGCTATTATGGTCTTCAAATCATCTGGTGTAGTTCGAAAGGTTAGCTTTTGTATTGTTTTGATCCACCGAAAATAATTACTATTATTAAACATTAATGCCTTCAATTTCTACCGTGAGATGAGTATATATCGTTTCCGAAATACCTAGAGGAATTGATTATTGTGTTGATATCAGATTAAATTTTCGCAATAAATATCAGAAATTGCAACAATAATTTGTGTTTCTAATCGCCACATCGGGCAGAAAACCCAATAGATTGATAATGTAGATATACGGTCTAATTAAAATTATACCGACATTTCGTTCCGTTTTATTTTTCGGTTGTTTATTCCATTTCATCTTGGTCAGGTTATGATTGGTCGACTCCAGACCAACTAACCAATCAAAATCCGACACTTGTGAAGGACTTTGATTATCGAGACGTTTGGGTGCAGAACGAGCTTTTCTTTAAAGGGACAATAACACTCTTGCTGGCTTGAAAGCTCCAGAAAAAAAATAATATCTCTATCTAAGTACTAGATGTTTAAGTGTCCTACCTGTTGTGTAAATTATCCATTACATCCTATTTTACTTGTTCAGAGGGTTCGAAAATATTTTTAAATCGAAGTTTCATTTGAAAAGGTTTACGTTAGACGTTTCAAACCATTATGTTGAATTTTTCAAAATTTTTAAATAAGGCGTGTTAAGATGAAATTTGTATCATCAATTAATTGAAATATTCTAAAATAGTACAATTTGTTGACCAGAATAAAGATTGGGACATATTTTTCAGTTACAACAATAGTGGTATTGAGCCTTTAAAGATGTATCTCCTTATGTAATGAGCATCTGAATTAGCTGATTTTAATTATAGATTTATGGATATTTTACTTCTTCAGATTATAATTTTGCAGAACCTCAATATAAGAGTTCGTATTTTTAGTTTATAGACATCAGCTAGATACTTTAAGATTTACACTAGATTACCCAGTCGTCAAATTGTTGCAGATAGCGATATTCAAAAATACATACGCTCGAACATCGCCTTCATACATGTCGTGCACTTAAAACGGAACCGATGATGATAGCGTTATTAATCGTTTTAGTAATATTTAATGATTGGATGCCTTGGGGAAACGAACTAATAAAGGCAACATTGAACCATTAATTTTCATCTTGTTGAGAGATGAACCGAGACTTGTCAATATAATTAGGCTACTTGAACAAACCATAGCGTGAACTAAACTCATTAGCAATTTCATATGTAGCCATTAATTGCTGGAACTATATAAACGATAATAGTCTATCTAAAGTTCCGTTTTGTTTATTTTTTTCTGATTGTTCCATTACAACGCAGCATAGCACAGCGAAACAAATTATAAAAAAATAAAACGAAACGTAAATGACAATTTTAATCAGCTTATGATAATAGTTCGGTGAGTAAGGCGTTAGCTATAGCTAACCTTGAGGCTATGTTCGATCCCGGTGTTGGCGTAGAAGGTTCCCCCTTGACAATGGCGTAGGTGGTGAAACCATTCGGCCACCCAACCAACCGGATTGGATGCGGTGTATCCATATTGAAATAATACGCCTATGCACATGTGTCTTTAGTAGTTGGGGGAAACCTGAGAAACCAGACATTAAATTTCAATTTTAGCTGCATAGCCATTATTGTGTTACTTTATTGCATACTATTATTATGTAAATGTATACCGCGGGGAACGTCATTAAACGAAGTTGCCTCACGCTCTGTAATTGCTTCCCCAAGAACTCAGTTGATAATTGCTTCACATAATAAAGCTAAATCAGAAAGGACACATTATTAACAGTACCGGTTTTAATAATTACTTCATGTCATTTCTAGTTGATAAAAATGTGACGTTGGACAATATTTTATTTAAATCGGGTCTAATTTTCTGTGGAGTCACGTTGGCCCAGTGAGTAAGACGTTGGCTTGCTAACCTGGCCGAGAAAGTCCATCTGGGTTTTCCGGCGTGGTTTCCCCTTGTCAGTGGTGCAAGGACAGAGGGCTGGCCGGGGACAACGTATAGCTGTTCGGATGGAACGAAAAACCGAGGTTTACACATTGGCGTGTACGTAAAATAACCCTTGGCAGTTACAATTCCCTGATAACGCACTGTATTACGTATTCCCGTCTTCATTAGCCCAGTCAGAGCAAAACAACAGGACGTTAAACCCCATTTCATTTCATTATTACTCTTTAAAGTGTGTGTTTCGTTATCCAATTCATATTATATCACTCTTTTCAGAAATCGAAGTTACTGGGTTTCAGATAGATAACCGCCAGTGGTCAGTTCATGAATTAAATACAAAATTAAATACATCTATATGGACTCCTTAATTGAAAAGTGGTGTAAGCCGCTGTAGAAAGATTAAGCATGCATACCCTTTCTCTTTGCACGCACTTTGTCACTACGTATAGCTGAATGGGACGTTAGTTTGTACCTGGACTTGTTTATTATATGTTAACAGGGGGGTGTTTATTATCTACAGTCCCATATTGCAGGTGCAGCCTATAAGGGTTAAGCCATTCATGAGCAGATTCGATAATGGAAATGAAACTTCAAAAACCTTTTAATATATTATTCCGACAATTATACTGTGGTTATTAAATGGAAAATGACTTACAATTTGAAGATTGACACTATTTTAGATTTTTATAAATAATGGAGCACACAAATAGAAACAAGCGACAAAGAAAATGTAACTACAAAACGTATTTTGCCGGTTAGGACTGACGTCGTAATTGATTCAATGCGAGGTTTCCTGTGTACAAGGTGTCCTATATCCCAGTTTTATTATCAATTTGTTTTTCTGTCAATGAATATTAAATATATACTTACCGAATTTTGCTATGAGTTTAGCACTCATAAAATAAGCCAGTAGTTCTGAAATGTGGTTGATGACCGAAGCGACACCAAAAAGGGTTGGACTACCACCAAGATCTTGAAGATGCCAAAACAAAAAGGTAAAAATGATACCAATACCAAAGCCCATAAACCAGGCTATAAATAGTACTGAGAGATATTTATAGGTAGCCAAAAGTTTTATAACAGTAAACCACTTGCCCATAAAATGACCATCTTGATATTCGTATTGGGAATTGCCCTGAGGGGCCTTAAGGGCGTCTGACACCATGTCATTTCGGTTGTTAAGTTTAATGTTAAGTTCTTGATTTCCATTCAATTTTCCATATTGATTTTCACCAGGGGAGTTACTTTCTCTAAACTTGTTTTGGTTGTAGGCTGTCGAGCCTAATTCTGGTTTGAAGACCCCGTCATCATCGTCGTCTTCCTCGACCAGCCTCTCGCGGTCGATTTTCTTTCTTCCTGTGATGGTCTGCTTGACCTTGTCTTTGACTCGTTCGGTTATTTCGGAGAGCTGTATCTCCTTCCCATGTCCCATATGCTCAAATCTAAACTGTAGGGCTGCAATAAAGGCAGCACTCATTAGAACACAGAAAATGGCGAAACAGACAGTATAATTCTTTTCAGCAGCATGCTGAGTGCCACATGGATGTTCGGGAAAGGATGTTGAGTGATCTAAAGCTAAACCAGCGAAAAACATACTAAGACCCCATCCTAGAGACCCAAACATTCTTTGTCTACCGTAATTGTCCATATCTTCGCCGAGACATGCCAGAGTTACGGCATCTGCGAATGTAATGGCCGGCGCTGCGAAGAATTCTCCTATTACAACAAGCAACAACAGTATAAAAAAAACATGTTTGACTTCATCTTCACGGTAAACAACGGTACTGTAAGGTGAATGAACAAGTCCTTTAACATCTGATTGGTTAGCATTGGCAATTTTGTTATGATCCAAGCGATGTGGAGATTCACCTGTTCCTCGTTTTGCCGACTGTGGAAGAAGCATCACTAATTGTTCTGGTTCGTGATCATCATGTGCAGAACGAGCATAGCGATAAGGAACCTCTAAATGACTGATAACTGGCTGATGTGTACCTCGTAGATATGATGTATCTCGACGACCTCTGGGGTTTTCTAGAACTGTATGCGTTCGGTTTGTATACAGACACTTGTGAGCAGGGGGGTGAACAAAGGCAATAGCTAGAGTAAATACAATCCAGCAGATGAGAGAGAATAGAAGTAATTCCTTGGCTCTTTTCCATTTGTCTGCAACACCTCCCCAAAAAGGGGCACTGAGAAATTCTATGAAAGGTCTAAATCCTATAAGCATACCACCTTGAGAAGCGTTCATTCCAAGTTGTTTGAAATATATAGCCAGAAGTGGAAACAGAGAACCAAATGCTCCAAAGAAAAAAAAGTAAAATAACTTGCAAACAACCAAGTCTCTATTTACAAATGTTAAGTAATTGTCTATAAAGTCACGTCGACTACGAGGAAAATTGGTTGGTCGAGAGTTCAGATTAGTTGCTGTCCTTCGAAACTCCTTGGCATCGGAGGGGGAAGCCATATCGGCTTCTCGGTCATCCCCGTAGCCATAATCCTCCATCTTCTCCATGATCTTGGCAATTAGATTATCCTTCAATCCAAATCAGTGTTAACAACTTAACAGGAAATCCACGAAATTAACACATGCATATTTGAAACCATATGTCAGAGTTATTCCATCCTTCAGACATCAGCAATCCGCCATTCCTTTGAAAGATAGAGGGAGAGAGAAAAAAAATGCTATTGACCGAAAATACCGGCCGATCGAAAACGAGTCGTACGTGCTTGGTATTATGTATATATTGTAAAGAGCGGTCGATACAGAGAAAATTACCAACTTGCTTCACAACACTAGACGACACGGGCAAGTCAGTAGAGATTCCCTTCCTCCCATTCATTTACACGATTCATATAGATGCCCGTAATCTACTATAGACCAGCTTCGGCGCTCATGAGATGGCCAAGTTTCTCTCGTACGTTTCATTGATCGATTTGAACAGCCACCAAAAACTACATCTCTCACGAATTATACTATAAATATACAGTCCGTAACACCATGTTTGCTATTTGAATTGAATGCCGTGGTAAAAAGCAGACTTCGGTATTCATATTTAAAGCATGAAGTGATACAATTGTCTTTGTAAATCCATATGAATATATCTTATATTCAATGCCCAAGTATTTTTAACAGTGTCGACCACAATAATTCCGATCATCTGTGGTCGACTTTCCGCTTCATGGCTAATTTTATTATATACTTGGTTACTGTTTTATAAATAATTCCACCGTCAGAAAAACTAATACTACACCAGATTGTTTAATTAAGAGTTCTTCTCTGTCTCCCAGTGAGAAAAGATATCTCAGTTTAATTGTGGTTAGATGTATTTCAATAGTCCTTAATTGCACCAGTGTGAACATATGGAATATGTACTATACAAACTGTTATTGCATTGTATGTCAGTTCCAAAAGTGTGCCTTTAGCAAACATTCTATTGTTTAATTTCTTGGAGGTATTTCCGTGTGAGAAAACGTATCAACATTTGTGGTTAATTAATTGACCTATGATTGCACGGTTGTAAACATCTAATCAAACTGTGATTGTATAGTAATGACGTGTCTGGAAATCTGACTACTATAGTAATATCAGAAATTTATAGATAATGACCCGTGTTGCTGATGCATTATGAATATTTTAAGATTATAAATGATTCAGTGATCTTATTTTGAAACAAAACGAGGACCTTTAAATATCTATGATCTGGTATTATCAGGATTAATCTGGTTATACCATTTAATGGGCAGATGTTTACAGCCAATCAACATCTGTACATTTCTATACATTAGCATAATTTGTTCGTTTCATTTAGTTTTACTTTATACATAGCCCCATTAGATTTTCCAATCATGTGACGATCAATCCAAGCTTTTCTTGGGTGATTTTTGATTTTTTTTTATAACATTAACAACAAGACGTGACAGATATGTATCTCAATGAATCAAGTTAAGGGGGCGCGGTGGCTCAGTAAGTAATACGTTGGCTCGCTTACATGGAATTTCCGTGTCCTATCACGGTGTTGGTCGAGAAAGTTCATTGTGTTTTCCGGCGTGGTCCCCTCTGTCAGTGATGCAGGATAAGGGACCTGACAAGGGACAACGTATGGTCGTTCGTTCAGGTGGGACAAAAACCGAGGCACCGTGTACACATTGGCGTGCACATAAAAGTACCCTTGACAGTTGGAATTCAAGCAATCCGCAATGCCGTTGTCAGGGCAAAATTCACTCATTGTACACTTTATGGCGTATGCCTGGCTTCATTAGCCCAGTCGGAGCCGAACAGTAGGACGTTGGACCCCTTTTTATTTCATTTCAATTGGAATCAAGTCAAAATAACAAAAATCACAGATCCTTATGAATCAATGATATCCAGCTTAGTGGTGATGTCAGCTTAATCAATGAATCAGCAGTAAGACAAACTTGTAGATGGTCGTGATAATAGCCCGTAGAATCTGTTTCAGCCTTAAATAGAAAATACAAAATGAGACCTGTATATTGTAATCTCAGTAAAAATGTTATATACTATTCAAAAAAAGTAGGGGATATTTGATTTTGGGGGCATAATACTAAAATATGCAAATGACTACGAAAAAAGTCACTATAGAACCTAACAGAAGAAACATTTCCAGTTACATGTGACGCCCAAACGCACCAATAGCTACCGCATGGAATGCAGGTGATGCTTGGGATCATCATGGGGGTCCAACCCAAGATTTGCACGACTCTGACTTTGAATGTTACAGTCATTGTGGCATTGAATTCCAGGGTGGAAACATCAGTTTAATTGTTTTAGTGACCAGAAAACAAATTTTGATATGCGTCGGCTTACCCAAAATGAAAGGTTACGTGCCCTTGGCATGCTACAGATCGGCACAACACAGGCGATTGTGGCGCGGACGATGAATGTTTCTCAGTCTGTCATAAGCAGGCTATGGTCCAGATACCGTGATACACAATCTGTACAGGACAGACCACGCTCAGGTCGACCAAGGGCGACAACTCAAGCCCAGGATCGATTTATCCGTACCTTGGCCTTGAGAAATCGTGTCATCACAGCAAATCAGATCAGCGCTCGTCTTCAAACAGACACTGGTGTGAGAGTGAGTGGCCAGACGATTCGGAATCGACTGCATAGGGGTCACCTTCGCGCCCGACGTCCTCGCGTGATCCCTTGTTTGAGAGATCATCACATTCAGGCAAGACGTCGTTGGTGTAGGGATCGTCAACACTGGGATAATCGACGCTGGAGCAATGTGATGTTTTCAGATGAGTCAAGGTTCACTGTTGATTTTTTGGACAGACGTAGGAGGGTGTGGCGTCATCAGACATGATCGATTTGGGGGTGGTTCTGTTATGGTGTGGGGAGGCATCACTGTTGCTGGAAGAACGGCTTTACATGTTGTTGCAGGGCGTGTTACAGGCCAGTACTACCGGGACAACATCTTGGCAGTCCATGTTGTGCCGTTCGCACGACGTCATGGCCGCCGTTTCATCTTCCAGGATGACAACGCAAGATGTCACAGGGCCAGGATCGTTACAGGTTACCTCCAACAACAGAACATCACCACATTACCTTGGCCAGCACTGAGTCCCGACCTCTCCCCCATCGAGCATGTCTGGGACATGCTTGGACAGAGGTTACGTCAACGTCAACAACGTCCTGCCAATGTCCAAGAACTTGCTGCTGCGTTGCAACAGGAATGGGACAATCTGGACCAAAATGACCTTAGACGTCTCATTAGGAGTATGCCACGTCGGATCAATGCTTGTTTGGCAAACAGAGGAGGATTTACCCGTTACTGACTTGGTTGTGATGCTGTGGTAACTTTGCTGTTTGACCCCGGGTATCATTTTACCCTTATAATGGTCAGTCTGTGCCTTACTTAGTCTAACGATCATTTGGAATAAATCGATGAATGTGAACTTCATTTCATTTTGTCATTTGTTTCTTCGTCAGTTTCATTAGGTGACTTTAATAACACTTAAAAATCAAATATCCCCTACTTTTTTTGAATAGTATATGTATTGGCTATCCAATGAATCAGTTGTTAAGAATCTAATTGAATATGGAATTAAACATGAGATATCGATGTGTTGAACGTGATTTAACATTGAAACATAGGCTTATAACGCTGTGTAGCATTTACATAAAACGTTCTGTTCAGGAATATTTGTATAAATCAGTATATTAGCTCGACAGACTACAATTTCAGACAATACAAGAATCCGTAGGCGTTCTGACATAGACCTAAATATTAGATACTGTCGTATTATGGATTTAGATCAAACTAATCAAATAAATGTATGTAACACTATCCTGGTCGCGACCACCCAAAAAAAATCCTTGTCACGGATCTCCAGAAAACGGACTGTGACACAATGCTGACACTTAACCAACAGGACTTCCACGTTATGTGCCTTGTTTACTTTACTCAATGACCAATTAACTCTGGAACACTGTGTTGTTAACATTAGGTTTATATACCTTTATAACATCCATAATACAAAGGTTATATACAGGAAACTACACAGACAGCTATTACATTAAATATAAGTTAAATATAAGTTCTCTATCCCCTAGCGTACGTTCTGTGGCGAAAGTTGCAATCTTCTTTCTCTTAGTCGGTTAAAGGTATGTCTCTCTAAGAACCCCGCATAAAGGTGGCGAGAGCCACGCGCTTCTTGATGTCTACATGATGTCTTAACCCAGCCCCGAGCCAGAGGCTGTGGGTACATCCTTCTAAGAATTCGGCATGATGTCTGATTATACCTTACTTAGAGTCTTAAAGGTGGCAAGTGCCACACACTTCTTGATCATGATGTCTGTCCCGGCTGTGGGAACGTCCTTCTGAGAATACCAAATGTCTGAAGCAAATTTAATCGCGCTCTTTAATTCATATAAAACGTTTAGATAGTCATCTATTAGGGCGGGCCATTTCCATATTTGGGTAAGGGTTTCATTTGGGCACATTCTCCTGTTATTGAATTGGACTAATTTGTGCGCCAGATTACTGGACAACGGTAACCCACTTCCAGAAATGGATGGTGGCAGAACTGTCAGTGAGTTAGTCTAAGAAAGTTGTAGAATAATGCAAGGTACCTACTTAGTCCAGTTCTCGTTGTCATCCACCTGTAGGTAATCGATTTCCATACATTAAGCAGAGAACCATTCATAGAACTATATAGTATTACATGTTTATCAATACGTGCACATCTCATTAAATAATATTCCAGATTAGCCCGTGTCCCGAACATGGACAGGCTCATAAATTCCTTTATCCCTACCTACAGTTTTAGATAAGTGATTCAATTTATAAGGTTTGAAACTGAAATGATGAGGATGTCGGATTAATCGATAACATATTATGTGACACATACCAAATCTTATTTTTGTCCATAAATTACATGAAGTTTGCTAGCTCTTTCGAAAACACATTTTATTTCCTTCCCAAATTGCAACAGCAAATGAGCTTATTGGGTTACTTATTTGCACTAAGCAAAATTCGGTGACTGTCCAACAGAAAAGACCTAAGGCTGGTGGTAATGGATAAAATAAATGTGAAACGTCTGAGAAAATAACCGAATTAACGTGTCATCGAAATCCACCCCAGTAAGGTTATAATGCCATTCACTATATATGTGGTAAACTGAACTTTCATTATATCAGATCGTGTGATATTTTCAAAATGGAGGTTGTTTAAATAGCGTAATCAGATGAGAGTATAAAAGGCCATTTAAGCAACCTACCACTTCATTTGCCAGAAAAATGTGTGTGTCACACCTCAAAACGAGAAATCGAGGAAACCAGGCTTTACTCAGCAAATCACGTAAACTGGCATGATGAATACAAATTCGTGCGAATACATTAAAGTTGAAATCCAGCCCTAATTGGCATAGTCACAATAATAACACGCCGCTGATTGAGACGTTACGAGGGGAACTCTCGGCCACGTTAACCAAAGCAGTACCCGTGCTTATGATTTGTACATCGGCTTATTTTAATACTGGGAGGGGGGCGACGAATGGTTAACGCGTGTGCGTTAGATCATAAGTTATGTCATTGAGTCAAGTGGCGTGGTTTTGATTTCCCGCTTGTACGTGAAAAGGAGTAGGGTCGTCTGTCCAGCGTCTCTCTCTCTCTCTCTCTCTACCTCACTCAGATTTGTTAATGCCTCTGTGAATCCGTGCAGGTTTAGTTGTAGTACAACTACACCAAGAATGTCCCAATATATTATATGGTTGGATGTGCCCTAAAATGTGCGCCTCCGTGATAGAAAGCTAGATTGCCTGCCGTGATAATAAAGTGAATTATCTGAATTTTACAGTCGGTTTAATGTAAATTCAGGATAGCAACGTAACTAGATGATGGTATAGTAAATACCAAGGAAGCTATTACCAACGTATATCGATTTTTTTTCCTACATAACGTTAATCAATCATACATCCATGGGATTCGTTTCATTATTTCTCTACCGGCACACTAATGAAGCTAATTTGGGAATTTGTAAATTAGTATATACGTACAGCCAGTCATGCTTTTATTTAATACAATAAAATGATGTTGCACATAACAGCCTCTTTTGTAAACGTGAAAGTTTTACGAGACAGCCTTGCTTTTAGAATTATTTGACGAATGCTTTATATTGTTCGGCTTCTTGACAAGATAATCAGTGAACATATTGAAGTGCTATGGAGGGGGTATCGTTGATTCAATACTCAACCACATTAATCTTTGCACCATAGCAGTATTAGTTGGATGCCATTTAAATAGCTATAGTGTGGAAACTGTAAATTCAGATACATATTTGATTGATTACTTCAAGGTCATTCGTTTGATACAAACAGTGATACTTGATAAGCTTTCGTAGCAATAAAACCGGGATCGTGTCTTTCGTATCAATTTCCTTACACATCACAATAATAGGAAAAATAGAACCCCTTTTAAATAAGCTATATTGTTTACTTTTATACCATTTTGTTATCTGATCTATAATAAAAATTGAGCCTACATTTCTGGTCAGTGTGCACTTTGATACGTCTTTGTGGTAGGATTGTATCGTATATTATGTTAAACCATATACATGAATTTCCAATAAACAAATGTCATTGTGTTTGCAGATGGTATCGATGTTTTTGTGGGTTTCGTTACCATCGAGTGGGGGAACTTGAGTAAGGTGGCTTGCTTTATATTCTCAAATCACAAATCCTCACGAATAACCACTTCTTGTGAATTTGAATTTCGATTGGTTATACATGTATTTGAATAGCGCTAATCAAATAGTATAAACATAAATATCATATCTTCAACTAGTGATCGATATTTCCAATTATATCTCTATTAGACAACACACATGTAACGAATGCAATATTCATTTATTATAAGTATAACTTTATATGCTGTGATCAGGCAATGTTTAGTAAGAAGTCGTTCATCCATCGGGGACTCTATAATCTACGATCGAGTGAACCGGTAATTGACAACTTGTGTTCGAGTCTGCAATATCGACCGATCTCGACACCATTAATATTCCCCTCCAAGTCCTTTATTCCAGCCATTAAAAATACCGCATATTGTTTCATGAAGCGAAATATTGACAGGTTGCGCACTTAATCCATAATTTTATTCTATTATCGTTGCGTCTTTATTGACAGTTAATAATGTATATTTCAAGATGCGTATTGTTTATTCGTGGCAACAAAACATATTAACAAACACACCATTTTATCTGTGTTGTTATGTCTTTGTAATAATTGTTATTTGTGTAAACGGCTTGCTGTTTCGTCTCCAAAACTTTAATTTCGAATGGCAGGTGTCAGATGGTTGCCGGTCCGGTCATCACTGATCGTCAGGCCAAAACTCGATCTATTAAATACTAGTAACAGTAAAAGTCGCCCATGAGATGAGGAATGTATAAGTTTAGACCCTCGTTGTTAAATGTAAAGGTGATAGAGATGGTGATGATTTTGGCGTTGATACAGTTGGCAAAGTGAGTTTGGAACGCGATGCACTCACTAGTCTCTTTTTTGGATAAATTACTGAAGTCTGAAAAAAAATGTAAAATAGCAGGTCAAGCCTCAGTGTCCAAATAGTGCATTTTTTTGTGGAAACGATCTGTTTTGCATCAAATCTATCTCCTCCTACAGATTTTATCTGATAATCATCAAACCTTGACATGTTATGCTACTGATGGCGTTTAACAATTGCCCGAACTATACGATTGACTTTCCAAACGACACCCCATAAAATTGCTCATTCCATAGATTCGAACCAAAATTTCTTCTGTTACTAAAGTGTGTTACCAGGGAACGGTCGAAGTTGCGACCGTTTAACCATTTCTTTCCATGAGCTTCTAGAAGTGTACTATTAGGCATCCTAGAATCAATCGTCTGGTGGGGGGGGGGAGAGTCAGTGAATAAGGCGCTGACTCGCTAACATATAGACCCCTGAGTCGATCCCGGTGTTATTAGCCCTTGATATTTTCCGGGGTGTTTACCCCTAGTCCATGGTGAAGGACAGGCAGCCTCGCAAAGTACAGCGTTTAATCGTTTCGGTGGGGCGAATATTGTACACATAAAAGAACCCTTGATAGTTGGAATTCGTATTAAAGTTGGCTGTCCAATACTGTCCAGGTAACTTTCCCGAATGCCCGTCGCCATTAGCCTGGTTTGTGTAGAAAAGTTGAACGTTAAACCTATTTCATTTCATTTCAATGATGGAGTAGTCTACTTACCGAATACATTTGTCGAAAAGCTTCATTATCACACAACCACGCTGTACCTAAAACAAACAATTCATATGTTATCTGTAGCCTAAATCCATACAAGTTCATAAATATTTTACTTTATAAACGATAGTTCTATTGAATAAACGAGCAATTGACATTTTGATAATCTATATATGTCTGGATTATCGTTTCTTTATGCAATATCTTTAGGTCCAGTAGTTGACGAGTCTGGCTGGATAGACAGCGACCGCCGATAAAACAACCATGACGAATAATAGACACGATCTCATTAACGTGTATTCATTAATAATACTATTATGACCGGGGGTGGGGGCTATTCAGTGGACTAACAACATTGCTCTCTTGTCGTTTCGTGACAATGGTATGTTTTTAGAAGTTTCTTGCACATCCAACGTAAATGAAAATGATAAACCTCCAATTGTAACTAAAATAACAAGCGGTTGTCATACAAGATACGCCCACATTTTGCAAGAGATGGACTGAGGGCAAACTCAGGGGTCATAATCCAGGAAGTTACGCTCCGATATTCATGAATATCTACAGGAATCTAGATCTTCGGGATATAATATATTTTAAGTTTCATCAAAATCCAATTAAAATCCACAACCTTGGTATTACATACGTTTGCAATATTTGCGTACAAGGAGTGGCCATTTTGTCGGGCAGTTCTGTTCCGATTGTTACGAAATTAGAACTCAATCATCATTATGGTGTAACGGTGATATATTTAAACGGTTTTTAAAATCGAATAAAAAAATTGTGACCTCTAGAGGGTCCACAAGCTAAAAAAGCGATTTTTCGTACAATCGGGGGCCATAATCCAGGAAGTTACGGTCTGATATGCGCGAATAGCGAAACGAACCGAGATCTTTGGGACATAGATACATTTTAAGTTTTATCAAAATCTAATAAAAATTGTGACTTCTAGAGGGTTCACAACCTTGGTATTACATACTTTTACACTATTTGCGTAAAGGAGTGATTATTTTGTTAGGCAGTTCGGTCTGATTTTCACGAAATTCGAACTCAACCGTCATTTTTTTTTTTTTTTTTTATAAGCAATACTAGAAGAAATGCCCGGCTTCGCTCGGGGGTCATAACCCCGAAACCGGAAGTGGTAGACTAACGCCACCTGGCCTTTGTTACTCCCCGGTCCGAGCTACCCCTATACCCCAAATTTAAGACTCGGGGTAGACCTAGTGTAGCCGCCAACCCGAACAGCCCTGGGGTCATAACCCCGAAACCGGAAGTGGTAGACTAGCGCCACCTGGCCTATGTTACTCCCCGGTCCGAGCTACCCATATACCCCAAATTTCAGACTCGGGGCAGACCTAGTGTAGCCGCCAACCCCGAACAGACAGACAAGCAGACAGACAGACAAACGACAGTCACAAATATTAGTATAGATTTTATTCAGATTTGTATCTGAATAGGGATTGGGGAACAGGCATAGCCTATATTAAACCCCTCTCCCTGTCAGATATAGATACATGTATTTACATTTTAGAAATAGATAATCAATGTACACGTGCAAGTATGATTATAGTAAAAATATATTTACAATGAGTGTTTATAGTTGTCCCTGGAACCGTCTGGTGATTTCGAAAAACGAGTGGACAGTTTTAAAAATATTGAGTGAGTTTTCCACGTCGTCATTTCCGTGCAATAGAACAGTAGTGTTTCGATGAATAGTCGATAAATTATTTATTGTTTTATTTCGGGCACCGTCATTAGGGTGAAATGGTGATAAATTTAAATGTTTTTTTTTTAAATCGGATAAAAATTGTAACCTCGTCTACAAGCTAAAAACATGTTTTTTCGTGCAATTAGGTGCCAAAATCGGATAAGAATTGTGACTTGTAGAGTGGTCACAACAAATAACGGGCGTCCGGACGGACAGCGGCGACGGCATAATACATCCACATGAATATGTGGGCCTATAAATGCAATCGATACACCAAAGTTATAAGCATGATCTCGTTACATTAAATGCCTTAAGTCAAACAACTATGGATTTAGCTTAGATACAGACCTATCCTTGGTCGAATTTCTGATATCCACGTTGATGTCATTCTACCGAAGTTAAACTGCAAATATAAACAAGAGAATCGCTACCGTTGCAATATACATCCACATTCCAGCTTTGATTGATATGGTTCTGTTTAAAATGAAGAGTATGCAATATGAAATGGCTGCCACTACTGTAATATGACAAGAGACAAAGAAGGCCAGGCGTTGGGTTTGTTTTGCCAAATTTACAGACTAAATATTAACAAAATTGGGTGTGACACAGCCCCAAGGGGTCGGGGAATGCACCAAATTAAATAGTTGCTGTCTTTGCGGTATAACGAATAAATGAAAAGTTTCAAGATGATCCATTCATAATTGCAGCATTTAGACGATAAACACAAGAATTGGGCGTGGCTCTGCCAAGGGGGTTGGATATGGAACAATATAAATAGGTACCACCCTGTAATTTAAATGATTGATATGTGGAATTTGAACAAAATCTGTTAATAATTGCAACCTGTAGAGTATTTACAGACAAAAATTTAATTTAAAAAAGTGGGTGTGGTACCACATCCCTGGGGGTCGGGACATGCACCGAAGCTATGCTTACGGTATACGGAATCAATATCCCAAGTTGTAAGATGATCCATTCAGAATTCCACCCTATAGGCAAAACACCCCTATGCTTCTGGGGATTGGACATGGACCAATATAAATAGGTACAACCCTATGATGGATCAAACTGAAGTGGATCCAAATCTGTTAATAATTGCAACCTGTAGATTATTTACAGACAAAATATTAACAAAAAGCAGGTGTGGCACCGCCCAAAACAAAATCAATAGTTACCGTCCTTAGGGTACAAAAAGAAAAAGTTTACCATGTTTCAAGATAATCCATTCAGAATTGTGGCCTTCAGACGCAAAACACAAAAATTCGGCGTGGCTCTATCCCAGGGGATCGGGCATGCACCAAAAATAATAGAGGTCCTCCTTGAGGTTTAAGGAATAAGCATGAACAGTTTTCAATACGATTCATTAAGAATTGCGCCTGTATAGGCGACTCACAGACACAAAAAGAGAAAATTGGCGTGACTCTGCCCCTGGGGATGGGGCATGCACCACAAACAATAGGGGTGATCCTCAGGGTATAAGGAATAACTCTGCAAAGTTTCAAAAAGATCTGTTACGAATTGCGGCCTGTAAACGGCAAACAAACAATGGGTGCGGCTCTCGGGTATGCACCAAAAACAAAAGGGGTCATCCTTGATGTATAGGGAATAAGTATACAAAGTTTCAAGAAAATCCATTCAAAATTGCGCCCTGTAGGCGACCCACAGACACACACACATGTGGACGTATAAAAAGCAATGTTGATACGATTCAAACATGCAATATCAAACAGGCCATGGATAAGGGCATAGAAAATGTAATTGGCACTGTGAATAATAATTCACCGAATTTAGAAAGTATTATGGCTTCAGGGCCAGGCTACACGAACACTTTTTTTCTTTCCCAAAGAATTACATCAGATCTAACTGAAATCACTTACTTGGCCTGAAAATAAAATATAAAATCTTACATATTTATAAGAATTGACGCCGTATAAAAGTAGAAGCTCATCCAGAACTTGTGTTTTCTCTCTGTGAAGTTGAGGGGGCTCTTGCATTCTGTTTAGTTTACCATCTAAAATGTCAGCTTTGCTTTCTTGACGTTTCAGACTAAACTGTGTTCTTGAAGGTGGGGCAGATTTTGAAAGATTACGCCTGGTTGACATTCTTGCTGATTTAGCACTGTTATATCTTACACCTACTGCTGACATATAGTCAGGATCGGGTGTACCTGGAAAACGTGAAATGAAATGGGGTTTAACGTCCTACTGGTCTACACCGACGTGGCTAATGCAGACGGGCATACATCATGCAGTGTGCTATTAGGGAAATTTTGCCCGGAAAGCGGTGCTCTACTCTTATTCCAACTGTCAAGGGATATTTTACGTGCACGGTTTTTCGTGTCATCCGAACAACTACCTGGAAAGCATATACCATTTTTTAAATTGATCTTAGCTTATGATACTTTTCAGAGCATTCTTTGCTCGCTTTGTTTCAAAGAAGTGGCTATGTATTGACCATTGGAATAAAGGGGAAACAACTCCACTTCCAGATTATATGACAAATAGTCTTTTGGGCCGTACAAATGTGCATATAAGGTCATATCTTATGAAAATGGAACTGATCATAGTGTAAATAATATAAAGTAACAGCTGAAATGTATAAAAAATGTGTTGTAAGTAACTATAACATTTAACACCATGTGGTCGAGGCCCTTTTTCAAAAACAGTATTATCTTAGAATGTCATTTAGCGATTGAGCACAATAAAAAAAAACACTTGTCGAAACGCCATGCTATATGTTTACAAACCAGTGACTGTTTTCCATATAAATTGTGTTGGAGTGTTTAAAAAAAAATAACTATAACCTCTTAATACTTACCAGTGGCTCCTATATCTTTAAGTGTATATTGTATTTAATAAATATCTTACAGAAATTAAAACGTACATGTAACTATATTAGTACATAAGATAGTAACTTACCGTTGATCACTTCTGGGCGGATGTCGATCAGTTAGTAAACATTATAAGTATAACCTTAGTAATACATGTATATACCAATCGAACTATGTCTAATGAAAATAACCTCTTTTGTGTTTAAGTATAGACCTATCAATTATCATTACTTATATATCATAACACTATTGTGTAGAAAGTAATTTGTATATATACGCCGATAATAAAATCTGACACTCGCGAGCAACCAATGGCTCAAACAATATACTTACTTGTCATTTTCAGTTCTAGGTTTACAAAGGGTTAAATGGACTTTTAGTTGGCGTTCCGGTCTTTGTGTGTCGTTAATCCATTAACGGTTAAACCATTTATCTGAAAACACATTTAGAAATGAAAGGAAAGAACTAAAAGGGGAAGAGGAATTTTTTCAAGGGCAGTGCCATTCCACCATCCAGTCTTATAAAGCTTGTTGGGAGCCGTCGTGGCCCAGTGAGTAAGACGTTGCGTGTTCGATCCCTGTGTTTACCGAGAGGGCTCATCGGAATTTCCCGACATGGTTCCCCCTTGTCAGTGGTGCAGGACGGAGGATCTGGTCCAAGCAAACATTCCCTCACAGCACATTGTATGGCATACGCCAGTCTTCATGAAACTATTCGGTACTAAACAGTCTAAAGGTTGTTGTGGCACTACAAAGAAAAAAAATAGACGATTTTTTTTCTTTACAAGACCAGTGGTCACCGCAGTCCTAGGATTTGAATCTGATGGATTTGTCCATCTTGGACAGTCTCTAAGAAAAGGTTTATGAAGGAAATACGAAACAATTTAGAGGAAATGAACCGACGGATACAATTCAGGCAAAATGGGCAGAAATAAGGTTATAATAAATTCAATTTCTGAGTGGAAAATGCGTTACCGAGCGCAGGGGGGGGGGGGGGCATACTGACCATTTTTTCGTGTAAATTGGGGTGAATGTGATGTGACGTCTCAGTACATCAAAATATATTTGATTTCACATTCTTTTTATTCAAACTTGTATTATTCTAACAAAATTCGAGCGGGGGTCCTGCAATTTTGAGTGAAGTTGACAAAAATCCATACTGTAGCACATAGGAAATGTTAATGATATAGGTACAATACTTTTTGAATTATTCCACTATAAATAGTGTAGGGAATACTCGGTTTTTCTTGGCCACCTGATATAAAAACAATATTGCATGGTAAACTGAAATGTCTATGTACCTATGTATATGGTATCAGTAGCTCAGTCATCTGAAACACGAGCCCAAATTACCAAATCCTACCAATTCTGACAAATATAACCGGTCAATGATGAAAGTTAACATTATAGTCAATAGGTAAATCAGTGGTGACCTGGGATCAAAAACAAGCGGCAATGGCATTCCCTTCCGAAAGTTTCATATAAATATTCTTGTTACCGTTTCCAGCTTATTACTCGAAATTTATAATAATCATTAGTAGTCTATTACCATGGCAATATGTTTTGTTTTTATCTGTATGCAGTCCATGGACAGCTATTATAGTTATTATGTCTAGAGCAGAACTACGTTTTATTTTGTTCGTAGTTTTTTCATATTTACATTCCTAACATTTATATCTGAAAACCAATGCAGTGAAATAAAATGTAGAAAACTTCATCTTCACACACTGATCAATAAAATATAGCCAACATTCGTAATGTTTACCTAATAGAAACCTATAATCATATACATGGACATATTTCGTATTTACTACCTACCTTGAAATTTTATCTACGCCACTGTACCTACATTGTATATACCCATTAAATAGTCATTATTCAACGACCAATATAGTTATTTGTCACTATTTTATATACCCATATATTCTATTTAATTGAGTGTTGATATACTGCGGTATATTGTTGAATACTTACCTTTTTATGCTGTTATATTATAGCTGTAAAGGGAGGGCGATATACCTTCAAGCAAAGTCCTTTATCTTATTCCAATATGAATACACACATATAAAAACAGAGTATAGTGTTTAGACTTATGGACGGCTGTGTTCCATGTCATGGATATGAATAACGATATGGCTTACGGGTCAAGGGGTTTAAGATAATCTGTGTACTATATATCCGCTATGGGTATTTTTGGAAATCAATCTTTAAAGGGGAGTTCAGCGGATTAGTAATCGTTAAATTATTATTATTTTTTTTAAATCGCCTACTTATAGGTTCTCTTAAACCTAAAAGTTGTAAATTTCAATTGTTAATTAACTATTCAAAAATATACCAAATCAGTACTGTGCGTGTCTGACTCAATGGACATTAAAGTGTATAACACAAGAGACCCGGCGTCGTAATTATCATTCTGTTAAAAGACCTCTCTTAAAGATGCATTATGTAAGAGGTAAATCTTACTATTGCATGTCTTTATTTTGACTTAAGATTTTATAAACTATTAATTAGACATATTTTATTAACATTAGATGGTCGAGATTTTTCAAATTTAACAATAAAATGCTACGTTATATCGCCGAACAGTCATAACTTCGCTCAGAATAAATAAATTATAATGAAATTTTTAATATTTTCATTTTTCATTATCTATTTTTTAACTATTGGAGCAAAAACGTCCAGCTCTTTATCTAAATCTTACATAATGTATTTTTAATTATTATATCATTTGGCAATTCACTGGAAAGGGATATAAGAGCCAATTTCTCCATATAGCAAAGATTCTGGATGTGGTAAAAATAATCGCCCGAATACTGACAGGTACAATCCTCAAGCAAAGCTTTTGAGCATTAAAGAGCTGACGGTGCTCGTTTACCAATGTTTTGGTTTACCCTACAAAACAGCAAAAAGTTGAGTTCCACTTGAATAAGCCTACACAATAAGACGTGCGTGGGCCTGTTATTCTATATTAAGACACAAGGCAGTCTTTAAGTAATAATAATAGGATTTTTAAGTTAATATGTTACTAAGCCTTTTCCTAATCCTTCATAAATCAGAAATTATATTGCTACGTAACACCCCCCCCCCCCCTTTAAGCAACAGCGAATAGTCTTCGTAGCCTACGAATACTGCCTATCGTTTCGTTGGCAGTGATTACGATTGTGAGAATTCTGACAAAGCAGCAGCATTAGGATACACTAAAATGATTAATAATTTGACGGGAAAGTCATACGGGGTGATTAAATACGATGAATGGTGTTGCAAATAGATTCTCATTGTCAGTATAGTACATGTCTGTACGCGGATTATTCGTTTGGACCAAGTGTTGAAATTTTGCGATGGTTTAATATAAGAGATGAGTTATGTGAATTTCGGTTATAATAGTTTCCTTATATAGTCTAGTTGTGTTCTATTCTGATGTTTTCATACATGTACAAGTGTTTTACTGTTCGTGCAATATTCAAATTTGTAATCGAAATTTAGTTGAGATTAATATGGAATTAGCATGCCAGTACAACTGCATTTAAATAGCGTAAACTAATTAATTTCTTCGTTCTTTTCAATCAGCAATTAAAAACAAAAATGTGTGTTGGCTATTGACACGCGTATAATTAAGTCACTGATTGAGATCTAACAACAACCAATCGTAACAATAGAACACGCAATGTTGCGTTATAATCATATAATTATGTTCAGTGGTATTTACGATTGGTCTATAAACTATAAAGTTACTGTTTTGCCGGCCATATTGTTAGAGTCATTCTATTAAATTAGTCCCCGCAATGATGCAATTAAAAAAAACCCCAAGCGGTTGTCATGCAAGATACTCCCACATGTTCCAAGAAATGGGCCGAGAACAGGGACATTCAATATGGCCTATCCTCTCATATTATTGTCCCAATGCTTCACATCGCATATAAAATAAATCTATTAAAAAACTGTATCCTCTATCGCATACACAAGGTCTTGGGAAAAGAGGGATAACTCCAGAATGCTAAATATTGGTAGGGTTCGTCGTTTCAAGACCCCAATGCTTAAAAAATCAAATTTGAAAAAGAAAATCCGTTAAAAAAATTAGCCTCTATCGCGTTCAGAAGGCTTTTGGCAAATGGGGTTAACTCAAGATTGGAATGTTGCTTAATGCTGAATATCGCTGGGTTCAACCTCTTATGAACTCAATACTTCACACCAAATTTGAAAACAAGCCAACAGGGAGACTGATGTCTCCCGCCGAAATCCCAGAATAAATAGATGACACAATTGCACATTTATCTATACTCGGAGTTTCATCGTTGTCACTCATTTAGAACCAAAGTTATCGTGTTCCAAAGTCTCAAACACTCCAATTGCTTATCTGTGCTTACTGCTTAGCCATAGTATTCACCAAATAGACACTACACCAAGTTTGAATATTCTACCTCAATTAGGAGAGCTATTGTGTTCCAAAGTCTCGACCAATCAGATCGAAGTCTCTATTTTGCCTAAGCAGAACATGCTCAGCATCGAACTTTGTTAAGTTATTGATGTAATGAATATATACACAAAGTTTCACCACTATCACTATATTAGAATCAAAGTTGTCGAGCTCCAAAGACTCCAGAACCGAAAATGCTCATTATCGAACTTATTCAAGGTATTGATGTCATGAAAATATACACCAAGTTTCATCGATCTCACTTAATTAGAACTAAAGTTATCGTGTCCTTACCGTAAGCCGAAAATGTTCATCTTCGAACGCTATCAAGGCATTGGTCTAATAAACACATACACCAAGCTAGCTCAGTTAGAAGGAGAGTTATTGTGTTCCAAGAAAAGTCTGACAGACGGACAAATCAATTTTAATAGTCCCCAAATGAGCTGTTAACAAGCGGTTGCTATGCAAGATATGCCCATTTTGCAAAAAATGGATGGGCAACAGGGATAATCAATAGGGCTCATGCTCTCATTATTCCAATGCTTCACATCAAATTTGAAAAAGAAAATCAGTTACAGATTCAAGATTTGCCGTTATAATTTAGTTTATAAAATACATGCTTATAAAAGCTCGGTTTTAAAAGGCTATTGCATAGTTGTAGGAAACTTGTCCATACAGGGGACAATGTAAATATTCATCTGAATCGGACAAAAAATATGTTGAGAGGAGGCTCCACAAACGGGGTCCACATTTAACATTTTGCGCAAAAGACAGGGGACACAACTGTGAGCATTGGGCAGGGGCGGGAGCAAGCTTTGTACGTGATTTTTATACAAAGAGGAGCTATAATCCAGGAAGTTACAGTCCAATATGTGCCATAAACCCATTACAGAGCATGTTTAAATGCACATTTAATCAAATGTTGAGTGGTGGGGGTTTTGTTCTGCCAGGGCAAACTCAATTTTACTCCCAATTCATTCCTACAACCTTTTTCAGAGCACAAAACTTATGTTTGTTTCAAATGTATTAAACCTGTTGCATTTTGGTTTGAAAATGAAGGGGTGGGGGGCACGGTGGCTATATGGGTAAGAAACTGACTCGCTAGCCTGGAGGTCAGGTGTTCGATCCCTGCATTGGCCGAGAAAGTTCATCCAGATTTTCCGGCGTGGTCCCTCCTTGTGAGTGATGTAGGATGGAGAGCCTGACAAGGACAGCTGTCTAGTCATTCAGATGGGACAAAAAAATGAGGTCCCGTGTACAGTTGGAATTCGATATAAGAGTAGGCCGTAGTGCCGCTCTCCGGGCAAAATTTCCCTCATAGCACACTGTATGGTGTATGCCTGTCTTCATTAGCCCAGGTTAGGAGCAGAACAGTAGGATGTTAGACTTCATTTCATTTCATTTGAAAATGAGGAGCACCATGAGTGAAAGGGAGGTAACAACATTTCTAGCACCAAAGGAGACTAAGTTATTAAAATAATATTAGAAGCATTGGATTCATATTATTTATTCAACAAATATATAAATAACAGAATTAGATTTATACAAATTTACATCTTCAAAAATTTCAAATTCAATCAAAAATAAGAAACTGTCATAATAAGTATACAACAATATGAAGATTTCAAATTTCATGAGGATGTATCACTGTTGCCAGACACAAATGTACCCGTATACAATAGGATTTTCATTTATGGTACCGGCAGTACATTAATCACTTATTACTATAAATCAGAGAATATGAATACAGATATTTAAAATTCAATAGAGGTTCAGCCCTACAATTACAACAAATTGCATGTAACAAACTATTACAACTCCAGAAACTTTTTGATCTAATACTATCACAGAATCATGCCTTATACAATATAATTTGCTATCTTGTACAAGATCATTCCCAAAACAGGTTTTTGTAATAACAAAAAGGGTTTCTATTTTAATGTAGATGCCTCACTATGATGGTCATGTTTAGAATTTACTGACATGTGGATCAATTTAAAAAGATAACAGAATGAAAAAAATGGGCAGAGATCTGCTTTGAAAATTATTAAAGGGGCATTATGTAAGATTAGATAAAGAGCTGACAGTTCTCACTATGATAGTTAAAAAATAGATAATGAAAACAGAATATGCTGAAAATTTCAAATTGCTTCACTCTGAACCGAGATATTAGCGATTCAATATATGGCTAGCCTCAATCGTCATTACTACCGTTGGACATTGGTACGATAATAAACAAAGTTTCGATTATCCATTTTTACGTTTTTTTCATCCATCACAAAATGTATTCAAATCCACTAAATATAGCAGGCTAACGATGGCATTGAGAGTTGATTATGGTCTTGATAAGTTAAATAATGTCTAATTTATAATTTAGATAATATTTAAGGCCTAAAGAAAGACCTGCAATAGGCAGATTTAGCTCTTGCATAATGCATGTTTAACAGGATTGTTGTTTAAAACTATTTATTTTCAAGATTTTGTCATTTTGCAAATTTGCATTGTCATTGTGTTAATGGTGTAAACTGTTACAATTATTTATCAATCATATTATATCTTTAAGATCAATTTATTTATCAGAAATAATCTGTCTAGCTATCAATTCTTTCATGATTTCATTACTTCCACCATATATAGGTTGAACCCGAGCATCTAGGAAAGCTCTAGCAATTGGATATTCTAACATATAACCCCAACCACCATGTAACTGTAAACATTCAGTAGCTACTTTGTTCTGCAAGTCAGTTATCCTGGAAGAAAAATAAGTCACAACACTCCATGAGATATCTGTTCATCTGAATCGGATAAAAATTGTGACCTATAGAGTGTCCACAAACTAAAAACGAGATTTTTCGTACAATCAGGGGCCATAATCCATGAAGTTTTGATCTGATACATGCCAATATCGAAATGAATTGAGATCTTTTGAAGATAAACCTATATTTCAAGTTTCGTCAAAATCAGATAAGAATTGTAACCTGTAGAGTGTCCACAAACAAATTGTGGACGGATGGACAGACAGACAGGGGCGACGTAAATATATGTCCACATGAAAATGTGGGCATATAAAAAGAAAATCTTGTATTGAGTTGCCATGTAATCATAGATATGTAACAGATTACAGTAATGGTCTCATAAAAATATATAATGATGTTATGATATCATGGTAAAAAAACTTTGAGTAATTTGACTTCATTTGAGCAATGTTGTAGGTCCTGAAGGTTTTATGGACAATATTGGAAACTCCTCACTAAGGCCCAGGTCTACACATTAATACCTCATTTAATCTTTTTTTAGAGCATAATAGATTATAGATAATGATTCTGATACTGGTAGACTTTGTGCTGTTTTGTAATAGGGAATTTGTCTCGTCAAACCAACATTTTGATATTACTCCAACTGTTAAGAGTTTTCATGTGCACTATCACTTTCAACACAGGTCTCAACACACTTGCCTTGTCTAGCCTGGAAGTTTAGATATTTTCTAATCATACAGTTTAAAGTGGATAATTTAAAATATACTTACCAATATTTAGCCATACTGGCTGTAGATGAATCAAGACCTCTTTCATTATGAGTTTTTAAACACTGGTCCACAAAAGCTCTTCCAACACACACCTGTGTTTTAAGTTCAGCTAATTTATGCTGTATAGTCTGCAAAAGAAAAGATGGTTTGAAACAATCTGATGCAATAATATGTTCTATATCCCCATTTCTATAATTGTTCTTTCATAAGTATGTGTTATAGTTTATGTTGATGATATTGAATAATGTACCAATTTTTTTAAAATAATAAAAATATTAATCATAAAAAAACTGTTTTAGTGGTTGCAATATTTGAGAGAAATCTGTAAGGGAAGTAGATAGTTTTAACCTATGTGTAGAGCTGCGATTTGTCATCCATATGGTGGAGAGGTAACATTTTCAGTGGGTACAGTATTTGATTTCGAGATAAATTCTTTTTTATTTTGGATGGTAAATTAATTTAAAACAGTTTTTGGTAAATAACGATAATATGAATTTCAGTTTTAAAACAGAATTCTGACTTCAAACATGCTATTATAAACTGTTATCATTATGCTAACATATATTACAAACCTGTAAATTGGACAACGTTTTGCCAAATGCTTTTCTATTCTTCACATAGTTTCTAGTTTCTTCAAACATCCATTCACAGTTAGCTTGTCCCATGGCTGCTATCAGCAATCTTTCTTGGGGAAGTTCATTCATTAAGTAATAGAAACCTTTATTTTCTTCACCTAATAGAGCACTTTTTGGAAGACGAACATCTTCGAAAAAAAGTTCTGCAGTATCCTAGAAATTAATCAAAATATTAACCAGAATTACTAATAACCACAAGGACGAGAAATTTGGATACTGAATATCCTAGTTTACATATAGTATTTATGGTAGAGTAGTCAGTCATCTCAATTTACTTCTAGCAGTGAAAATATACTTCTTCAATACTGTATACTAAGGAGCAATGGATGGAGAGTACCAACGTGCATAGCAGGTGTCATACATGTACATTGGGCAATATATGCTTACTCTTTCCACACAACTGTACACTTTTTTACTAACACCTGTCACTCACAAAAAAATCTGGGACATTTCAGATGAAATGAAATGGGGTTTAATGTCTGGGCTAAAGAAAACAGGCTTGCACCATACAGCGTGCTATGAGGGAAATTTTGTCCAGATGGTAGCACTACAGCCGACTCTTATTTCGAATTCCAGCTGTCAAGGGTTCTTTTACGTGCATGCCAATCTGTACACTGGACCTCTACCTTTCTTCAAACGACTAGAAACTGTCCTGTACCATCGCCAAGGGGAAAACGGGCTGGAAAATCCCAAAGAACTTTCTTGTTCAACACCTGGTTAGCCAGCCAGTACCTTATCCACTGAGCCTCCATGGCTCACCCTTCACACGAGCCAAGTGGCAAGAGGTGTTCTGAAGAGAGTGAACATAACTGCTCTGTACTCAACACCCATCCAAATTATAGCTACAAGGTACATACTTGCAAGAGTTTCTGAAGACCATGTTGAACTCTTTAAAATAATTACTTACCTGAGCTTTTAATCCAATCTTTTTTAATTTTTTGCCTTTGATAAATCCTGGCATTGTAGCTTCTACCAGAAATAAACTAATACCATGTGCTACAGATTTGGCTGATGTGTTAGTAATGGCTACAACAATACACACATCTGACATATAACCATTGGTAATAAAGACTTTACTACCATTTAATATATAATCATCACCATCTTTTTTTGCATTGGTTCTTATTCCCTGTAGATCACTGAAAATTGTAAATGGATGAAAATTTGAAAGAAAATTAACAATAGGTGACTGGAGGATAACAACTGTTTTTGAAAGCAAGTGTCATACTAAAATAAATTATCACATACAGTGTCATGCACTTATTATACTACATACTAAAATGTTACGGCAATCTATATCACCCAATTTTATAATAATTTTATCACCCCTTTTGACATACCGGTAGTATATAACATTCACATAAGTATAGCTTATACATTTATGTGCATACATGATTCAACAGGTTTACTTGACTAAAACAAAGGAATAAGCCTTTATTGTTGATAAAGCTGTAATTAAAGCTTTCCTTCAACAAAAAGCTGATCTTACTTTTTTTCAAGTAAACGCTAAAGTAGTAAAGAAAATAAATGGCATTTTAACTTTGTAAATGTTTTTTGTGTGGGTTTTTTTTTTGTTCTAATCTAGGCCCATTCCCTAATAGTCATCTGTCAATATTTGTCAGAGCCGCTGTCTGTTGAATCAAGGTATTTTCAATATACTCAATGTGTAAATATAGTCAACATTATCTAAGCAATATTTATTTCAAACATGGCTCATTGAATAGATGTCAGGGTAACCCTAATTAATTCTTTTGCCAATAACTTTTGAAAAAGGCACTAGTAATAATCTGAATCCAAATTTACACATTAAGGAGATATATATTTTAAACACCTCAAACAATCAACATTACCTTCCAGCCCCAGGCTCTGTCATGGCTATAGCCCCAATCCATTCCCCCGATACCATTTTAGGAATGAATTTCTCTATCTGCTCCTTGGTTCCATAGTGTGTGATATATGGCATGACAATATCAGAATGTAGGGTAAACCCTGGACCTGTACAGTTTACATACATTCTGAAATAAATTGATACATACAGATAATTTAATACTTTACTATAAGAATTATCTATGTACTGTTTTTGGCAAGACAATGGATTTACAGCTCACTCTGCCAAAAATTTATTAACTTATAATTTTAAGTATTTATTACAAGCACAGGATTAATTATAAAATAAAATAATTAAAATTTGATTGGCTTCCAGTACTTCTGGATGCAAACATTTGTTAAACAAAAACATGTAGTGTTCGAGTTTGAAAATCATCATCTTATGATCAAAAACACTTTTTCAATTTCTGATCACGTCTCAGTGCTCATGAGTAAGGCACTGGCTCACAGAGGCCCCTTGTTCAATATTGTTTAATACTGAGCGACATACTACTAGACTTCTCTAGCAATGATGACGACTAGAAAAGTAAGACGAAACGTTGCTCAGTAATAAACAATAATTGTATTCCATAGAATTGTGTCCTGTTTATCTAAATGCCATTGAAACAAATGCCTTTGTCAGTGTTGCAGAATTGAAGATCTGGCATGGAGCAGTGTCTAGTCGATTGGGTGGGACTAAAAGCCAAGGTCCTGTGTACACATTGGCGTGCATGTAAAATAACCCTTGATAGTTGCAATTTGAAATAGGAGTAGGCCGTATCTCAAGAGTAAAAATATGTACTACATGTACTTTAATATAAAGACTTGTTATTGTGTAATTATTAAAGATGCTCTAGTATAACACACAGAGTAAGAAGAATGTACATACTGTTCTTCCCAAGTAATATCTGTTGACAGGAAATCCCCACCTATTCCACCTAGTTCAGCTGCTGTATTAACTCCCAATAAACCATTTTCTCCAGCTTTTAACCACACCTAAATTAAAAATTAAACATATAATTATAAAGCAGTTATATTTCCAGTTGTCCAAATCTTGCGACTCTTTCCCCAACCTGTTCAATTATCCACAGATTAAAAGAGTGGGACAGTGTCAGTACAATATGGAATACATAATTCTAAATCATTTGGTAACAACGGACGTAATTGTCAATGGTTCAAGATTGTCGCAGGACCCTTTCTCTACCCACATCCCCTACCTTCTCCATGTGTCATGAGATACAATTTTATAGGCAAAAAGAGATATCAGGAAAAAATAGAATATTTTTAAGCAATAAATTAGAGACAGGCTTTTATTTGAAATCCCACTGGCAAAAAAATGACCGAGAGTAGATATCAATTATGTATGGCATCTGTATGTTCACATCATTTTTGTGGAAAACTTTTTAAAACCCTTCTCATCATGTAGGGTGGCCTCCTGAGTGTTGAATAATTAATGAGTGGCTTTGATTTACAACAATATTTGGGCTCCCACAAAATTTGTCAAAACTAAAACATTACAGATTGCTGGATCATGTCCACTTTTTAAGAGTTGTCCCCCATTTTTCAGCTGTAATTTTTGTGAATGTTGACTGGTTACAAATATTTACTCAGTTTCCATAGTCATGAAGCATATACCATGATAAAATTGCATTTGAGCTGGGCGATATCCATGGAAACAAATATCGAATAGTTTATAAAATGTCTAATTTATTGTTTATCACCGTTTATCACCCTTTACCTGCACATAAACATGCATAAGAAATTGGACACACCGTTTCAGTATTCACTTGACACTTTGTAGTCACTATTTTTAAACATTAGTCATTAATATGTATCATTTTCAAAAGATCTAGCCATGAAGACTTGCTAAAAATGTTGGTCTATATTTTCTTTGAATCGCATTTAGTAATTGGAACATAATCAAAAACACACTTTTATGGATAACAATTACTATGGTTTATTTCACTGCGACGTTTCAACAAGGTTTCACAAGTCGTTTCAAGCATATTTGTGTATATGCTTGATAACGACTTGTGAAACGTTGCAGTGAAATAAACCATAGTAATTGTTATCCATAAAAGTGTGTTTTTGATTTTGGTTGGTCTATATTGTTGTTGTTTATTACAATTTTATTGTACAATAGGTTAGTTGTGATATTATGGACAAGTTCATTTAATTAAGATTATTTACATATAAAGAAGGAAGAAAACAGGTAAAAACATAAAAAAAGGTTATCGTTTGTCTATCGCGTGTGTATGTTTTTATAGCTACGATTGAAGGATATTCATTTACGCATCCAGACACGTTTTATTCTAATTAAAGCGTATGTATTTTTGAAAATGAATTTACAATACAAGAACATTTAATTTTATAAACCGTGAGTGTTATCTAAAAGAATCAAACAAAAATTTATTGGAAAATGGACCACCATGACACATAGACAATCAGTCTAGCAATACTCTCAATATAGTTGGCATTATTTATATTTTGGCCATATCTAAGTGATCATGGGCCTAATTATGGCCTAGAGTGTCCACCAGTAATTGTGGCCGAAGTGTGATGGACTGACGGACAGGGGCAATGACAATATACGACCTTGGTTTTTATTTCTGTGATGGTTTTATATATCGTAAAACCGAAATATCGAATGGATGCAGGAAGTTACCATTTACACTATTTGTGTACGTGGGGCGGCCATTCTGTCCAGCAGTTTTGGTTCGATTTTCACGAAATTCAAACTCAGCTGTCATTAGGTTGAAACGGAGATATATTCACAAGTTTTTTTTTTAAATCGGATAAAAATTGTGACCTCTAGAGGGACCACAAGCTAAAAACGTGATTTTTTGTACAATCAACGGCCATAATTCAGGAAGTTACAATCCGATATGTGCGAATATCAAAGGAACCAAGATCATTGAGTTATAAAGATGAATTTCCAGTCTCATCAAAATCAGATCAAAATTGTGACCTCTAGAGGGTCCACAACCTTGATATACCATATTTTTACAATGTTCGCATACAAGGGTCCAGGGGCGGCCATTTTGTCTGGCAGTTTTGGTCCGATTTTCACGAAATACTAACTGAACCAACATTAGGGTGTCACAGTGATATATTTGATACATTTTTTTAAATCGAATAATAATTGTGACCTCTAGAGAAACCACAAGCTAAAAACCTGATATTTCATACAATCAGGGGCCATAATTCAAAATAAGATAAAAATTGTGACCATTAGAGTGTCCACAAGCTAAAAACCTGATTTTTCGTACAATCAGGGGCCATAATCCATGATGTTTTGATCCTATACATGTCACTATCGAAAGGAACCAAGATCTTTTGGAGATAAACCTGTATTTCAAGTTTCGTCAAAATCGGATAAGAATTGTGACCTGTAGAATGTCCACAAACAAATTGTGGACGGACAGACGGACATCCAGAGTATTTTATCTAGAAAGAACAAAATTATACACAGCTGCCTTCTCCTCGTGTCCAGTGAGCTCAATGTCCATAAATATCTAAGAGTAAGACACAAACATGAGGATATACCAAACATTACTTATTACACTGTCCCTTACATTCAGATGTGCGTAAATGATTCATATCTCATTTGTCCCCAGTTCTTATTTCATCACACACTTTACTTCATGGCACCCTGTTTTTATTTCATCACACTTTGCTTTATGGCACAAAAATATATTTCAAATGAAATTTTTGAAATGGTTCATTCATACATTTTTTGATATCTCCAAAAGACTTTACGATTATTAATTTTTGGATCATCATTATAGTGAAGCACATACATTTAGGTCAACTCACTAAACATGTAATTTTCACTATTTTGATTGCAAATGTTAAAATTAATTTTTTTTTTTATAGGAGAGGGGTTAAATAGGCCATGATTGTTCTCTAATACCATTCATCTATGAATAAAATATTGTTTATAAAAAAAACAACATAAAGTTGATTCTGTCGCACTTTCGTTATCTATTTTTACAGTTCAGGTCCAAAAACAGGCAAATTTTCTAGTATGGGTTTGGATCTCAAAAGCATTTGTCAGAAACACTGAAACATATCAGCTAGGTAAGAATACTTGTTTACTTACCTCACGACTAACATTTCCATCTTTTTCCCATCTGCAATCATAATTAATAATAGAGATTTAAAATCCATTCAAATGACATCATTTTTTCCTTTTGTCATGTGTGCAATTTTGTAGGAGAGTTGCAAGGTCAGTTGATTTAATATCGTTAGCTATGATGTGCAATGCTACAAGACTTCTATCATAAGGGGGGGTTGGGGGGAATGGATGGCCGAATGGTTAGCACTTGCACGCTGTATCATAAGCTCTGTCATTGACTCAACTGGCATGGTTTCGATTCCCCAATAGTACATGACAAGTAGTAAGGTCGCTTATCCAACCTCATGGGTTTTCTACAGGTACTCTGGTTTCCTTCCACTGCTAAAGACCCCTAAGTGCAAGCGAATTACTGAAATAAAATTGAACCATGTGTTAGTCCCGAAATGAATTTGTTTGTCGCGTGGATGTTAAACCCCATTTCTCTTTCTTTCTATAATAAGAATTATCTAGACAGTAGACAAATCTTTTCTAAAGTATTAAATATCATGCAAGCTTATATCGTAAAGCTTATATCATAAGGCTCCTTTCCCCCAAAGGCCTTATTATTAAATAGGTTGTATAATTTGTAGTTGACAATGTCTGTGACAGTATCGCTGCTTCTTCTCTTGGTTATGTATTAAACAAATTTCAAATCTTACTGATCATGGTTTGGAGCTACTTCATCTTGCATGAATCTTCTAACACTTGTTCTAAACATGTCATGTTCTTCTGAAAATATTCCTCTATTACCAATATCCATCAAATTAGATGATTCACCGATTTCTTTTCTTGCATTTCTGAAATAAATAACAGTATATGAGAACAACATTAGCAGTTGTGAATTATATAATAATTCATATGTGGACAGAGGTTAGATACCTTACATGCAATGAGGCGTTTCATTCAGTGCATTTCAATGTCTAGCCAACAAAACTAGATCATTTCTGAACTAAATCCATATACATTAATGAGGTTATAGTCTATAGTAATCATTTCTCAGGACATATCTGCATATGATATTTAAAGCTTACACTACAAGACAACTCTAAATGTTCTTTCTCCATTTTTTGTGTAGGCTATATCTAAATGACAAGACATGCTGATGAATTGAATTAAATATGATCAATACTTGAAACTTGAAACCATTATGTTTCATAAAAGCTGACATAATTAATTATTTATATTAGCTTCATTGATGTTCATATTAGCAACTTTAATAACAATTTCAAAACCTGATCTTGTTGTTTTAATCAGAACACTATCATTTTGCTTTGTTGGCTTACTCAAATTCAATCTGATCTGGGGAAGGGGAATTATGTCGCAGCAAATGTCTGGGATATGGCATATCAATGAAAAAATTATAATCCAATTAACCACTCGTTTTATATGGTATGCTACTTTGTCTTTTTGTTTTAATATAAAACATATTCTTCCATAGTTAATTCTTTATTTCATTATGCTGGGGAGTAAAGATGTATTATGTAAGAGCTAAATCTGCCTATTGCAGGTCTTTATTTTGGCTTCAAATGTTTAGACATTTATTAACATGACAATCCTATAATCAACTCGCCACACCAACGGATGGTCGAGATTTAAATGGGTTAGAAGTATTTAGAACACATGTGAGATGTAAAATTTTAAGATAAAATTGATAATCAAGACTAATGGCAAGTACCGTTGCTAGGATAATTTTTATGAAATATTATAGAAAGAACAGCCAGCTCTTTATCTAAATCAAAGTAAATCTTACATAATGCATCTTTAAGGAATCAGTCAGTAAACACACACACACATCTGCATTTGAAAAACTTTAGTGTTTTGGAGAATTCAAATAGGCATTAGGGCAGGTCTATATTTGCAACTTTGAGTGAAGATGTCTCAATGAATTATGGTAGAATTTGAATGAAATTGGTGTAAAGTGTGAAAACACTGACTTCAAGAACATCGTATAGACTTCCTCTAGTATATATGGTCACTTTATGTGCTCTTTAAATTTCTATTCTAAAAAATGATTATCATCAAGTTATTTAAAATGTGTAAGTTCAAGTTCTTGATCTTCTATAGCAAACAAACACACAAACAAACTTTCCCATGTAAATTATTATGCATGAAGTAAGAAGACGTGTTTGGTCAGCAAATTCTGAAATTTCAGGCAGATGTGGAGTCAACATATATAAGCTTATCACTTGTTTTGAGACAAATGTCATATATTTGCAATTTCTAAATCTGTGGGACATGAAGCATTTTTAAGGATATTTGAGGTTGGTTTTTTTTTTTGTCTCTAGTTTAAATGAAACAGCTCTTCACTGGTTACATGGTAATTATTTTCTGTAGTTTTGCCACATGAATATTTCCCAGAAATGATTCAGAAGGGGTCAGGGGCATACATGTAAGTAGTCCCCCTCCCGCTCCATCAACAGAATGTACTTTCTTTCAGATCATAGTTGATCGATCAACCCAAATAAAGATTCCTGACAATAAAAGTTGTAGGACCCAATCAACCAAATACATGAAATTTTCAAACAGTCAAAGTGAACACATGCCTGTGACAGCAGGTTGGTTTTAATTAAGAGAAAGAGAGAAATGGGGTTTAACTTCCACTCGACACAAACTAGGTCATTTTGGGACTAAAACATGGTTCAATTTTTTTTCAATAATTCGCTTGCACTTAGGGGTCTTTAGCAGTGGAAGGAAAAAGGAGGACCCGGAGAAAACCAGCGAGGTTCGACAGGCGACACTACTCCTTGTCACATACAACTAGGGAATCGAAACCACGCCAGTTGACTCAATAACAGACCTTATGATACAGCGCGCACATGCTAACCATTCGCCCATCCAATCCCCAAGAATGGTTTTAAGTGCATAAGGCTTTCGTCATCAAACATTGGCTTATTTCGCTTAAGGGGCCTTACAACATTTAAATTTATTTGAAATCTTCATTTCAACTAATGAACTATAAAAACTGAAAGAAGTGTTTTAAATGTCACTAACAGCCCAGGGCTAAGAGCAAGTTAGAATTTCCTTTAACTGGTTAACACGTTAAAATTTTTAAGTTAAGTTAATTATCGAAGCTCCTAAAAGTAAAACATGGTCATTTTTGTACCAAACCTTTTTCAGAGAGTAAAAAAACTTATTCTTGATCATTATTTTTATTCCGGACTCAAAATTCAGGATTTAGTGGCATTAGACAGGAAACTTTTTAAAAACATTGAATTTAATTAAATGATGCTTTCGGCCTTAACCCTTGAATCCGAGTGGGAGACTGGAGACCAAGATTTCAACCGGAAAACGTAACTAAAGCGACTTGGCACTGTGATCTCTGGTCACTCTTAGCTACGAGAACGTAACTAAAAACGTTGAGATATACTGATGTGTTTTAGCTGCGATTGGGTGCTTTTAGTTTCACCTGGCAAACTTAATTTCTTTATTAATGCATGTACCATCTTAAAAATAAGTTAATTTTATACTATTAGTACTTATTACACATACGCAGCCCAATCTACTGAAACAACATTCGTTTATCAGCAAATATTGACAATAAAGTAAAACAAGCGTTTTTATCAAAATTGATACGGACATTCATAATTAGGCGAATTTCCTTTATAAATAATATAAGTTAACTGCTCTCACTCAGTCCTGGTGACCAAGTTTTCCAATATAAATATACAATATAGTAACAGAACATTTCGACAAGTATTCTCTTATAGAAATTAGCTATTTTTCTTCGCTCGCAGTGAGACGACCGGTCATTCCTCTTGCATAACAATTGGCATCGTTGTAAAGCGGATATTATTGTTTAAAATTCTCTTATCACAATGGGTCAAAAAAATGAGAATGACCAACGAGCCGAAATGCAACGATTCTTGAGTCTGCCATTGAGTATCCTCTGAATAATGTTGATATTTACATCAAAGCCAAAATGCACGAAAGTGAACGTAAACACTGACTATGAAATTGTCATTTCTATAGGGACTCATATTTTGATAACGTCACGGTACCTGAAAATAATAATAGACCTATCGTACACGCAAAATCTTATTTTAATTCACGTGTTAAATGAACACGCGTACAGCTGTTGCAGCTTCTTTGATGATTATCCAATCAACAATCTTAATCCCCTGACCACTAGCTGGCACTAAGGTGCTAATTAATTGATGAGATTAACTGAGTTAATCTCACTAAAGTTATATTATACACAACCTGACTACTAATGTATAGATTGTTCTTCAGTATAACACTATCATGTGAATATTATGCCGTATGTGTTGTGGATGTTTCGTTACGAAAGGAGTGCATTTATTAAAATTTTCGTCGTCAGCACCCTTGAAATCCTAAATAAAAAACATATTAAACAACAAAATATAGCAAATAAATTGCGGAAATAGTCGGGTCAAATTTTTACTACGATTTTCCTCTTCAGCACCCCTGAAAACCCATGGAAAGATATATTCAACGACAAAACAGCAGATAAATGGCCTTAATTGTTGCTATGGGGTTTTGTTTTGGAACATATCAAATCTTTGACTTGCTTTTTCTCAAAACTTACCTTTGTGAGTTGGGTAGCTTCTAATGGACACAGCTCAGTCAATTTTTGCCCAATACAAACAAACTATACATCAAATTGAAGGTAATGAGTTGGAAAATGTGAAAATAACAATAACTCAATTTTCAAAATTTCCTCATTGTGACTCAGTATGCTGTGGGGGGTCACATATGTCAAATAAGATCTAGATCTAATGTAGCCAAATTCTAATAGAATCCAGAATAGAATCTACTCTCATAGGCTATTTCAGTAGGCTATTAATACTAGTACTAATACTATTAGTTATTAGTATTTATCATTTTCCTACCGATGTAGATCTAGGCCTATTGTATTATACTATATATTTTCCCAAAACATTATCGAAATAAAAGTTAACCATACTCCTTCGATAATAATGTTGATGTAACTGAAAGCTGCCTGGACAGACATAACTTAGAAACAGCACTGCATTGAAACAACTTTCTCCTCACAACAGCAGCCATTCTGGTCGGGTACAAAGTTCTGATTGAGTTCGTTGGATAAGCTGGTAGACTCGATCATCTAGTCGTTCGAACTTTGCTTTCACCCCACGAATGGGGTGATGGGTTAGTATAATGTCACGAAATCACAGTATGTAGTATTCATCAGAGATGGAGACCAATATACAAAAACGAAATCCATAACCTATTTTTATTTCCCACTGGCATATTTACTTTTTAAACAATAGTGAAAACTACTGTTGGTTGTTTTATTCAATCCAAAGTTAAAAGACAAACAAGATTGGAAATAATGTGCCAGTGGTCAACGCCAACGCGAATGTCGATTCAAGAAGGCTTGATGATCTAGATCAAATGCAGACGAATTTTCAATTGGTGGTTATTCGGCTCCATGGATGTTCGGCTCATTACGTATTGGGGAACATACCGCCAATAATTTTTATAAATCCACATTTCAGTAGGCCTACTAAGCAGTAGGCAATGGGTTCGATCATTATTGGTGACAGCTTGAAATTGCTTATATATATCGGAGCAAAGTCTAATTAATTACTTATTTTATCGGTTTTCTTGGTAAATAAAGTGAAACTTTAGTTTTATAATATAGTATGGAAGATTAAATAGGCCTAACCTAATTTTCTTTTATATTAATATTATTAAGTACAATTTAGCTGCCCGTATGTAACACTTCGTGTGCTGCTTATAGGCTATTTCAATTTGTTCATTACAAATTGACCCGAAACCATGGGGTACACGACCCGTGTACTGATTACACACTGTTAATTGTGTCTTAAAGGACAATATTGGTGCCAGTCATATATCACATATGTAATAGAGCTGGTTAAACACATTCCAAATATAATTTTAACACAGAGATCATTGCTACGATAGCTGAGTAATAAAGGTTTTCTGAATCGGAAATAAAATTAAACCATATTTTAGTCATGAAATAACCTAGTTTGAGTCGAGTGGACGTTAAACCCCATTTCTCTCTCTCTCTATTTCACGGCACAATAACATATCAATATTGATCAACATTGAATTTTTATTCGTGGTTTTAATTTCGAACAGATGAGCCCTGGGTTCGATCCCGGTTTGGGCCAAAAAAAGTTCCTTGGGATTTTGCAGTGTGGTTTCAACTTGTCAGTGGGCAGGACGTAGGGTAGAGCAGACGGAAACGCCACAGACCGGGACCCATCTTCATTTGCCAATTTGGTTAGGACGTTACAATGTAAACCTCATTTCATTTCATCATAAAATAAAATATAAAAAATGTGTGACCACAAACATTGTGATTGACCAGCAATCTGCAAAACTTGAGGTAATTAAGTTTTAGTATAGTTCCCGCAATATTAAAATCACTCACACGCCCCTGGTCTATCTGGGGATACATTTCGCCACATGGGGATAAACTCTGATTCTGATATTTTCTTTAAAATCATAATTTGAAGATTAGAAGAAAATAAGTGAAATAGCTTTGTTATGTGCTATTATTCTTCGAACATGAAAGAATAGGGTTAAAAATAGTATTTTAAAATTTCCCTTTGTCGCTTGCTTTATCAACGTAAGCTTAAATTACTAATAAAAAATAACAGGGGTGGTGGTGGGGTATAGGGATTATCCCTCAGATAATCTTGAATACTGCATTGTCTAATTGTCTTAAACGCCTTTTCCCGGTCCTTCAGCATTTGATCTGAATGATAACACTGAAGAAAATCACACGATTCCAGTGAAAAAAAAAAACAAAAAAGAAACGAGACAAATATTTTCGAAATATTGGTCACGAATAATGATTCGAAGGTGGATGTGCTGTTTTATTTTGTAAATGACCACAAAGCTGAGACTAAAGCCGGGCTGACACTTGCACGACTTTTGGTCACGATTTTGTCGTGGCAAGTCGTGCCATTTTGGGGCACGAACTGGGAGGCTCCCGCACTGTTCACGACTAGTTCACGCATAGTTCACGACGAGTTCACGGATGCGTGCCCATCAGTGTCCACATTGACACGAACTGGCACGACGAGTTCGCGCATAGTTTGCGCATTGTTTACGCACTTCCCGCACTGGCACGACGAGTTTGCGCAATTCGGACGGTGTCGTGCCGACTTGGGCACGCCATATAAAAAGGGGGCCTCCCCAACCCCTGGTCATTTTTGGATTGGCTGTGAAAGAGACAACATGCTGAATGTCAGAGACACAATCATTGCAGAGAAGAGAAGATGCCTATACCTGGCACCTGCTCTAGCCATTGTTCAAGAGCAGCAGAAAAGGCTGGAAGGGGCAGAAGAGCAAGCAAAGGCAACCCCACCTCGAAGAAAGACACAAAGGAAAGTGTGGGCCAGGGAATGGTTGACCAGAAGGCAAGAGTTTGGACAGTATGACAGTTTACTGACTGAACTCCACAAGGAAGATCAAAGGGGCTACAAAAATTACCTCAGAATCACACCTGACCTGTTCCAAGAGATGGTTGAGAAGTTAACCCCTCGCCTCCAGAAGCAGTCCACCTTCATGAGGGAAATGCTTCAAGTTGGACTCACGCTAGCTGTCACCCTCCGCTTCCTAGCCACTGGAAATTCCTATCCAAGTCTGCAGTACAGCTTCAGGGTTGAAGCAAGTACCATCTGCAAGTTCATACCCGAGGTGTGTAAAGCCATCATCGCGGTATACAAGGACGAAGTGCTGCGCTGCCCCAAAACTGAAGAGGAGTGGAAAGAAGTTACTGCCAGGTTCAGCTCCAGATGGAACTACCACAACTGTCTGGGGGCTGTGGACGGCAAGCACGTCGCCATGAAGAAGCCACCCAATGCTGGCTCTTACTACTACAACTACAAGGGCTTCCACAGCATTGTTCTGATGGCAGTGGCAGATGCTACCTACAAGTTCCTCTATGTGGATGTTGGGGCAGAGGGTGGTGCGTCGGATGGAGGAACATGGAGTAACTGTTCCCTGCATGATGCTGTAGAAGAGAACAGAGCTGGAGTGCCTCAACCAGAACCACCCCCTAATGATGACCAGCCAGTGCCCTATCACTTCGTAGGGGGTGAGGCCTTTGCTCTCCGAACCTGGATGATGAAACCATTCTTTCATCGGTCACAGGTCCTACGAGAACGCATTTACAGCTACAGGTTGTCTCGTGTCCGACGTGTCGTGGAGAATCCCTTTGGAATTTTGTCTCAAAGGTTCCGTTGCTTCTTGACGACGATGCATCAGCACCCCGACACTATCAGCCTGATAATGCGCCTGTGTCCTGCTGGCGATCTCTGGAATGGAGAGCAGTGTCCAGGAAGACCTATATATACACCTGCACCGACGCGAACGCCACTGTCGCGCAGTAGTCCTGAACTATTCGTGAACTAGTCGTGAACTATTCGTGGCAGTTCGTGACAGTCGTGGCATGGCGCGCACTGTCACGCACTGGCACGCATCCTCCCGCATCGTCCCGACGAGTTCACGAACAGTTTGCGCATAGTTCACGACCCGGTCGCTAAATTTTGTCTTGACCAAAATTTTGAACATTTCAAAAATTCTCGTCCCGACATGGCACGCAGTCACAACGGGTTTACGCACACTTCACGCCAGTTTGCGACAAGTTTGCGCACTGGCAAGTGTCAGCCTTGCTTTAGAGAATCTCCTATACGAATCCTTTTTGATATCAAACAATGTAAAAAGAGTCTGCGAGTTTGTTTTTTTGTTGTTTTTTTTTTACTTCATCGACGAGTGTTCATAATTTTTTATATCAAAAATGACGAGTAAAAGATTATATTTATCACGCAACCCTTTCTTACACGCACAAATAAATAAATATAATTCTTTATTATAGATCTGTAGAATGTGTTATTGGGTGATAAAATGGTTTTATGGTATGCAGTTTTAAAAATTAAATCATATATAATATCATCTTTAGGGCACATGCGGCCACCCTATATCTCTCCAAATCTCAATTAATATTAAACACGTGGGAGGCGGAATGCCTTACTTTTCAGGAGAAATTGCTTTCTGTTACTATAATTTTTATGTTTCACTATAAACAAATTCATCAATTGCTATATTTTAACAAAATGTCAATCTATATTTTCTGATGATTATGACAACATACTCTCCACAAAGTTTATAAGGTGAGTAGAAGTAGTTGCCAAAGATAATGTTATTTTTCATTTATTTTTCTTACGTTTTTAAAACTCCAGTCAAATTGTCCTGTATTCATCGGGCTTTAACATCCTGCTTTATGCCTATACGTGTTTTTTTTTTGTTTTTTTTTGTTTTTTTTTTTGGGGGGGGGGGGGTCTTCCAATTAAAAAAATGGGCCATTGCAGGACGAGGTGGGTGGTCTGGAAAGAAAGGGTGTCTAGTTTCAACGAATCTAGGCGGAAACGCGTATGCCTATCTTCATTAGTCCAGTTGGTTCGGAAAATTTTGAAGTTAAACCCCATTTATTTGTTTTGTCATTCTGAATAATGAGTGTTTTTATGTAATAAGATTTATCTTATTTTCTCTTATGAACAATCCCATAAAAAAAGCCCTGCACCATACGTTCTCAAACTTTAAAAAATGTAAACGGTGAAAACTGATTTTGCAATCTTGTTTCTGGGGATTCTTTAAAAATAAGAAGGAATAAAGAACTTTGAATCTGCAGGTGTTCATAAGAAACAGACTAACAGACGACGACGATGGTGACGATAATGTTACAATTATACGTCCACATTTACTAAAAAGAAATATATATTTTAAAACACCAACAGTCTAGCAATTTAAGTACCGGTACATAGGCGTACAAGCCAGGGGGGGCAGGGGGGCAGCTGCCCCCCTAACTTTCGGGCAAGCTGACTTTTCGGGCAGAAGGGTAAAGTGAAAAAAAATTTTTTATTTCATCTACTTGGCAAAATAAAGTGCCCGAAATCTAATAAAACACTAATTTTACGGGCTGGAATAGCAGTAAAACGCGTTTGCGGCCGTCAAATATTCTAAAATTTTCTTCGGGGGTCCATACAAGGTCAGTTCTGCTTCTTCACCTCTCGAAGAAAACCGGCGCCGCTGTCTATAAACCTGAAATTTTTTCGAGCATTTCTAATTTTTCTTCCCTAACTGTCATTGAGCCCTAATAAAACACTAATTTAACTTTTCTTTTAATTGAATACCACAAATTTGTACTGAGTTGACTATGGATTAAAACAATTTGTCTGGAGCCATTCTACTTTGTGCGACATTTTTCGAGCATCGATTATTATTTGTGAATGCAGCTGCAACGGTCTGGTTGGATGGTTGGAATTCAGATTGGGATTTAGGTTACAAAACCATTAGATACTTTTGGAGTTACTTACACGGGCTAGAATAGCAAAAAACGCATTTGCGGTGGTTAGATTTTCAAAATTTTCTCGGGGAGGGTTCGGCCCCGAGGTTGAGGCCCCCCATACCCCGCGACGATTGATTGGTTGTTTGGAATTCGGGTCAGCCAGGTAGGCTATATTGGACCAAATTGAAGTTGCTGTATTCACAGACTGGAATAGCAGGAAAACGCGTATGCGGCTGTTAAATTTTCAAAATTTTCTCCAAACGGTCCCGTCTCCGTGGACTGTAAACGATTGATCTTTTGTTTGGAATTCGAGTCATCCATCTTAATTAGGCTATATTAGACCACTTTGAAGTTGCTTTGTTCGCGGGCTGAAATAGCAGGAAACTATGTTTGCAGCCATCAAATATTCAAAAATTTTCTTTGGGGGGGGGGGGGGGGAGCGGGGCGTACAATACAAGGGGAGCTCTGCTTCTTCGCCTCTCGAGGAATATCAGCGCCGCTGTCTGTACATCCGAAATTTTTTCGGTCATTTCGGGTTCTGCCCCCCTAACTGTCATCGAGCCCGTACGTCTATGACCGGTACCATTGAAGGAAATGGGGAGAAAAAAAAGAATTCGAATCTGCATGTGTTCACAAGAAAAGGACTAACAGACGACAATGGTGACGACAATGTCACAATACCTCCACATTTTTTTAAAAGAAATATAAATATTTAGTCTATTTTAAAACACATACAACAAGTGTCAAAAAGAAGTAAACGGAACAGCATTTCTTTGGTCATATTATATTATTTCAGCGCAGTTCAAGAACAGACTACATTCGCTAAAAATATAATGACAATTATTTACGATGAGATAGGATAATTTTCATTAAAGCCAATTAATTATTTAAATATGGTATTTCTGGGTCCATATCTATAGCCAATATCACTCAACTGGAATATAGAACGATTTTTTTGTTTAAAAACTCAATTTATTGTTTTACTATACTAATTATTAATCTCTTTCTTACTAATTTGTAAAGAGATTTCCTGTAATTATAGCCTACATTTAATTATTTCATAGCCGATATGTCGTACACACAGTGAATGGTGCGTATCGTAAACGCTTGGGTTTGGTCACCAGTGACGTCGAAAAAGTGTCTGGTCTGATCTTTTCGCTTAACCAGTCATTCAAAAGTAATTACTGTCGTGTTAAAACTGGTTCTTGAAAACTTGAAGCGTCAGCTTTAAAATAATAATTTATGGAACAGAAAGGTTATTTTTAGTTAAAAGAAATGATAAAATTGAATTTATTTACCATCATACGAATTAATATCGAATATAATATATCGATAAATTAATGTGTTTCCATTTTTAAAGCGTTTGGACTGAGGTACTAATTATGGCTGGATATTCGAATCTACAATGACGTTCTGTTAACCAATCAGGATTGAGTCTTAGAGGGTGGTGCGTGCCATTGACTCAATCATCTCTCTCGACGATGGTTTGGAAAGCCATTCTACGATAATAGATAGATCCGCCATGTTTGTCTTTTCTACGTATTTTCAACAGCAATTTGTGGCGAATTTAAACGTTGTTCCGCGCCTTTAATAGATGTACTTCAAACATTAAAATACTTTAATTACTATACCAGGATTGAAATTGGAGTGGCGTTTCAGATATATTGGGATATTTGTGTAAAACCCATGTAAGATCTAAATTGCAAATGGAGTCTCCTTGCAAGCGAGATTCGCTGATCACGTGGGGTTATAATTTGGGATACTTTGTGATTATTCAGAGAGAGGCATCTTCCTTCTGAGTTGATAAATAGCTATTAAAATGTGAAGAGAGTGCATAGATAGATCCAGATATAGAAACAGAACTGTCAAGGATCAGACTGTGATATTTTGTGGTGTTTCAAGTGAATTCGATAAACAGAAAATGACACAATAACAAGTCACATGGCGCAAGGGTCTCTTGCGGTCTAGAAGAGAGAAGAGGCGTCTTTGGCGTCGTTAGAACTTATCATTTGTGTCGTGCATCGTAGAAATGAAAAGTAATCAAGGACTTGATTGTGTTGTTTTGAATCGCTAGAGTGCATGTCGACCCCATTTTCTCTCAGGATATGTTGCATTGCAGCTATGGCTCCCGCGCTTACGGATGCGGCCAGTCAAGCGAAAATTAAATTGCCAGGTGCCCCAATTTCGCCCTCGAAAACGTCAATACTAAATGGCAGGGACCCTAATGACCAACCTACAAAGAAAGGTGAAGTTTGTAATGTGTTTAATCCAGTATTGTTGGGATCCAAAACAGTAATTAAAATACCTAGCACGTTGCATCATTTGACTGAGAGTTTAAAGTTAGGGGTCAAGACATCAAGTCGTGTTAAAACTAAAAGTAAATCAAATTCTAAAAATAAAACAGTTAACCCAGAGAATATTCCTGTTAATGAAAAGGGCTTATGCAAACAGCAAAAACCTTCCACGTTTCAACAAGAATTTCTTAAATCCATAAACATTTTTGATAGAATGAATCAACCAGTTCCGGTTAATGGAAATCAGCATTCAGAAAAAGTTACAGAATCATGCTCTCTGCCCCCAGTAATACAGAATGATGTCAAACCAATTCTTGTTAATGGCAAGACAAAGTTAAAGAATAAAGATTTACATAATAAAGAATATGAAGACGACCTGAAAAATAATGTACCTGAGTTTGTCAGTATGGGAAATAGAAATAATTTAGCTAATGATGGTGAAATTGTAAATAATTCAGATACTGTCACTGAAAAAGAGGACACTGATTCCGGAACCATGGTTCCTGAAATGAAACCACTGTCATCATTGGATTTGGATAATAAACAAAGTGATATTACAATTTTAAGTTCAGGTGCAGTGATTGTTAATGACGCAGAAATTAATAAAATTATAACTGTTGCACAGGAAATGCCAAAGACAATGCCCCAGGTATCAAAAGCAGAGAAGCTGAGAGCAGTCATTGAGGCATCTAGTGAAATGGATCTTCGACTGGAAGCGTCTAATACACAAGCTCAATTAGAAAGACGTATGGATTTTTATTTAAGGCGTGTGCGACGACTACAAGGTAGAGAACTGGAACAGCATGTTCGAAACCAGATCACACTATGCGTAGAACATCAACAGAAAAATTTGCAGACTGTGACAAGAGCTGTCAGTTCTCACCACAGTTATGGCTTAAATGCCAAAAGTGAATTAAATACAAACGTTCTGAATAAAAGCTTGTCAACAGCTGCTCTTGTTAACTTGGTTCAGCAAGCTCAAAAACAAGCATCACAAAACTCAACATCAGAAATTAGTGCTAAAAGACAGGAAACCACAAATGTGTTGAATATGGACCGAAAAACGCGACGTGAATGTCAGAAAGTTTCTGATCAATTTTTGATGAATGTTCATCATGCAGAAACAGTTATAGATTCTGATGCAACAGAAAGTAGTTCCGGTGGTGAAAGCTGCGATGAAGGCGACCCCATTCCAGTTAATTATCGTAAACTTCATAGACCATTGTAAGTCATCTGTTAAATCAGTCAAGTTGTAAACACTTAATTGACATGTCTGCATGTCGTTTTCATGAAATAGTGTTTACAAAGCCCAGTTTTCAAGGAGTGACTTCCCCTTGTTTCCTCCCAGTCTATACATGTACATGTAGCCATACATGTATCTACCACTGTTGCATGTTCAGTATAGCCCATACCTTTAATCAACTGGTAGACAGTACAATGATGCATGTCATGCATGAAATTTAGACCGTGACATATAAATTGATAAATTTGGCAGTTTCTGAATCTGTCCTCCGAAGCAATGTATATAGTGGTAATATTATTAGACTCGACCCTGAGCTAACTTTATGTTAAATAAGCTTCTTATGCCTTTTTCAGATACAAAAGGGCTGAATGGAAATGGTGTGTTGAACGAGCAGCTGTAGCATCAAGATGGACATGGTTGCAAGCTCAAGTGTCTGATCTAGAATATCGTATTCGACAACAAAGTGATATTTATAAACAGATTCGTCAAAGTAAAGGCAGTATAGTGCTTGGAGACCCGCCTTCTCCACCAAATTTTATGACCAGGCCAAATCCTGGTGGACAGAAAGTTTCTCTAGCTAGTCGTGATAAAAAAACTGAAATGTCTCCATGTAATATATCAAACTTACTGTCCAATGTGGACAAACAAGCAAATCGTTTAACTCTTTCTTTAGGTAATGTTTTATCACCAGCACCTAGTCCTGTATTGGGTGCTAAATCATGTGCTTCTTCTCCTGCTAGTTCTGTAAACGGTCTAATAGAATCTCCGCTTGTGGCACAGGGATTAGATTCTGAAGATAAAGATATACTCATGTCTGTGGAAGATGGTACCGGTATCCAGAATATAAACAAATCTCCTGTCACAGATACATCTTGCCAAGCGGCCAGGTGTCGTCCATTACGTAGTTATAGAAAAAGAAAGTTACTCAGGACTAGAGGTCTGCATCAAAGCAGTCGTAAAGCCGCACGTCTTTCTACAGTAGACTGTCACTGTTATCCACCTGTCACGCCTTGTCCAATGTGCGGGGGTCGTTATAATAATAAGCAGCCAGTGGATGCAGATTCTATGCCAATACGTGAACGTGTGTCGCTGTTGGATTCTTCATTTCATCCTGTTCTTTCATTTTCACATGGTTAGTATGCTTTCTATCTTTCTAATATAGTTTTTAAAAAATACAAATGATAACATTTATCTGAACCCGGGTTGTGTTGTTGTAAAACCACTGTTAGTGTCTACATTGTACTAGGAAATATTTTCATGTAATACTTATGTATACATGTACAGTGAAAGGCCCAAGCCCAGTACTACATGAAACCATTCAGTTAATACCAGAGTGCAGTCAACAAAGTTTTCTTACTATTATTCATTAGGTGACCCAACATTGATTATTGGCCATCTCCATTATTTACTTGTATGACTTCTACATGTATATCTGATATCAGTATCGATGGATGGATTTGGCAGACGCCGATGCGATTCTCAGTCCTCCTTTTTTGTATTATCAATGCATCGGCAAAAAATTAGCTTTATCTCGTAAAAGTTCAGAAGTTCATCCACTAGAATAAATAACACCTTTTCAATACGTTTTTCTGTGTGTTTTTTTATAATTCAAAATAAAACAGCATGCATGTACATTAGTGCTCCTACGACTAGTCGGATAGCCGTAAACGGTTCGAATTGGACGGTTAAACGGTCAACGGTACGGTTATTTGGAGATGTCCCCCATTACACAGGGTTGTGTCTGATTATATTCCTCTCTATAACAAAACTTGCCCGTTGTCATTTTGTATTTGAAAATCTTAGAATGTAACAGTTGTCCTACGATGTCGACTGCTTAAAAATAATACTATTAATAGCACTCGTCATGGTCATACGGCAAAGTCAACGGACCTTGTTCTGACTTTAGCTATTGTTAATCCTAACTAAATACTTCTCGGCATTTCTAACTATATTCTAATTTGTTTATTATTTACTTCAAAACGTAACCACCATTCAAAATATAATCATAAAGGCTAGAAAATGACATTATACTAGATTCGTTACGACATTCAACACGTTTCATATCTCATAATTTCTCGCAAGAATTCTACTTTGGTTTTTAGTTAAATTAACCAATCATGAAAATTCTACTTGCAAGCGAGGAATTATTTCTTTATTGTCCAATCAATAGACGCCTTCCAATTTACTTTATTCTATTCTTAGTAACATTGTGTAATTGTAATATTATCGCCATCTGTCATGTACGAAGGGAAACAGAGTATTGTTTTGTATATTATCGTTATATTGAATTAAAAAATGTTTCAAATGAACCAAGTTAATTAGGTAAATAAATAACGACGACCTAAGATAGTTTAAATTTTCATTAAAGAATTGTACATGTGTGAAAAAATTCCTGAAATTTTGTGCGTGTAATGCCTTTTAAGCGAGTATAGCGTGTGCACGAGTAATGTCTCACACCTCCTGACAAGCCCTTTTTTATGGTTAAAATTGATACCATACGGTTACTAACCGGTTAATAGCTACGGCTATTCGAATAACAAAAAGTCCTAACCGTAGGAGCACTAATGTACATGTAACGGAACAAATCAATGAATCCCGAACGTTGTATTAGGCTAGCCCAACTTGACCTGTTTAAGCTATGCTTCCGTTATGTTTGTCTCCATTTTCCAGTGACTACAAAGACTGCCTTTGTTGGTTACTTTCCCTGGCTATCATGTCCTTCCAACGCCAGGTTTCATTTAAATCCCAAATCTTATAAGCTTATGGAGTCCATGGTCAAATGAACTATATCAGCCATTTTTTTTAACACTAGTATTAAAACGATTTAGTTCTATTTTCTGTAACGGGCTATAGAGAATGTATTTCATAAATCCCTATAGACAGGCTTTGATACGATCCATATAAGTAAGTCAAACTGCCTCTTTAATCTCCTTGCACACCTCATGCCTTCACAACAAATTTGAACAGTGGCTAACAAGTGTCAATTGAAGTGAATCGGACAATATTATTAATGTCTTAATAAATAACAGTAAGAATATTGTGGAAATATATTTATTCAAATAAATTGACATTTCTATAATATTGATAATGTTAGGGAAATCTATGTTTCTATCAGAAATACTAATGTTATTTCTAATTCCTGATGCATTGGTGCGAGTATCGATCAGCACTACTTATGGGAATTTATGTCCCCTGTGGTCTTTTGATGGTAAGATTTGGTTAGAATTGGATGATATTTAGGGAGACAGAAGGCAGTTTATATGTACATTTTATTACAGACAACCATAATTAAATTAACAGGCCCTGTTTCTTGGATTGGAGTGGACCAAAAATTAACTTTTTTTTAGTTTGATGTGTATTTATTATGAAATATTTAATTTTTTTTCAGATATCCCTCTTCATCTCCATTTTGAATCTTTGATAAAAACTGGTAATTGGATGACCAAACCTAATAAAACTAATGTAAATAAGAATAAGAAAAGGTAGGTTATTTGAATAAATACATATATATCGTATTTTAACAGTAAAAACTAGTTGATAAACATTTTTGGATTTCATTCATTCATTCATTTCCATTCAGTGTCATGAACGATTATCATTGGGCGACCATGAAAATGGTTTCCTTGGCAATCTGAAAAGTCGTTTGTCGCCATATTTTGTGTAGGCAGAACATACCAATTGAGATATTATTGGGCTGATTTTTTTTCTCCCCTCTTTCTAATGGTAAACATTTATTTATCCCTAGCTTTTCAAAGAAAGCAGTTCTAAGACTAATGGGTTCATCATGTTCAGACTTGATGTAGTAGATGTTCATTAGGTGAATGCCTTGACTGAGTTTTTTTTTTTTTTTTTTGTGTGGGGATTGGGCAATGGTTAACGCTTGCGAGAACAGATGGTCTGTCATTGAGTCAAATGGCATGGTTTAGATTCCCTACTTGTATGTGACAAGGAGTAGGGTCGCCTGTCCAATCTCGTGGGTTTTCTTCGAGTCCTCCGCCGGTTTCCTCCCACTGCTAAAGACCCCTAGAACCATATGTTAGTCTCAAAATGACCTAGTTATTGTTGAGTGGCCGTTAAACCCCATATCTCTCTCTCTCTCTTGGCTGAGTTCAATGATAAATATGTTCTGCTGAGGCCAAGCAGAGCAATTTCATTTTATTGGGGGAGGTAGATTGTTCAAACTTGGTGTAGATGCTCATTAGTTGAGTGTCTTTTGAACACAATAACTCTACTTCTAATTGATGTAGAGCTTGGTACATGTATAGAGGTTTGTAAATATCTTTATTGAGTTTGATAAGTATTTTCTGTGTCTAATTTGTCGGGTGGGGGGGATGAAACATGTATAGTTATATTACATCAGTTCCATGAATAAGTTTGACAGTGAGTATTTTCTATTTACATGTAGGATATGATGCAGTTTAATTGCTAGATGCTTTTTAGAAAGATAAATGAACAAATAATTGATGAATGTCATCTATTTATTTTAGGATTGAATTGGGGGACATCAGCCTCACTGTTGACTTATTTCCATGTATACACTTGACCATTTAGATATATTCTATGTTTTTGTTTTTTTTACACAATAGGAAATACAAGACTCGTATCATCAGTGACCAAAAGAGGAAATTAAGTAAAAATGCAGCAGCAGCAATTCTCCAGTCAGCTAGTAAGTTGATAAAAGACAAATGAAGTTTTTAGAAAAAAGCGGCTTTCAAAATCTGTAACAAATGAAATCAAGACCTTAAGAAATCTGAGCCACACACAAATTGAACCTCTTGAACCCGTCTAATAAATTTGAAAGGGAAATATCATTTGTTCTAGGCACATAGTTTAGATGGGATTTCAAAGCCAAAGATACTTGTACTGTATAAACTGTAACCATCTAGTCTTACTTGATGTAAAATATAGTTTTGGTCAAATTGCTTGGACATGTCATTTCATAATGCCTTACCACAGTCTCTTGTAGAAATAGTGTGTACATTTGGTTTATCTAAACCTTGAATCTGTAGCTATATATAGCTTGATAAAAATTGCAATGATCTTTTGTGCATATTTTTGCTATATGGATACATGTATATGTTTTCTTCTTCAGAAATTCGAAATAAATATGAAAATAAAGCTATAAAAAGGGGACATAACTCTGTGTGGAACTCAAAAGCAAACAAAAAGAGTATGAAAGTTGAGAATAAACGTAGAAAAGCGGCTAAGCTGGCTGTGGGTAAGTAATTATTGCCTGCATATCTACCGAGTATGTTATTGTTGTGGCAGTGAAATTTACTTTTAACATCAAAAGTTATTTGCCAATCTGTATGAAATTTACATGTGTCATTTAAATTAGTAAAGAGAAGAATCCTATTGAATTTCAGCAATTTCCGTTTCATCCGATATGTATGAAATTTATATGCATCATTTAAATTTGTGAAACCAAAAAGCCTGTCAAATTTCAACAATTTCTGTAGATTACTTCAATTTGTAGAACCTTGTGAACCCTCAAACGGCAAAAATTATAATCTGATCTGTATGGAACTGTCTTATAAAGGCCCCCCAATTACCTACAAAGGAATAAATATGCGACGACTCTTGTCGACCGCTTTGACGATTTAACCGCTGTGGGCGTATGTTTCGTTGTCTGGCAACCTATCTTTCACATTTTCTTTGTGTGTCGTTCAAAATTTCGCGCACACTTATGAAGATCCCACGACACTGGTTGAGAATCACTGTTCTAGAGGCTAACGTTAATATCTGATTGACTTTAAATTTATACACTGTGTTAAAGTTAATCAGACAAAGAAGTCTATTGATATTCAACGATTACCGATAATTATTACCAGAGTTATGGCCCTTGATCACTTTAAAAAATCTTGTGGACGCTCTTGGGGGCTAAAGTTAATATCCGATTGACTTTAAATTTATACACAGTCTTTAAGGCCGTAAGACGAAAAAGCCAAGTGATTTTCAATGATTTATATACATTAACGTCATGAGACGGAAGAAGCCTATTGATTTTTAGCGATTTCTTATAATTACTGCCAGAGTTATGTCCCTTGATCACTTGTGGACACTTTAGAGGCTAAAGTTAATATCCGATTGACTTTAAATTTATACACAGTGTTTAAGACCATGAGACGAAGAAGCCTAGTGATATTCAATGAATTTTGAACAGCTAAATCCATGATATTAAAAGCCATACAAATTCTAATGATTTTCTGAAAAGCATTCAAATATTTCATTGTTCGAATTTCATGAAAATCCTCAAACTTCTCGTCAAAATGTCCACTCCCCTTTATTGAAACACTGAATCTGACAAGATGAGGGCTATATGATGTATATTCTCTGTGAGTTATTTGTTAATACATGTATACCAGCAATACACAGTGAACTAGAGAATAACTCTTATGTTTACATCACAGAAGTCCCAAATTGTCCATTCATTGATAGGACAGAAAAAGAACCTTAAACTGTTTTCATTGTAAATTGTCCCCAATATGCATAAGTTCCCTACAACTATGCTATAACCTCAATTGTATGCTTTCGATGGCCTACACTACATGAAGATCTGACCAGTTGTACTGGGAGTTCGAGTCCAGGGTCATGACGTCAGACATTGATTAATCAATCAGCGTTGTTTCTAGGGGTTTGCCCACAGTTCGTGCAGAGCACGCCAAGAGCTCGCTGTAAAAGACCGTTTCATTGGCTAATTCCTGACATCAACTAGAATGCCTGTTATATAACAACTCTTCCAGATCCTAATGTAGTAAAGACAAGTAAAACAAAATTTTGGACTATTAAAAAACAAAATGAAATAAGATCTGTGTTTTAATCAGATTGCTATAACCTTGCCCAATAAGAACACTATTTTTGTCAGCATGTGTACTGAATATAGAGGTGAATCTTGAATCCGTATTTAACAGGTTTTTGGGTTTTTTTTTCAAATTTAATTTGAAGCATTTAGACAATAGAAGGAAGAACCCTATAGATTTTACCTGACTTCTGCCCGTTGATCTCTTTCAAAAGGTGGGCATGTCAGCCTTGTTTGTCTTGCATGGCAACTGCTTGGGGTTTTATTTAGCAACATTTAGAGCGTACAAGATTTGAATTAAATTGAGTGATTGTCCATAATAATGATTAATTATTTTCATACGTAATTTTACAGCTGCATTGAAGAGACAGGCTCAGTATTTTTCATCCGATTCCAATTTGGCTAATTCCATATCCGGAGAAGGTAATCTTTCTTCAAGCTGTTCAGCTTCTTTGCTGAAGGAAATGAGAGCGGAATCACTGAGGAAGAAGAGAGGTGAAAATGCTTATGACATCAATAACATTGTCATTCCTTACAGCATAGCAGCTGCCACAAGAGTAGAAAAATTGCAATACAAAGAGATAGCAACACCCGAGTAAGTTTTCTTTAATAATTCATTTTCTCTTAACATTTCTTAATCAAATATTAGTGTTAATATCATTTTGAAATGTCCGTTATAGTCCATTAGATTCAAATATGGAATATTTTGTTATTGTATCATTTGTTAGTAGGCATTATGCTAATGTAAATTCTGTATATTGTAGATGGCGGGATGTTAGTCAAGAAACTTCCTTGGAAGCAGATCAATCAAGTTCGGACATTGAGGTAATATATTTTTGGCAATATTTTGTTGACACATTACTGTGCAAACCGTTTGCCCTTGTCACAGTGGGTCAGGATGGAGCTTCTGGCAAGGATGGAACAAAAAAACCGAGATCTCGTGTACGTATTTGGGAACACGTAAAACAACACTAGACAGTTGGAATTGGAAATAGGAATAGGCTCTAGCTCTGCTGTCTGAATAATATTTCCCAGTAAACCCCATTTCACTTACTATACCGCCATCATTGGGTGGAAGAAGAATTATGTTTTTGATAGAATGGTTAGATTGACATTGTTTCTGTAGTAGTTTGCATTATTTAATAATAATGGTATAGAATACATTTAGCAAGTGATATTGAATGTTCTTTTTGTTATTTTAATTTTCACAATGTTTTGTATTTCAAGACTACCAATCTACCATTATTTCTATCAATTTCAGGATATCTCTGATACATCATTTTCTATTCGACATCAGAAGTGTGAAGCTGAAGAGAAAAAACGGTTTGCTAGTTTCATTCAGTATCCTATGCGAAGACGTATCAGAACAGATTTAGGAATCTCTACATCAGACCCAGCCTCCCCAGATCCACTAGGAACAGAAACATTCACTCACACATCTCAGGAACATCGACCATCTTCGCCACTCTCGGCATTTGGTGATGAAAGTGTAGGAAGTGTTCACATTCAAAGGAGGAGTAGTTCAATTTCTAAACGGTTTAGTGTAAGTTCTAGTTTTGATGATCCACTGGAGTATGAAAGGGAAAAGGTTGATCCTTGGTCTCCTAGAACGTTCCCATTATCAGAAGCAGACTATGAAGAAATGAAGTCAGTTGAACCTCATGTTTATGAGACATTACCGGTCATTTCACCTGTTCAACCCACTGTTAATGCTGATGTTATTACTGACTCATCAAGCCGAACAGAAAGTACACCTGGAAGCAGTCGACCAACATCTCCAATACAGAGTAGTTGTTCTAATTCTGTGATGGATGACGATGATCCAAATGATCCAGAATGGACAGGTGACAAATCTCCTGGTAAGGAGGATTGAGAAAGAAAGGTGATGAATGTTTGAAGCTGACTAAAATTCAAGATGGATGATTACTATGAAGTAATCAGGATGGGTTGGTTGACAGAGGTAATGGAAGCAGAGTTATCCCACCGTGGGATTTCAGGCTGAAATAGGTGTGCTTTTTCGTGTATCATCATATTTAGCTGTGGTTTTGTGTATGCATCACAAGTTATACTGATCATTTGCACCAGAGAAAGGTCGTGAGAATAAATTACAACAAAAAGTGTGTTCACAGCTGTTCTAGTGAACAGTATAAAATAGAATCGAGTGCCATTTGTAACAAATATAATATACAATTGTTCATAACTTAACAATTGAGTGTCTTGCAAAGATAAATGACAATTCTACGAAGTTATTGTAATATAGTATGTGTGAGTACAGGATAGAAAGACAACAATTATTAATGGGCAGGGGGTGGATAAATTTTGTTTGAATGTGAAACTTGGGGATAGAGTAAATATATATATATATACATGTATACACATGTTTGGACATCTCTACTGTACAATAGAAGAAATCATGTCAAGATATAAACTCTCATCAAATGGTATGAAACATTTGACTGTTCTTTGTAACATATTTTGAAAATGTTGTGTTTTTATTTTGATTTTGTAGATTTGTTTGTTAATTTTGTGTATTATGGTTGCTATTGTAGATAGCAGAGTATATATTGTGCATTTCTCTACCAGCATTTCATTCCCGTAACAGTTACACTACCAATTAAATTTGTGTTTGTCTTGGATAATATTAGAAATTCAAAAATGTTTACAAGAAATTTGAAATCCATGATCAATTTTCTAACAGATTATTTTTTTGTAGAATATCTCTTATCATGAGGCATTTATGTTTGAATTTTATATATTATTCTTCAAAATGAGATATTAACTCTAGATTAACTCTACTTCATTTTTACTGGTTATCTTTATTTTTATATTTTGAATATTCATGATTAGTGATTATCTTATTCCTAAATTACATGTTCATTTTCTTTAGTAGCTTCTCCATTGTAATTTAAACTGACAGCCAGATATAAGAAGACAAAACTAATAATCTATTGGTGCATTTATACATGTACATTGTAAATTTATCGACCACAAGTGCTGAAATTAATATCCATATATACTGAAATACATTCTTTGTTTTTGAATGACATTGTGTTGTGAATATATTTGATATTTGACATCCGAAATATAAATCATTACTGTTTAAAAGTATCTAAAAAATCAAACTTATCAGCTTAGAAGTTCTCAAAATTAACAGTACTGCTGGATTGACTATAGATGACTCAAAATTCCAAACTTTTAATATTAAATATCCCTGAGAAAAAACTAGGTCTACAGTGATAAAGAATTTGAACCTGGATACATGTATGTACATTTAGTTAATAATTGTAAATGATTTCCGATTACCATATTGTAGTGTATCGAGAAATCAGGTTTGTATTGTATGATTCTCCATGTTTCAATATAGTGTTGCAGACTCTCAGGGACCGTACAATAGAAATACATTAATATTTTCTTAAAATTTTGTCATTTCTCAAAAAATTATCATAAAATGGAAAAATTTAACAAATATAAATTTCACTGTTTCTCATAAAATGAAACAAATTTTTTTTCAAAATATAAAATTAACCATAAACGCTACTCCCAATAATCAATTTCTATACTAATAAACCCAGTTTTGAATAACAAAATCAGCCAGGCATTTTATGAACCCAAGCTTGCTCTCTTTCATTTTCTATTTGACAGTTAAACCCCATTTCATTTCATTTTCTATTTGACAGTGTGAACATACTGTATGTACATGTATGACCTCCAGGCTAGCAATCCAGCATCTTACCCACCATAGGTATATGAACATAGGAGAAAACGACTGTGCTACTGGTGTGACGTTCTTATCCACATAACACTGGCTGAACACCACTTCATGGACCGGAATTAAGTTATTTACTGTCATTACAGTTGTATAAAAAAAAGTCATAATATTTGATAATGATAAAAACATAAAAAGTCATGAAATGTGATAAAAACATTATGAAGATATAAAATTTGATAAAAAAACCCATAAAATTCCATGAAAAAAATTCATAAAAATGTAAATTTATGACAAAAATCTGTGTACGGTCCCTGGAGTCGGGAATAACTGATTCAAACTAATACACATGTAAACTTGATATACAGTGGAATCTGTCGCTTCCGACATCGTACGGGATCGTTAAAATATGCTTGATTACACATGACGGAATACTCAATACCGAAAGTATTATTGTACCTTCGAATACCATTAGTATAATCTTCGGTTGTATTATTTGGTGGCAAAAATTTGATATTTACGTTGCTATAGCGCTCGCATTTTTATCACATAATGATTGGTCGGGTAATTCTCTGAAAACCAAACCAGTTTCATCACAATTAAAAATGATTTTTTCAGGAGAATACCCTTCAATAATATGCAGAGTTCTTCAATGGCACCCTAGATTCGTAGAATGTTTAAAGGCTTTGATGTTGAAACCACTCTTCATTCCGTTAATATCAAGGTAATCAACAAAGACCGACACGAGTATTAATCTCACCGATAATTGATTGGTGATTGCTTGTCAATCTTTTGTATTTGAACACCGATGGATTGAAGTCCAGATTATACAATGTTAATTCAATGCAAATCGTGTTACGGGACCGCTGATTGATGTCGTAATTCGTAATATTCAGAATACACAAAACTGTTTTGGTTGAAGTAATAAGGAAATAAATCGAGACATGGAAATGATGACGGATTTCACAGAATGCCGTAGTATTCAGAAGCCGGATGTCAGAGTCCACTGTACATGTATTGACAGTTGACACACTTGATACCAAACCAGTGTATTGCATTTGTAATTCGGACTGCCAGAATCTATTAAAGCCCCAATATGCAAGTTAAGTCAAAAATATGTACTAGTAAAGGCTATTTTTATTATGTAATTAATCTGAGTACAGTATAAAAAATCTTCATAAGGAATGGTTTTGCATGTATGAAAAAGACAGCAGAATTATTATATGTAAAAGCAACAGAAACCAGTGTTAAGTTTACATAGCCAGAAAAATTTAGAATTTATTGTTTTGAAAACTTTGGACAAAAATGTGTTGGTTTTTTTTTTTAAAAATACTACTTTTCATTGTGCAGGGTCTCAAACTCTAAATTTAACATTTATTCCGGCATGTTGGGGCTTTAAAATGATTTTTTTTTTTTATTCATTTCATATTATTTCTGTTAATGGTTCGTAAATTTTAATTTCTGCTCAATTCAGTCAGGAATGAAGTTACTTAAGTCAAAGCAGAACAACAAGTTTATATTGGGATTTGACAAAAGAAAACATTTTGATGTTTTTTGTTCTTGAAATTAAGTTTTTGATAAAATACATTCCAACGGCATGTCAGTTCTTGATTTATTGCTTCCTCTTTTGTAGTTACTTTTTTTAATGTAGAAATATAGTGCAGCACAAATCTATCTGGTTTCAACATAAGTTGATATTCCTGTTTCTGTGACAAACATAAGATTAATTACGTGAAATGAACTCTTGTCTGAAAAGCTTTTCTATAACTTCAAGTTTAACATTGAATTTATTATAGCTTTTATTATTTGCATCCATATTTCTTTGTACTCTTCTTTGAAAACTGTTAAAATAATGAAAACATAATCTCTAAAACTTGAAGCTTTTTTTGTCTGTTAACTTTGCAGATTATGTAGTGCATAGTGCAATTGTTAAAATTATAAAAAAAATATAAATAAATCTAAATGAAGACACAATCTGGCTTGTTATTTACTTGGCTTAAAAAAGTTTTTGGAGGACTGGGCTGAAGATATTATCAAAATGTTTAGCTAATGACTACTGTATTTTGTATATCCCACTAGTGATTAGATGAGATTTTAATCTGAATAGTGTGCGGTCTTCGTCATCTGTCATCAGATATCGACTTTAATATGTGGGCACTGTTGACAAGGCTATCATATGATTATTTTTATATTTCTCCCGGGCCTTTCGAAGAAAACAGGGGACTATTAAAATGGATTTGTTCGTCTCTCTGTCCGTCACACTTTTTGGGACACAAAACTACTAATTGAGCTAGAATGTTCAAACTTGGTGTAGGTCGATGCCTTGATGGAGTTCAAAGAAGAGCATTTTCTGCTTAGGGTAAGCAGAGCTAAGCAATTTGATTGACTGATGCTTTGGGACACGATAACTTTAGCTCTAATTAAGTGAGAGTGATGAAACTTGGTGTATAGTTTCAACACATCAATCTTGACCAAGTTCGATAATGAACCTTTTCTGATGAGGGTAAGCAGAGTGATAAGCCATTTAATTGGTCAAAACTTTGAAACACAATAACTCTCCTAATTGAGTTAGAATATTCAAACTTGGTGTAGGCATTCATTAGGTGAATGCCTTAATCGAGTTCGATGATGAACATTGTCTGCTTTCGGTAAGAAGAGATAAGCAATTTGATTGGTTGATGCTTTTGGGCACGATAACTTTGATTATAATTAAGCGAGAGCTATGAAACTCCGAGTATAAATTCATTATATCATTACCTTGACTAAGTTTGATGAGAATTTTATGCTTAAGCTAAGGAGCGATGAACAATTTGATTGGTCAAGACTTTTGGAACGTAACAAATCTGCTTTTAATTGAGGTAGAATGTTTAAACTTGATGTTGATTTTTATTAGGTAAATGTCTCGACTGAGTTCAATGAATAACATTTCCTGCAAAAGCTAAGCAGAGTTAAGCAATTTCTCTGACTTTGATTGTTGATTCTATCTGATACAGAGATGAACCTTGATAATCAGTTTGATAGCTCATACTTTTGAAAAAGATAAACGTGCAATTAGTTAATGTGTCATCTATTTATTTCTGAATTTCGGTGGGGTCATCAGCCTCACTGTTTTACAATGTCTGGTGCTGGGTTTGTTTTGGTTTTTTTGTTGTTTTTTTTTGGGGGGGGGGTCTTGAGCCACACACAGCATGGCATGGAACGAAAGAGTGTTTATCCCCCTTTCATGTGGCACCAGTGATTATTCCTGAAAGCACTCAACATAGCTTAAAATCCGCCCCCATACAGTGCTACTCGACACATCCTCTTTTTTAAAATTCTGTTTACGTCCGCTGCTATTCTTTATTCTTGAGTCACCCAATATTTTGCGTGGAATGAAAGAACTCGTGTGTATCCATCTTTCATGTTGCACCAAGCAATATTCCTGAAAGTCATTGACATAGTCTGAAATCCGTCCCTGTAAAGCACTACCCCACCCTCCGTCTTTTGTGTCAATTCTGTTTTACCAAACGTCCGCTGCTATTTAATTTTTCCTGAGCCACCTGACAATTGGCATTGAATGAAAAAGTGTTTATCCCTCTTTCTTGTGGAACCATGGATTATTCCTTAAAGTCCTCGACACAGTCGGAAATCAATCTCAGTAAAGCACTATACAACTTTTTTGTCAATTCTGCTTACCAAGTTACGTCTGCGTACGGTAGTGTGTGCAGTAATATAAACACATTAGAGCACGCGTTGGAAACTGCATGAGCGCAAAATTCGCAATGGAAAATGGATCTCCTCAAGATTTCGTCATCGGCCCAACTCTTTTCAAAGCTGTGGTTGCAAAATGTCGAATTCGCACTTTTTGCAGACATTAGGCCTACAGCTTTCTGGAATTCATCACAGGATACGGTATCGAACAAATAAAATTTTCGCAAGAATATAGGCATACTCGTGATCATATTATGATTATCTGTTGATGAACAAATGACTGAGGATTCAAAATATCGGACTGATAGCAATAGAAAAATTGAGTCAAAGTTAATGAGACGAATGAAAATGAGCCCTTTCATGCCTAGAAATGGTTCCACCAGGCCCCGTAGCTAGCTTGCTAGCTTCGGAGGGGCAGTGAAGTTTTTAGGGGGGGGGGGACAGTCTACAGTAGGTATTTTACAGCTATGGTCGGCAAATTTTTTGGGGGGCCTGGGTTCCACTACTACTGATGTCTTCTGCCTAACTCAAACACAGTTTTTAAAACGGTAAGGGCGGATCCAGGGGGGGGGGGGAATCAAAACTTTTTATGAGAAATGTTTCTCTACCGTGTGCTTTGGCTTTAAATATCGTCAGATTTGGGACAGGATGGGCACTCAAAGCGCGAGATAATGATGTAGACATTATGTGATATCACAATTGATGCTTTAATTGCATCCATGAAATTGAATCACAATTCACAATGTCATTGTATTAATTCATAATAAAAATTGACGTCAAACGAGATGTTGAATTTCTCTGTTTAAAAAGCTCAATGTGTGTGTAGGCCTATATATAGCCTACGATAGAGGCAATGCGTGTGGTGGGGGGGGGGATACATTGTCTCAGAAACCTGGCAAACCCCCTCCTGCAAAAATTCCTGGATCCGCCCCTGAAACATACATTTAATTGTAGCTATTCCATGCCTTGATTTTGAATCCTTACATTACACAATGTGCGTATTTAACATCAATCTTATTTGAATAAAATACAAAACTGAAATTTAAATTAGAGACAAATGTCCTTGGCATGAGCTTGGATTCACGGCTATCGACCGTGGAAGCCACACATCGACGCCGACGGCATCGGCAACCGCGTACAATAATATCAGCAGTGTTTTTCACTTTTTCAATATTATTTATATATAGGCTATATATATTAGCCCCTCCGAATAACTTCTGTATAACTATAAGGTTACTCAGTGCCATGACAGTCTATTTCAGTATTTGAAATTTCAATTTGACGTGTTTTCATGTTTGCGTGATGCAGGGTAGCGGTGGTGTTATCATTTTTAATGCTACACATGCAGTTGTGTTTCACTAACAAAATAATTCCAAGTGTCTGTGTTTGATTCACATGGTCAACAAATTAATAAGAACCACTAGCCTAGCCTATTTAAAATAAAATTCTTTCGTGGGGAAGTTTCACACACGGCAATCCGCACATGCGCAATACACGGAGCACGTTGAAATAAAATGTGATTTTGAACCAGTGAAATACTGACACACCGTATGAAGTGAACAGTACCGAAAACATGACTACAGTTCGGCACCTGTCGGGATATTTATTTCTTTCGGCATTATTTATTATTGATGCATATTGTGGAGTTAATGAAGATACAGCATTCGATGCAGGAAATGGTGTTTCTATGACTTTTGCAGAGGCTAAAGCACCAAGGTAAAAGAAAAACTTCTTCGGATATCAATAGAGTCTAAGAGACTCGTTCTTTACTTCTTTAATAAAAGTCTTTTTACTTAGACACCCCGTTATGACAACTAGCCTAGATGGTTTAATTAGTGGTATTAGTAACACTATTAGTAATAGTTTTAGTTTGAAATTTTTTTGATCAAAAATTCTACCACTAGTACCAGTGGTTAAAAGTGGTGTATTATTGATAAACTATTATTATATTACTGTTACGATCTACTTGAGTACTTACTTCTGCAAACTGATCGATCAGCAGTAAATATAAAATAATATCTTGGTTGCTCGTGCTACTACACTACTAGTACTACTATCACACAAAGATGCATTCCCATGAAAGTTATTTCCAATAAAAGTAGGGGATATTGAATTGAAATGCAAATACCTATGCAGGTTGTGATATGATTGATAAATAGTCATGGACTCTTGACATGCTTTTAGAGTATCGCCCCAACAGAACCACTAGCTGCACATGCGACATGCAATAGCACCATACACGTGGGCTAGGGGTTCATTGTCAAATTTGACACTTCAAGGAAGGGTTGATGAAAACTACTGCGTGCTGGGTTATCCTATCCATGTTTGCTTTCCTATCGGTTCTTGCATAAGATTTACTGATTAGCGTATCTTTGCTTTAGTGTGTTACGTTTAATTTGCAATGAGACGTCTTCAAGATGATGAACGTACGTCTACGTGCTATTGGCATGCTCCAAATGGGTTGTACACAGCGAGCAGTTAGCCAACATGCTTTTAATGTGTCACAGTCTGTGATCAGCAGACTGTGGAACCGGTACCAACAAACACACAATGTTGATGATAGACCTCATTCAGGTCGTCCCAGAGCCACTACACGAGCCTAGGATCGATACATTCATACACAGGTCCTGCGAAATCGAGGACAAACGGCTGTAAACTTGTACCAAGTTACAGGAATTCGAGTTACACCCCAAACGATTAGAAATCGGCTACATACTGCCCATTTGCATGCGCGCCGACCGCGTATTGTGCCTCCGTTAACTCGCCAGCACATGGCAAACAGGCGTCAATGGTGTAGGCAGCGTAGAAATTGGGGTATTCGTCGATGGGCGCATGTAATGTTCTTAGATGAGTCAAGATTTACTCTGGATTTCACCGATAGGCGTGCTCACAGTTTGAGGCGTGTAAATGAGCATCAAGCTAACGTTAACGTCAGGCAGCATGACTGGCAGAACGGACTTGCATATTGTTCAAGGAAGGGTCACTGGTGTGTACTACCGCGACCACATCCTGGCACCGATAGTTCTGCCCTTTGCTCAACGTGCAGCTCGATGTTTCATCTTTCAAGATGATAATGCCTGTGTCCACCGCGCTCATTTGATTAGGAGCATGCCACGATGAATTGCTGAATGTCTGAGGATTGGTGAGCAATTACCCATTACTCATTATTAAGACAAAAATCAAAAATGTCCATTTTCACTTTTGACCAAAGCCCGGTCCAGTGAGCATCGTAGGGGCGAACACCGCAGGTGAGAGTCCACGTGGGGGGTCTGGGTGGGGGGCCCTCCCACTGAAAAATTGGAAAATTGACTCCCTTTGACTTGATTTCTGAGCACCGTAGGGGTGAACCGCGCGAACACCGCAGGTGAGAGTCTGGGTGGGGGGCCCTTCCACTGAAAATTTTGAAAATTGACTCCCTTCGACTCGATTTCTGAGCACTTAAAAAATAGTTTTGGAGATTTGATACACTATAGTTTTGGCATCTTGTTAAACCATGGATTGATTAATACCCTGTAAAATCGAGATCAAAACACTGCTGCGGCTGACGTGCAGACAGAAATATACCCATAAAACAATCAGAAAGACGATTTTGTAAACCTACGCACCATGATATAGTGTTGGCACATGGGAAAAACCTTGTCAGCGATTTTCAAAACGTATGTATGTTGCCGCTCATTCTTCAACTTTTGGGCTCAGTAGGCGGCACAGTTTGGCCAGTGCGCGTGCCGCCTAGTCACCATGTTAAACGAGGCTCTGCTTTTGACAGTGTATCATCTCTTTGCAAGTGAAATGGGGCCGTCAGATAAGCCGCCCATATGAACTGTTTATGTTCATGTGTAGGCAATTGGCCTGTTATTAAAATACACTGGTTACCTCTAATAAAAACAGCAGTGCATTTCCGCAGTTTTGTATTGTTTCTGAATATCCCATACTTTTTTTGGAAGAGTATATATATGGAAAGTAGAGATGCCAAACCATACTAAAGTAGAAAAACATCCACGAGCAAGCACTGGGCAAAACTGTCAGTGTATCACTATAAACTGTCAACCCGACGGCTTATAACTTATTATAAGTTATTGTCTGCCAGCTGTATCAACACTGTATCAGATGAAGAAGTCTTTTAAATTTAACAATTTCCATTAATTTCTTCTGAAGTTATGGCCCTTGTTTCACTTTGTAGAACCTTGTGAATGCTCTAACTACAAAAGTTATATGATCTGTATGAAATTTATGTGCATTATTTAAATTAGTACAGTAAACCGAAGAAGCCTAGATCACATTCAACAATTTCCGGCAATTACTTCTAGAGTTATGGCCCTTGTTTCATCCAATATCAATGAAATTTATGCATTATTTGCATTAGTAAAACAAGAAGCCTATCAAGTTTTAACAATTTCCATTCATTACTTCTGGAGTTATCACCCTTGTTTCAATTTGTAGAACCTTGTAAAAGCTCACATGACAAAAGTTATCACCTGATTTGTATTAAATTGATATCTGTCTCTTAGTTTTGAACACTCCCATTTGTAAACGCTCCCATTGCCACCAAAAGAATGAATATGAGAGATCCCTCGTCGACTGCTCTGATGATTTAGCTTCTCTGGGCGTATATTTTGTTGCCTGATAACCTATCTTTAAAAACAAGATACCTATTTTGCTTTGTTTTTTATAGTTCAAAATTTTGTTTACTTCACTTTACAACACTAGGATCTGGAAGAGTTGTTATATAACCTGCGTTCTGGATGGTGTGGGGGACTATCCAATGAAACGCTCTGTTGCGGCGAGGTTTTGGCGTGAGGTGCACAGAACCGTGGGTAACCCACTAGAAACATCACCGCTGATTGGTTAATCAAATTTCTAACGTCGTAGGTTCAAAAGACGCTCGTATGACCTGTGACGCAACCTTCCACTACAACCAGGTCAGATGTTCATGTAGTAGAAGCCATCGAAAGTATAAAAAAAAGAAATGAAATATAGATCTGTATTTTAATCAGATTGCCTGCACAGTAATTTAATACAAGGAGTAGCATATCAACATGTAAGCTTGATCTTGTGTAGACTACTGACACTGGTAATATAATATGCAAGTATATATTTGTCTCCAATATTGATTTATTATATTATTTCAGATTTTTGCTGTATAATGTAAACTATGGTGAAGGTTTTAACCTAAGAAGAGATGTGTATATGAGAATAGCTAATCTAGTCAGAGTTTTAAATGAAGAAGAACCGTGGATATTGGTATTACCTCCCTGGGGCCGACTCTATCACTGGCAATCAAAAGATATAAAAAATCAGAATCGAATACGTTGGTCTCTTTTCTTCGATGTTTACAGTTTAAAGAAGTTTGCTCCTGTGGTAGAATTTGAAGAGTTTTTAACAAGTATGATTTCAAAACAATTGATAATTTAAGGGTTACTTTTCCAAAATAAAGTAGGCAAACCGAGGCTGCAGACATAATATAGTATATCTATATCTTCAGCTTGGATCGCATCTCATCTGTCATAAACAAATAAACTGTTTTGTCCCAAAATGCCAGCAACAAATTTTTGTACGCCTACATTTTCATGTAGACGTATATATTATCGTCGCCCCTGTCCGTATGTCCACAATTTGTTTGTGGACACTCTACAGGTCACAATTTTTATCCGATTTTAAAGAAACTTGAAATATTGGTTTATCCTCAAAAGATCTTGGTTCCTGTTGATATTGGCATGTATCATACTGTAACTTCATGGATTATGGCCTGTGATTGTACGAAAAATCATGTTTTTAGCTTTTAGACACTCTAGAGGTCACAATTTTGATCCGATATCGATGAAACTTAACATATATGTTTATATCCCAAAGATCTCAGTTGCTTTCGATATTTGCTCATTTCAGACTATACTGAATGTATGAAAAATCTATTTTTCACTTGTTGTTCCTCCAGAGGTCACAATTTTGATCCATAATGACAGTTGAGTTTGAATTTCATAAAAATCGGACTGAAACATCCGACAAAATGACCACTCTCCTTACGCAAATATGTTATGGAGGTCACATTTTTATACAATTTCAAAGAAACTTAAAATATATGTTTACATCCCAAAGATCTGGGTTCCTTTTGATTCTTGCGCGTATCAGATCGTAACTTCCTGGATTATTATAGCCTTGATGTTAGGTAAAGTCGCTTTTTTTTATCTTGTTCTCTGTCCATCTCTTGCAAAATATAAAATGTGGGCATATCTTGCCTGCAACTGCTGGTTAAATGCATATCATTGAACAAATAGAAAGTAAACACTGGTCTCATCCCAAATACCCCACTTTCTGTTTTGCTAAGATGTCATTTTAAGCTACAGACTTTGTTCATTGTCCGCATCTTCTTTTGCGATCTGCTGATACTATATTCAACCTTGATTGAAACCTAAGCTTATAGATTGACATGATCTTCTACTACAGTGAGTAAAGAACCTGTCATAGATGAAGTTTATTATTTACAAAACTATAAAGAAGGTTGGACTGAATGGGAAGAAAAGATGGACTTTAGACCATGTAATGAGAATAATCATTATTATTGGAAGGTAGATATGTTTCTGTGCAAAATCTCATAAACTTAATATAGTGTGCTGAACAGTCACAAGAACTTTCGTTTATTATACCCCCGGCCTCTACCCTTGCTAACTAAAAATTTGATAGGTCTGGCTGGAAAAGTTATCCAAAGATTTGAATGAACTGTGGTCTAGATTTACTTACACAATACATGTATGTAGTATCTGATTATAATAAAGACAGCTTTTACAACAGTAGGCCCTACTCTATATGCCTCATGCTCTGCGCATGCTCGGTTGATGGTTTATATCCGCCCACATTTTAATGTGGACGTATATTGTCCTTGCCCCTGTCCGCTCGGACGTCTGTCACAGGTCACAATTTTTATCTCCCAAAGATCTTGGTTCCTTTCGATATTAGCATGTATCAGACCATAACTTCATGGATTATGGCCCCTGATTGTACGAAAAATCCAGTTTTTAGATTATGGACAACTCTAGAGGCTAGAGGTAACAATTTTTTTCCGATTTTGATGAAACTTAAATTGTATGTTAATCACCCAAAGATATTGGTTCCTAACTTCCTGGATTATGACCCCTGATTGTATGAAAAATTGTCTTTTTATATGCCCACATTTTAATGTGGGTGTATCGTGTTGTTCGTCCATCCATCCATCCGTAATTTCCTTGTGTGTCATTTATGGGCCATGCCAACTTTCTGAAGCCATTTTTACTGAAAAACACAACTGCAAGGTATGTGATAATTCAAGCAAGACATAATTTATTCTACAGGTCACAATTTTTATCCAATTTTGACGAAAGATCTTGGTTCTTTTCGATATTAGCACTTTAGAAGTCACAATATTTATCCGATTATGATGAAACTTAAAAATATGTTTATATCCCAAAGATCTTGGTTTCTTTCGACCTTCATGCTTACACACTGGACCCTTTGTTTTGACCGGGTGTTCAAGTTACTGATCAACCTGTAATGTGTTGTTTTAGCACGTGCACAGGTGATCATTTGAGAAAAAGTAGGTGTTCATCACCCCAACACACTAAACCGGTGATTTTAATGCGTGCACTGTATTAGAAATAACAAGAAACATTGTGTTAATTAAAAAAGATAAATACATATTGTTAAAACAATAAATAAATGTTGTTTCAATGATTTCTAGTTTGTGAAATAGTAACATTAGCTAGAAAACTCATCCAACAGTATAAGGAACAAATACACGAAACCTAGTGAACTGGGATAAATTTCTGTTTGGCCATTTTTTAGATAGTTTTAATCGTTCCTTTTGTCTATTCTAACTAAAATAAATATTACGTTATCCATTGTCCTGTTGTGGATTTTAAAAATAGATTGCCACTAAACGTAACATACACCCACAGAGAGAGAGAGACATGAGGTTAACGTCCACTTGACTTAAACTAGGTCATTTAGGGGCTAAAATATGGTTCAATTTTACATCAATAATTTGCTTGCGCATATGGGTCTTTAGCAGTGGGAGGAAACCGGAGGACCGGGAGAAAACCCACAAGGCTGGACAGGCGACCCTACTCCTTGTCACGTACAACCGGGGAATCAAAACTCCGCCAGTAGACTTATTGATAGACCTCATAATACAATACGCTTGTGCTAACCATTCGGCACCCAATCCCCCCACATACGCCCACAGTAGCTAAGTCGTCCAAGCGTCAGATTTGTATGGCTTCTAGTTCTGACATTGGAATGATCTAATTTGTATGCATCGTAAATAGACAGACATAAACTGGCTATATTCAGGTTATGGACCCCTCCCCCAATCTGCTGAGTAAACAACAATATATGACGTGCAAAATAATGTATTGATACCTGTTATAGACGAATTGGTAAAACGATTTTGTGTAATAAACGTGCATCTCGTATCCGCCCATTTTTATTTATTCATACAACTTCTTACACAAACAACGAATCCAGTGTGTAAGTGAGTTATCGACCTTGACCTTGGGGTCAGTGTACAACTTTGCATGAGCTCATGTGTTCATCTAACTTGAACCCTTCTGTCTCAGTCGATAACCCTGACATATCAGGCAGTAACTTCCAGGATTATGGCCCCTGATAGTAAGAAAAATCACATTTTTAGCTTGTGGAACCTCTTGAGGTCACAATTTTTATCCGATATTCCAAAGATCTCGGTTCCTTTCGATATATTCGCACATATCAGACAGTATCTTTCTGGATTATGATCCCTGATTGTACGACAAATCACGTTTTTAGCTTGTGGATCTTCTAGAGTTCGCAATTTTTATCCGATTTAAAAAGCTGTTTAAATATATCACCGTTGTACCATAATAACAGTTGATTTTGAATTTCTTGAAATTCGTATTGAAACTGCCCGACAAAATGGCCACTCCCCGTACGCAAATAGTGTAAAAGTATGTAATACCAAGGTTGGTTTAACCTACCTTTCAGAACTTCGAAACTGGAAAATGGGATTCCTGGTTCTTTGGATATGAAGATCAAGTGACTGCAAGTAAATTTCAGTGTGTGTCATTCATGGGCCATGCAAGCTTTCTGAAACCATTTTTACTGAAAAACACAACTGCAAGGTATATGATGAATTTAAGCAAGACATAATTTAATCTTTATTTAAGGAAATATTTATGTATTTTTAATGGAGCTTGCATCATTTTTTTTGTCTCTCTGGCCATTTTTATTTTTGTTTAGCTTCTTTTGATATAATATTATGTCATTTTAGGTCAGTCATGATAGAAAGAGCAGAAACAGTTTTACATGATCAATTTGGAAATAGTGAATATTGGCAGGTAGGCCTACATATTTAATATATATCGCTTAACCTGTTATCAAAATGATGATATGCCAAGACTCCAACCAGCTCCAACCAAATTATGATACTAATTGTGAATGTATTTACAAGTAACTGTAATATGTCGATTTTTACAGGCAAGACGTAGTATGGTCTTTTCTACCACATTGAGGGATATTGGTAATGAATTCCGTGCCAAATATTTAGATTCTACAGATGAAAAGGATAATACTATATTTGAAGAAGATTGGACAAAAATGAAGGCAAGTCTTTATTTTGAAATGGCTTTCTTCTCTAGGGATCCAGTCACACCTAGTTAGACATTATCTTTTGGTGTTTATGTCAATAACATTTTGCTATGTAATACTTGCTAAACATTTGTCACAGAGTTGTTACAAATCTGTTTCCCTATAAATCTTATGATTGTAAAATTTGGACAAACTTGCTGGTGTTCATATGTTTTGTCACCTGTTTCATTTAAAGAACAACTGGTAAAAATGTTTTTTTTTGTCATTTTATAGAGAAAACATGGAGAGGCTAAAGGTGGGCAATATATTGGTGTTCATCTACGAAGAAAAGATTTTTTACGAACATCCAGACATTTACCATCATTAAAACATGCAGCTAAACAAATAGAAAAATTGTTAATAAAATATAATTTATCTAAAGTCTTTATAGCAACTGATGCACCTAGGGATGGTAGGCACACTGTTTATTTGTTATCTTTTTTTTGTAGTGTCAACAGATCGAAGTGAGGTGGTCACATTTCAGGGTTATAATCTTATAATTTTGTTAGTGTAAATTTGTGCATGCATTAAGTAGTGACACAATATCCCAATCACAACATAGAGTTGCATTCCACCACATTGTGACAATACTGACTGGACCGTAACCTACTGCTTCTTCAGTTTTATCGATATCAGACCTGGACTTGGTACAGTACACCTTATTGGACTGTTAATGAGATTACCGGGTTTTGGCATTTTCAATAAAAAAAGTAATTCTAATTTGACTATAAAAGTTTCATTGGGGATGTTCAAATTAGATTGTATTCAATATTTGAGAGCAATCTAGTTATCATAACACTATAGAAAAATAGATGTTTGAGAACAGTCTGCCATATTACTACAGGGATATAGATGTGTAACTGTCGGAGTGATAATATCTCTTTAATTCCAACAAATTCATTTTATTGTAAATTCCACATTTTAACAAGATTTGTTAAATTTTTTAAACATGTACATTGTATACTAAAATGAAAAGATGTTTAAAATTTTTTGCTTGTTAATTTATGGTTTGTTTTTTACAGAATTTGAAGAATTAAGTGAATATTTATCTGATTTTGAAGTATTAGCATTTAATCCTACATCAGAAGTTAGAGAAGAATATAAAGAAGGTGGCTTAGCTATAATAGATCAGTGGATATGTGCTCATGCTAGGTTAGTATAGATACATAATATTCAGATGGTGTCATCACAAGCATCAAAATTAAACAATGTCGTACACAGCCCTTTTTTAATATAAAAAAAATAAGTCCAACATTTTGCAGTTCTCCCAATCATAAAAGAGTCCAGTACACTTGCTACCAGAGCTAACTAAACACCTAAAAATATGCTTTTGCTGCCATTTGCACTTTTTACTACCAATCGGTGTGGGAGGGGGAGAAAATCTTAATGACTTTTCATCCAAATAATACACCTCATGGAAATGTGGTCATATATTGCCCCCACCTGTTCGTCTATCCATCTGTTGGTCTGTTGTCCACAATTTCGTGTGAACACTATACAGACTACATTTATCATCTTATTGTTTTGAAATTGATATATGTTGTTTATATTAGTGAGATGAACAATCCTATTTAATTTCAATATTTTCCGTCAATGTATTCTGGAGTTATGGCCCTTGTTTCACTTTATTGCATCTTGTGAATGCTCTTAAGAACGTATCCGCGAGAGCACCATGCAGGTGGTGACAGGGGTCATGTCAGCGATTTCGATCATATATCCCATGTGGGATGGGTTAGGGCCCAAATGCACGCAAAAGCAATATTTGACTGATTGGACCCCTCCTTATCCTCGGGAATGGCGTTTGAAGTTTTATCCTCAGAAAAACAGCAAAAATCGATTTTTTAGAGGTTGAACTTTGAGAGGCTGCCTCAAGTAACCCAATCGAGATAAAATAACCTAAACGGGATATGATACAGTCAATGTTGTTCTCTAACAGAACATATTAGTTAAAGTTCGAAATCTGCACAGTGGTCCATATTCAGACTGGATGCCAAACCCAATCCTAGGAACCATAGATTTGATACCCTAACTTTGAGCGGATGTAGCGCCCTCTTTGCAGGGTTGCGGGAGAAATATGGTCCCCGGGGAGAAAAAGCATGACCACTAGAATCATATTCAAGAAAAAAATCCATTGCAGCCCAATATTGTGGATCACGGTGAACGATCAAAAAATAGAGAAAAAAGAGGAAAATTTAAGAAAAACAGCGAATTTGATATATCTGTCATAGTGTATTTCTCAATATTATCATCGTAAAAGGCTATCAAACAGTAAAGGATATCACACCAACCATAATACTGATCACTGATCAGATTCGTCGTAAAAAAAAGTACTAGATACTCAGTAGTGGGTGTGGCACCTTCATTTGCGTATGATATAACTGATGTGTAAGAAAACAATAAAAAAAAGTTTGAGTGGGCATTAACCCGGCGTAACAAACGTATTAGGTAGTTTTCTTTACTTGATACATGTTGATAATCCATCGACATCAATATCAAAGTTTTGCTGCTGCCTCTCACTGGGAGTCTGTCCGTGAACATTGAATCCCAGTGAGAGGCTGCCTCTATGCTTCTGACCAATGCATCAGTTTATTGCAATCATCCGCATACAAGCAAATATGACAACAAGACAGACAAAAGGACGATACAGACATAAAATCGTGTGAGAAAACTTTGACACAATTTTGACTATAGGGGAACATTAGTACAATATGGCTATGCTGATCGGGCTACCCGGGGCACTAGCATGGACAGCAAAAACAATGCGGAAACGCATGCTCTACCATAGTCCCATTGATCCATGCTAAACTCATCCTAAGAAAAATCACAATGTAAAATTTGACAGGGAGAACATGGCGCAAAAGAACAAAAGTTTATCTTATAATATCACAGTGAAAGCATTATGCTATTGGCACTGCGTATCAAGGGTACCCGTGAGTCTATAGAGATAGGACAGCGAGAATAATGTGGATACCCACTGCCCTATACTAGACTCATTCTAACAAAAATCACAATGCAAAATTTGACAGGGAGAACATGGCACAAAAGAACAAAAATTTATCTTATAGATAAATAGACACCGCGTATTGCGGTTACCCGGGAGTCTAGCTAGGGCAACGAAAACAATTTGGATTCCATCGTAGTCTCACTGCCCTCTGACTAGACTCATTAGCAAACTAAAATGCAGCAATTTAGGGGCGCCAGCACTAAGGAACGAAAATAGGTTAGAGATCATACTATTGAATTTTATACAGTGTCCATGACACAAGGTCATGTCGGCAACGGAAAATAGTGGACACAAGACCCATGATAACCTGATCCTACTGGCACAATTACATTCCACTTCTTATGTACATGTATTTCAATCGACATCAACAATTTTACATGGCCACATATCTTCCGTTTCTTGTTGTCGCGTGGATGTTCTGGATATTTACACAGTCTGGATGGCTGCCAGCTCAGACCCAACTTGCATCTATGAGCTGGTCATATAGTTTTTGAGCAGTCAAACTTTTGAAATTCAAAATTTCCAACTTTAGCCAGAATGAGTTTCCATTCAGTTTGAAGATCATGCTTGGGAAGGTGTAATCGTCCTAAATGACCTGTAATGTCCTTTTTACAACTGCCTAGCATTACTATAGTCCTTTCACTTGGATATGCGCTACATAACCCACACTCCATGGATGAGCATAGGGCCGAAAAAGCGCATTTTAGGCCCAAATTTGACATGTTTTTAGAAATTTCGATTTTCCGAAAGGAGAGGCTCTTGCATGACTGGAGTCCAAACTTCACTGATCAGCACGCGTCTTGTAGGCACCGATGACATCGTTTTTAATACTCAGGAAATGCGAGAGATGGAATGAAGCTGAAATAAACGGCCTGAAATAGGAAAGCAACAGGGAAGGAATATATCATAAAGATCCAATTTTCACATGTTTACGGACGCCGCTGCTCACCACACTATTGCGTTGCATCCAATTTTATTTTTTATTTTGATAAAGCATGCTATGAACTTCACAACGACTGTATGAGAAACTATGACATACCTGCAAAGGGGGTGCTACAAGGATTTTTGGGAAAGCTGTATTTTGCGTCTTACAAGATATGCCATTTTCACAGAGCTCTGAAACCCCCATAAGACAACATTTGATAAAAATGGTGCCCATGTTAGAAAGTCGGACAGATGGCCTTTGCAATGAGAGCATGACAACTACCCAACATAACATACTTTATGAACAGCGATATTTCAAATATTTGCTATTTTCAATGAAAATTCAATGAAAAAATAGCTATTTTCGAGTGAAAACTACTGTTCTAGCTGTAAGCCCCAGGGTAGGTTTTGGGCTATGGGACTTCACCATATTTAGAGTAATGCTTAGGTGGTCCAATAACAAGAGTATGGTTAAAAATTTCAAACCTGGTACTTTGGCGTTTTTTTCGAATTTTGCATGGTTTTCTCGCGGATTAATTCTTAAGATCAAAAATTATCATCCGATCTGTATGAAATTTATATGCATCCTTTAAATCAGTGAAACGAAGAAGCCTATTAAATTTCAGCAATTTCTGTTAATTTCGTCTAGAGTTATGGCCTTGTTTCACTTTGTTGAACCCTGTGAACGCTCTATTAACAAAAATTATCATCCGATCTGTATGAAATTTATATGCATTATTTAAATTAGTGAAACAAAGAATCCTATTGAATTTCAGCAAATTCTGTTAATAACGTCTACTGTCTGTTCCAGGTGATACTACGACTCGAAAATTGCTTGCTATTTCTTCAATTTTTATTTAAAATGGCTAAAACATGATGAAATAACTGGAATGGTCATCCTATTGCTTTCTGTCTTGTGAGAATTAAATTCAGATCAAGCTGTATAGCTTCTCTTCATTGAAAAATCATGGTTTGTTGACATCTTGGTACTGAAAACAGTGATGTTTGGCCTATTTATCTGGAAGAGCCTACGCGAATAAGGTGTGCTGGGTTAGCTTTCAATCGTTTTGCCCTGCTTGGATGTGTAGGTGCCCAGCAGAATATAACTCTTTTGAAAGGGAGAGAGAGATGGATTTTAACCCACTCGACACAAACTGGCTCATTTCGGAATAACACATGGTTCAATTTTATTTCAACAATTCGCTTGCGAGTAGGGGATTTAGCAGTGGGAGGAAACCGGAGGACCCGGCCAAAACCCACTAGGTTGGACAGGCGGCCCTATTTCTTGTCACGTACAACCGGGGAATTGAAACCACGGCAGTTGACTCAATGACAGACCTTATGATACAATGCGCACGTGCTAACCATTCGGTCATCTAACCCCCAGACCACGTTTGTTTGTCCCACCGACTTGAATATTTAATTACCCTGCTATTGTGCACACATGTGATGAAATTTTGGAAGGTGGCTGCAGGACTTACTCAAAAATAACTCGGTCCACAATATCCACTGGTTATGGCGGTTTGCATAGTTATTCAGTAGCTTAAAATTTGCTTGAGAACCATTGGAAATTTTAAACTTGAGCTAAAACTGGCATGATGATCAACTAATTTTCTATTTAGCGTAATTCCTAATGAAATCCTCAACAAAAATAAAACTACTATTATAAAATATTATTTAGACAGTTATTAATTCAATAACACGGCATATGTGTCTACCATCGAATTAAAATGCATTATGTAAGATTTAGATAAAGAGCTGACAGTTTAAATATAATAGTTTAAAAATAGATAATGATAAAGGAATATATTGACACTCTCGGAAATGTCAAAAATTTAAAACGAATTATGGATTTTCGTTTGCTCTTATATATGACTAATATGCCATTTTAAATTAGTTATGTTTCAGCCTTAAGATCCAAATTGTAGGAATTCGAAAGTTGGCATCAGTCTTGCTCTGCTCATTTACAAGGGCAGCTAAATTTTAACCCGCAAAAGTGTTCCGAAAAGGTTTTCTAAGAATACCGTAATTCTGGGTCAGTCGGATAATTATTACCTAGTTTATACCCTAAAAGCTAGATCTAGGACGGAAGATAATTTAAGTAAATTTGTGTTTGATATGTATTGACAGCTGATCAGTACATATTATGTTATCATCCGATCATCCGACGATTTAGCTGCTGTGGACGTATGTTTCGTTGCCTGGCAACCTATCTTCTTATCTTTCAGGTATTTTATAGGAACTGAAGAATCTACCTTTTCTTTTCGTATTCAAGAAGAACGTGAAATCCTTGGCTTTGATCCAGAAATGACTTTCAATAGACTATGTGATGATAAAGAAAAATTTGATTGTGAAAAATCATCAAAATGGACAATTACATACTGAAATTCAAAGAATACATTTAATTGTTAAGGTGACAAATACCTTAAGGGTTTAGTTTCAACGAAGGGCGAAGGTGATTGTTTTAATTTATGTTTAGTAATTTTTTTTTTTTCTAATCTTGAGTTACTATCAAAATGGGGTTCTTTCGTCACATCCAAAAATCAAATCCTTTTAAGATCAAATTATTCATTTTGTAAATCACTGGTAGCTAATTGTTAAATTCCTTATAAATTTTAATCAATACATATTTAAATTCTGCAGCAATGTCTTCAGGTAAATATATTTTGTGGATAATAATTATATCAATAAGTACTAAATTTATAACATAATTGTCCCCCCACCTTTCCAAGAAAGCAGAGGACTATTAAAATGGATCTGTGCGTCACATTTTTGGGATACAATAACTGCTTCTAATTGAGCTAGAATGTTGGAACTTGATCACTTTGAAAAATCTTGTGTACATTCTTCTAGAGGGTAAAGCTAATATCCGATTGACTTCAAATTGATTTTCATTGATTTCCAATAATTACTGTAAGAGTTATGTCCCTTGATCACTATTAAAAATCTTGTGGACATTTTAGAGGCTAAAGTAAATATCCGATTGACTTTAAATTTATACACTGTATTTTCTATGATTTCCGATAACTTGAACACAATAACTCTGCTTCCAATTGAGTTAGAATGGTAGAACTTGGTGTAGATGTTCTTGTCTGAGTTCGGTAATAACACTGCCTCTAAATGAGGTTGACTGTTCCAAGTTCGATGATGAGCATTTTATTGCAAGATGTTTTTTTAAAAGATAAATGTGCAAATAAACAAGGAGTGTCATCTATTTATTTTAGGATTGAGTTGGAGGACATTAGCCTCACTGTTGGCTTGTTTAATATATTGTTTTCTCTTCTTTGCATTTAATTTTTTAAAAATCTATTGATTTGCCACTTTACCTGTCGGTTTTTGGATTAATAACGTTCAATAATGATATTTTTTTTATTATGATGATTTAAAGGTATATTGGCCTTTATTCTGTAGACGTTAAAGATTAATCCTGTATATAGTATGAATTTAGTGGGGTTTTTTAAATTAATATGTTAAAGATTACAAAGTTTCGAAATTCTGGTATAAGCCTATGTTAGTGAAATATCTGGTTTTTTATTATCTTGTTGAACAAAAAGTGGACAGCACAAATTAAAAAGAAATCCTAAATATAGCAGCCAGTTCTGTGTTACAACTGCCAAGGAAAGATTGAGATAGAATTTGAAATAGAAACATGTGAACATGACCGCATAAAACACAAGTATATTAAAAATCAGACTGCAGTTAGCAATCGTAGCCTGATATGCGGAATAAAAGATTTAAATGTTACTGTATATAACAATGCAGCTTGAGCTACTAGTCACAAAAATGAACATTTTATGCAGAGAAATGTTCTGATTTATCTGAGGGGCAATATACCTTTAATTATCTGTGTGTTATTGTTTTTATTATAAAAGTTATATTTTGCTTGGTTATATATCAAATTATTTTCAGCATAATAAATGGCTCTTTACACTATTTTATAAATAAATTGTTTATTATACATTAATGAACTGTTTTGTGATAAGAAATGTGAGCACTATACATTATCAGGCCTGTTATATGTGCAAACTCATGGGTTGGAATCGGGGTTTGTGAGTAACTAGCAGTAGGGGTCGCCTGCATAACTATGTGACTTTTCTTCGGGTACTGGTATTCTGGTTGCATCAGACTAATGTAAACCCATGCGCTCAAGCATGTTATTTGTTAGTCCTGAAATGACCTGGTTAATGTTGAAAATAAAGGACAATTCCAAAATAAATCACAGTGTGTAATATTTATTATGTGCAGTTAACAAAAAATAAATGGAATACTGTAGTAGAAATATATTTGTGATAAGCGAGGCTATCCAAAATGACTTCATCAGGGTCAGCATGAGTAGAATATGAACATGCAATTGTTTGATTAGCAATTCCACAAATTCCACCAATGAAAGTAAAACAGCTAGACAGATGGCTTGGTCCAGCAGTGGAATAAATCACTAATAAATATGATATCATAAGTCCATTCAAAGTCCATAAATATAAAAAGACAAGCACACAAGTATCCAGGACCTCAAGCGAAAAAAATAGTCGGTTGCAAAATAAATGCAATCGGTCGCAAAATTAGTGCAGTCGATCTCAAAATAAGTGCAGTCGATCTCAAAATAAGTGCTCACTGAATTAATGAGGTAAACAAACAGTGCCAAAATGGAAGGAAAAATCCCAAATTGCATGAATCCGTGCACCTAAATTGCATACGTCACGCTACTCACCCAAAACTTTAGTATAAAATAACCTTGTCAACTTATCATGTTTGAAAAAAAAAAAAAAAATGTTTTTTACCCTTATTCTGTTGTGAGTTGGGGGGGTTGGATGGCTGAATGGTTAGCGTGCGCGCGCTGTATCATAAAGTCTGTCATTGAGTCGAATGACGTGGTTTCGAATCTCCGGTTGTACGTGACAAGGAGTAGGGTCGCCTGTCCAACCTCGTGGGTTTTCTCCGAGTCCTCCGGTTTCCTCCCACTGCTAAAGACCCCTACACGCAAGCAAATTATGTAAATAAAATTAAACCATATGTTAGTCCCGAAATGACCTTGATTGTGTCGAGTGGACGTTAAACCCCATTTCTCTCTCTCTCTCTGTTGTGAGTTGATCTAAGAAAAAAATTCCACCCAGGGAGAAAAATAGTCAGTCTCAAAATAAGTGCAGTCACTGCAGTCGGTCTCAAAATTATGCATCGGTGACTGATGAAATGAATTAATGAGGTAAACAAACAATGCCAGAATAGAAGGGAAAAATCTCAAAAACTTAAAATAAATACAAGTGCACCTAAATTTCTTGCGTCACATAGTCGGTCTCAAAGTAAGTGCTCACTGCAGTCGGTCTCAGAATAAATGAATTAATGAGGTAAACAATGCCAAAATAAAAGGGAAACTTTTTTCGTGAATCCGTGCACCTAAATTGCAACAGTATAGTATAAAATAACTTAGTCAACTTGTCATGTTTGAAAAAAAAAATTCCTGTTATGTTGGTCTAACAATTTGATACCTTAAATTATATTATTGATTGTCATACGAATAACATTAGTCGAACAGTTGGTAAGAAATTATCGGAAGCATAGTTCGTTTCAGAAATACGTAGAAAAATCTTTAAATTATGAAATGTTAAAGTTACAATTTCATATTTTCTAAGAAAGTCAAAACATAATTATTTCTATGTCTTTTGCTTAATAGGTTGTCAACTCACCATTATACGATCATAGGTGTCATTCTCACACTTAAAACTCATTTACACCGGCAATAATAACACAATTACCTCCCTTGTTTTCTATTCTCCACCATGGAGTAGCTAACTTCAAACGATTGAATTTGTCGATGAAAATGACATTTTTGCCAATTTCTCAACTGGCAATAGTGAATTATAGGATTAATAGGATTATTCTTTAACAAGGTAGGACTCTTTATAGATACCATCTATTTTAAGGCTTTCTTTTAATAAATTTTAAAAATATAACTTAAAAATATGAAATTGCAACTTTAAGGTGATCTATTGAACTTAAGAAATTAAAACGTATTTTATTTGTGTAAGTATTTTCTGACCATCAGAATTCTGCTATGATATCATTGCAACTTTAAGGTGATCTATTGAACATAAGAAATTAAAACGTATTTTACTCGTGTAAGTATTTTCTGACCATCAGAATTCTGCTAAACCTTTCCCCAGACCCCAAAGTCCAGTAAATGGCATTTCAGAGACCAAGTAATCACCCCTGTGAGAAAAAGTCCCCTCAGGCCCAGTCCCAAAATATTAAAAGCTCAGTTACATAATCTAAATTTTGTTCGCACCTACGGATCTCAATCTATTATGTCCTTATTCTTCAACTCCTCTGTCTCATACGATCTCATCACTATCATATTCAAAGTTACAGTGAATCACCCAGTTAATAGCACCAGTAGTGAGTGGGGAGACAGAAGGAGGCGAAACTGACGGACGGGCCTCAAGATTCTGCCTCATTTCTTACCCTCTTGTTAAGGAGAATTTGATCCTTGCCCCAGTCCCCAAAAATTAAAAGGTTAGTTACATATCTGAAATTTTTTCACGCCTACGCCCATAGATTCCATTATGATATCATTCTTCCACTCCTCTGGTCTTTACTGCCTCAGCACTATCATATTCACGGTTATAGTGAACTGCCCAGTTTGTACCGCTGGTGCGTGGGGCTTGGGTCGTCAGACTGTACAAATTAATGTTCTGACAACTATTGCAAAACAGGCAGAATTGACTGGGGCAGATTTCTGGTTTTCTTGTTCACAAGAATTTGCTCCCGGCAATGACCTCAAATGCCAGGATATTGATTCAATTTTTTATACGTCCACATTATGAATGTGGAGGTATATTGCCGTCGCCCCTGTGTGTGGGTGAGGGTGTGTGTCGCCTACAGGCCACAATTCTTAAGTGATCATCTTCAAACTTTACATACTTATTCCTTATACCCTAAGGATGATCCCTATTGTTTTTGGTGCATGCCCGACCCCCAGGGGCAGAGCCACGCCCATTTTTTGTATTTCTTTGTTTGTCATCTACAGGCCGCATTTCTTAACGTATCATATTGAAACTTTGCATACTTATTCTTTGTACCCCAAGGAACATCCCTATCGCTTGGGGTGCATGCCCAACCCCCAGGGGCAGAGCCACGCCCATTTTCTTTTTGTGTGTCTGTGTGTTGCCTACAGGCCACAATTCTTAAGTTATCATCTTGAATCTTTACATACTTATTCCTTATAACCTAAGGAAGATCCCTATTGATTTTGGTGCATGCCCGATCCCCAGGGGCAGAGTCACGCCCATTTCTTATATTTGTTTGTTTGTCGTCTATAGGCCGCATTTCTTAACGCATCATCTCGAAACTTTGCATACTTATTCTTTGTACCCTAAGGAACATCCCAATCGTTTGGGGTGCATGCCTAGCCCCCATGGGCAGAGCCACACCCATTTCCTTTTTGTGTGTCTGTGTGTTGCCTTCAGGCCAAAATTCTTAATCGATCGTCTTGAAAAATTTTCATATGAATTCCTTATACCCTAAGGATGATCCCTATTGTTTTTGGTGCATGCCCGACCCCCAGTGGCAGAGCCACGCCCATTTCTTGTATTCATTGTTTGTCATCTACAGACCGCATTTCTTAAAGTATCACATTGAAACTTTGCATACTTACTCCTTCTATCCTAAGGAACATCCCTATTGTTTGTGGTGAATGCCCAGCCCCCAGGGACAGAGCCACACCCATTTTCTTTTTGTGTGTCTGTATGTCACTTACATCCTGCAATGCTTAATCGATGATCTCGAAAAACTTTTTTATACCTATACGTTATACCCTAAGGATGACCTCTATTTTTTTGGTGATTGCCCAACCCCCAGGGGCAGAGCCACACCCATTTTGTTCTTTGTGTCTCTGTGAGTTGCCTACAGGCCACGATTCTTAATGGATTGTCTTTGAACTTGGGATATGTTTCCTTATAGCCTAAGGACGACAATTGCATGTCACAACCCCCAGGGGCAGAGCCACGCCCAATTTTTATGTTTATCGTTTACAGGCCGGAATTCTGAATGGATCAACTTGGTATTTGGCATATGTATTCCTTATAGCCTAAGGGCATCAACTATTGATTTTGGTGAATGCCCCGACGCCCAGGGGCAGAGCAACGCCCAATTTTTGGCTTTAACGCCCAAAGGCCACAATTCTGAATGGATTATCTTGGAACTTGGTATACTTATTCCTTATACCCTAAGGACGGCAACTATTGATGTTGTCATTTCAACAGGATGGTACCTATTTATATTGTTTCCATATCCAACCCCCATGGGCAGAGCCACGCCCAGTTTTTGTATTTGTGGTCTACAGGCTGCAATTCTGAATGGATCATCTTGGAATTTTGCATATTTATTCCTTAAACCATAAAGACAGCAACTATTTATTTTGATGCTTGCCCCGACCTCGTAGGGCAGTGTCACGCCCACTTTATTGTTAGTATTTTGTCTGTAAATTTGGCAAAACAAACCCGACGCCTAGCCTTCTTGGCCTCTGATCATATTACAGCCATTTCATATTTCATTCTCTTCATTTTAAAAAGTACCATATCAATCAAAACTGGAATGTGGACGTATATTGCAGCGTTAGCGATGCTCTTGTCAAAATTTTCTCAGGGTGTTCAGTGTTATAGCCACTGCCCCTAAGGTTCACATAAATTTAATAACAGAATCAGTAACAGTCATCATATTATGGACATGTGCATCAGTCGGTCGCATTTTTGCTAAACATCCCCCCAAACAAAATCTTTATGTACGCCCCTGACAGTATCATGTGTTTTGAAATGAATAAGCATACATTTCCAGAAGTGAGCACCCAACACAACAAGATTCACCATTAGTTTTTGTGTCATTTAAATTTGACTTTCTTAAACAATGTATGTCTCCTTTTCCTTATCTATTATCTATGATTGCATGGCTGTAATTATCATAGTAGTAATTACTCTGTTACAAAGCTAACAACAAACAAGAACTTTATTTCAAATCCTTCTAAAGTAAATCAGTATAGACGTTGAGATCCAGTTTAACTATTTTATTGAATATCCAGTATCTAAGATTGTCATATATTTAATAACAGATGAACAGATAATAAACTTAGAGTAAATTAATGTATTTTATGTAAAATAACAATATATAAATAAAAGCTAGGCATTATGACCATTCTATTAATCCCTGGTCCCCCAACATCTTAAATATATGTTGAAATAAATTTTTAACAAAAATCATACATGTCAGTCTGAAACCTTAAAGATGCATTAAAAATTAGATAAAGAGGTGTCCGTCCTTGCTTTAATAGTTTAAATTTCTGTCAAATTATTCTTAGCCTTAATAGTTTTGAAAGTCAAGTACATGTACTATTGCTATGATAATGGATATAGTCTTGTTGATTATTCATTTTAACTTTTAATGAAGATATTGCAGACATTGTCTAATCCACTTTGTATCTTAGACATCCGATGGGCTAGAGAATTGATTATGGGCTTTTCATGTGAATAAATGTCTAAATAATAATTTATATAACATTTGAAACCCCAAAATAGGCAGATTTAGCTCTTACTTAATGCATCTTTCAAGGTGAATTGCCAAATTTAGTGGCATTGAGATATTAATTAATATTTCACTCTACAATGTAAAAAAATAATAAAATATCATCTGCGTACGCTGCAAGTTGCCTCAATTATCCAGTTGCTGGCCTGTACAAATTTAAATCTATCTCGAGAATAAACTCTGGTTGGAATAAGTATATACAACATTCCACATACAATTATAGGAACATTGACAGCTTTTGTCTTTATGACAGATTACATTGTTAAACACAGTTGTAATATTTAGCAATATCTCTATAAATGCTACAAATGGAAGACATTTTTAACTTTATTTTCAACATCATATGCTCAATGCTAAAGCAAAACAAATATTTATACATTATTGTTCATGGCAGAATGTAATATCTCTCCTAGGTTGATTGATCTTATACATCATCTGCTATATTTTGCAGTATGGCCTCTGATAATGTATCTTTCTGTGTTGTGTAATGTTGAGCTGGCAGTATTACCAGCAGAACCAAGTAGGCCATTATTGTGGCAACCAGAAAAAATATAAACAATACTCTATCTACTACAGCCGCAATTCTTTGCCACTCTGCAATAATGACCTTTTTCTTATGAATATCTGTCATAAGACTGATATCTTGTGCAGTTGAATAGGGGAGCTGGAGTAACTTGTTTTTGCTGGTCTCATTTTCCACCAATAACGGCTTGGTAGCGTCAGTCTCGGAGGATGTAGTGACCTTTTTGTCATTACCTGTGTGACTGCTATTACCATTTTCTTGTTCAGCCTTTTTCAAAGCTTCCAGTTCTTCATGACGATACCACACTTTCTCGGATGGATTATAAGATGATCTACAAGGAACAGTGGTGGTATTCACATTTGTGTCTTTTTGATCAGTTCCCAGTCCACCATTTGTGTTGTCATCATTTAAATAATCCTCAGAATTGTTATTCTGTTTGACTATAAATTCTGTTTCTGGTTTTAGAGAACACCTAGGTGTCATCATGCTTGGTCTCCTTAGTGAACCAAACATAAACAGATCCTGAAAAATATAATTCTGAAATGTTTTATTTTAAAACAGGCATTTTAGATTCATTCAATGGATCATATATGTCACATATTTAGAAGTAGAAAGGGTAATTGAAGAATATGTGAAAGTAACAAAATCTAGACACTGAGAACAAAAAAGATATATCGCTTATAATCAGTGCTGAATGCAACATTAAATCCGCCAATGGGAGAGTGGACTGATACCAACGGCTTGTTGGCAGTACAATGAAAACCAGAAGTCGGTGTCACCTACTTGCTGTTGTAAATGAGTTAAGCTAAAATTATGTTCAATTGCAATGAGAAGGGCAATTTGTGTTCTTCCAGTTCTTTATGTCAACATATCACATCGATTCACTTCACTCGGTGCCAAGTAATTATGCCTCTTTCTAGATCCCCAATTGGTCAAGTTTATAAATCGCTGAAATTAAATCTGTCCTACATTACCTATCATCTGAAATTGAATCTTACCAGATTAACACTTTTAGCCACCAGTTCTATATCATGATGCATACTAATAGCTTTAGATAACCATACTAATGTTAACTTTCTTAACCAGTTTGGAGCTCGTCTTGTCTTCATACCCCGATTATAGATGTTAATCACCAATACTGCGACAATGACTGACACTGACGTCATTGTCATCACTACACAAAGATAAATACCTGAAATTAATACAAAATATAGTTATGAACTTGACCCGAGCATTACATATCTGACTGAAATCCTTGTAATAAATGGGCACCGCAATTGATCCACATGAAAAACATTATTTTATGAGGCACAATTAAATATGAATTATGATTTGTCAAAACATTGATTGATTGTATTTGGCAATTGTAGAATTAATAAAACTTACCTATCAGTGGAACAGCTTCTGAAGTTGCAGGAACTTCTTCAGCTATCAGCAACATAAACATAGAGAATGCTAAGAAAACTGACAAGCCAAGAGTTATCTTTTCACCTGATGTAGGGGGCAACCAAAATGTCAACATAGTTAGAATAGACAACATTGTACACGGTACTATAATATTAAAGATGTAGTAAAATGTTTTACGACGTATGTGTAACATGAACGTCAAGTCTGGGTGTGTTTCAGTACAACATGAGTGACGTCTGATGTTTTTCTGTTGATTGATTGATAGTAATTCCCATTCACTGTTTTTCATATAATAAGATAAGTCCACCGGAGTGTCATTATTACTTATGATAAAATCCATCCAGTCTCCACTATAGATCCAGGAGCCAAATCTTAAAATACATATTTGGTCATCAAATGGGAAGAATGTAATATCGACTTTACAAGAACTTTTCAGTTTTACAGGAACCGGCCATAATACAGTGCCATCAGAATGGATAAGAACATATGATCCTTGCATAAAACCAGTTGACCCATCATCCACACTGAAAAATATTCAAATGTTTTAAACACACACAGGCACTTCACAATGCTGCCCTTCATTTAAGTAATTTAATGTATAATATTCATTGACTCAACAATGATTTTGAAAATTTATTCTTTGCTCTGTGATGGCATTTATAAGTAATTTGGAACCAGTTAAAATATAGGAGGAAAAATCTCATTCTCTAAATTTGAATTCAAAAATCAGCATTATACTGGCTTCATAAAACCTACTTGTTGTAGATAAAAGTGTCTGGAAGCCAAATACTTTTAGTAGGAACACGTAGTGATTGTATATTATTATATTCTTCCGGATCCCAGATTAAATTCTCATCCACCCATTCCTACAAATTGTATATATAATAAATATATTAAATAGTTAAAAATAATTCTGTTAAATCATCACATTTAAATTAATAGAAGTGCCGCTTCCTTGGCAAGATTCTTTGTTTTAGTGGCTCAGTGTGTGAGGTGCTGGTTTACTAACCAAGGGGTCCTGATTTCAATCCTGTTGTTGCCTGAGGAAGTTCCTCAGGATATTCCACCGTGGTGTAGGCTAGGGGCCTGGGAAGGAAGAGCATTTGGTTGTTTGATTGGGACAAAAAACAAAGTCCAGTGTACATGTTTGAGTGCTCATAAAAAAAACCTTGACAAGAATGCCGTAGCAGTGCTGAAGGGACAAAATTTATGCCATAGCACAGTGTAACCTATGGCGTGTGCCACAATGTTCAACACATGAAACATTCCTCATATCTATTGTTTTTGATTTAGAAGCATTATATAAGTAGATTGAACACCTAAAATTTTCTTTCATACTTCAATAAGTCATTTAGGGTAGCTGAACAAAGTGTCAAAATTTATATCAACCCGGGTGTGTATTTTACCTTCCAGGATCAACATACTTATTCCACCCACCTGATCAATAAACACATTAGTTGTTAAAACTTGATGACGCTCATCCTGAAACATATCAATAATAAAATATTTAATTAACAACATCCAGGTGTTGTTTTCTGTTATGGGAATGAACTCATTCTTTCAAAGACACACATATCAATAATACATGTATAACATATCAAACTGAATAATTGAGTGGTTCATTCAATTTACTGTTATTTGTTCGTTTCCCTCTGAAAGATTGACATAAGTCATTCTGTAAGTGTAGCAATGATATATTGAATCTATTATTGTAGTTTAATGTCCAATATTTCAGACTAAAATGCAAGAAATAGACTTGCAGAACACACAATAAAAAAAAATCTTAACAAAAAGCATATAGGTCCAAGAATTAGTAAAATTTATGGTCCTAATGTTATGGCCATGTAAACACACTTTCTATAGCTAATAAACACTGCCAGAAAATTAAAAAAAAAAATCCATCAACTCAAATATAGGTAGGCCCCTACATAGTAAAAAAATATTTTCAAATACACACAATAAAAAAACAAAATTTTCAACAAGCATTACCAAGACTTTCACAAACCTATTACAACTTGAGAAACATAGCTTTTAATCAAATAGTTAAACTTACCAAACCAACAATTTGATTTAATCTCAAAGCAAACTTGACAACTAGAACATGACTGGAGTTGATAACTGGACGAACAGAATTCTCATATCCAGTCATAATTTTTTCAAATACTCTCTGTTCATCTGGTATATAGATCTTCTTCTTTCCTGTTAAATTACATATACATAGTATCTAAGTATTAGTAATTATTTTCATAAACTGTTGCAGTCATGTTAACAAAGCCTGTTATTCTATTACTTACACTTGATAATAAAACCATTGTTCTACTCTATTTTCCCCACATCTAAAGTTTCTCTGCAAAACTGGACAATTTAGCATGGACGACATTGCTGCTGGTGGGTGTATTGAATGCCTGACAAGACTCTAATGTTTTCTTTTTTTTTCAACCCCATCCCTTCAACAATAAAAAAGGGGTGGGATGCATATATGTGAGAGATAATAGTCTCTTCTCTATAGTTCATTGTGCAATTTCTGAGAATACATGGAATTCAATAAAACAAAATATGTTTTATATAATTTGGACCAATAAAACCTATATAAATTCGAGAGCTAAGCCAGACTCACCGTATACTATAAGCAGACAGCTTGTAAATAAATACCAAACCGATATCAGTATCTTCATTTTCATAGTCGTAAATTTTGCACAGATTATTAAATCTACGTGTTATCCCTTTGGTCAATTTTATCGACTGAAGAATATTCTATCATTGCATAAAAATATATCCTACAGAAACTCGGCCCGCTTCTTTTCCTTCATGATATTGCAGTCGCCATTGGCATCAATTAATTGAACATCCGGGGAATCGCAGGAATTTAATTAGATTCCGTACACACGCGTCTTTAGTTCAAGGTCATTAAGGTCGATAAACAGATTTATAAATAAAATCGTTACTATATCACTCTCGTGTATAGGTTTATTCAGGGTCGCGTGCAGTATAATAATTCTTTATCTGCAAATATTTATATTTTACAAGAAATGATTTGGAGGTCTGTCGTTGAATTTATTCCTAAAGACTGGGCAGATGCTATATCTAATATTAAAAGTAGTCGTCATTAATTACAACCGTAAATTATGTCTTATCAATCTCATTTAATTTAGTCTATCTAATTGTCGAATCGCTGGATTATTTTCTATAAGTCACAAACAAAATGACAAAATCCTTAATAGGAAGAAATTAATATTCAAATTTTATGACAAACACGTGGCTGTTGTTTTGGCGGGAAAACACTGATCAGTTACGAGACTATCTATTAAATTATTAAACAATTTCTTGTGGTCGGAGCCCAGTCAAAATTATCCGGAATTTCAACGTTGGAAATAGTTCAACAATAGATAAGTTATATAATCAAATAACCGAATCGTAAATTGAAGCATTATCGAACAATTGACAGCACTGGCATAAAGCCAATGGCCTCGATGCCTCTCCATAAATTATAATGAGGTCGGTTCCAGCTTCCGTTATGAATGGCAAACTGGGCTACTAGTGCCGATTCATACAATTTTATTTTATTCGTTTAGATTTAAGTTTATGTGTTTTAAGTGCAGAGAACTGAATACACTTTATGCATGAGCTTATTGGACCGATCGAAAACGCCTATTGAGTAATCTAATCGGGCAGGATTTCTTCAGTCATGTAAATGTTGTAAACATTGTAGACATACACCCAAACCGACTGGTCTACAGACTAATCAGTTTAAATGGCTACCAGAGCTGCCACTTGTGAGTATCAAGTTTATTTATTGATGTACCGTAGATGCAGACCTTTAACTATATCATTTGTATTGAAACCCTGATGTAGGTCCAATCTCGATTATATTTTGGAGAATAAAACTGCTTAATAATATCGTGTTAAAAGCCCAAATCCTCTACCTATAGTGCAACTAACATACTCTATTTACGTGATACGTTTTCAAACAACTTAAATGAAATGAAATGGGGTTTAACATGCTGTTCTGCTCCGAACTGGGCTAATGAAAACAGGCATAAGCCATACAGTGTGCTATGAGGGAAATTTTGCCTGGACAGCGGCACTACAGCCCTTATACGTGCACGCCAATGTGTACACAGGACCTTGGTTTTTCGTCCCATCCGAACAACTAGACAGCTGTCCTTGTCAGGTCAACCTTCCTGCAACACTGCAACTTTCTCGACCAATGCAGGAATCAAACAGGCTAGCGAGCCAGCATCTTACCAACTTAGCCACCGTAATCCCCCTCAAACAACTTAAATCGGTCAGTCTTCATCTGGAAATACAGTGTCTGGATAAAAATCAGACTTTTATTTTATAAAAATAACGTGTAGGTGAAATTTACCTTTCGTTATTAAGTACAGCATGTGGTTCATGCACCGTATAGACCTCTAAAGTAATGGCAATAGATTATCAGGTCACCCAACAAAAAAATTGACTCAAAATCTTAAAAGGATTGTGTATTCAGATAAGCAGTTTTGACGTTCACATCTAAACGAGTCAATATTTTGAACGGAAATTTTGAGACAAAGTAAATACACCATTCCTCGATATTTTGGCATTTAAATTTCATGTGTACACAGGCTTTTATTTCTTTTCTGAGACTCTGTTAAAATCGTGATAGTCCCTTTATAGATGGCTTCCCGCATACAAACTGTATGATTTGATGATGTATTTGGACTAAAAACATATTCAAAAGTCATCATCCAATCTGTATTAAATTTGTATGCATTATTTAGATTAGTAAAATGAAGAAACCTACTGAAATTCAATAATTTCTGTTAAACACTTCTACAGTTACAGTGGCGGACCCAGGATTTATTCCAGGGGGGTGACTAAAAGAGGTCAGGGGCGAAGCGCGGTCGACCAAAGGCGGGAGCACTAGAAGGGGTGGGGGGCATAGGGTGTCCAAAGGGGTTAAAACTATTTTGTGCTATCTGAGGTATGTTCTGGGCAATAGTTCTCAAAGAAATAAAGTGACAAGTTTTTTTCAAAATAAATGAATATTTATTTTCCCTGCAGACCAAAAAAGGCGTTAGGCACATAGAATGGTAAGTGAAACAGGTAGCCTAGGCCTAACTAATACTACGAATATCTTTTTTTATTATCACTTTATTTTGCACATCATTCACTCACAAGCATCAATCAGACAAAAGTGATGATCATTTCATTCGTCGAGGAAATGCGGCGATGAATTTTTTGCAAATGTCCTCGTTTTAAACTGGTATATCTCTCAGGGGGGGTGACTAGTCACCCTAGTCACCTCCCCTGGATCCGCCACTGAGTTATGGCCCTTGTTTCAGAAAAGTTATTATTCGATCTGTATGAAATTGATCAGTGTCTTGTAAATTGTGGTTTCCTACCCGCCCAGCACCCCTCTGGGATCATCCTTATGCAAAATCTATTTCCATTCATCTTTTTCTGTATCCTATAGTTAGGCCTGTATTAATGTAATATTTTTATATTTTCAGTCACATCAAAAATCCGTAATTTAAAGGATTATCATTACCGCATCGTCAATAACTTAACACCACAACCAAATGGAGAAGATATTGCCAATACACTCAAATACTTCTCTCAAACTTTACTCAGGTAATTTTTTATCATTCAGTTTTGAAAATTGGAAAATAGAAACAGCGCTAAATTGTGATAGTGTAGGAGAACCCACTTTCCTCCGAATATTTCAATGATTTTGTCGTATTTGGTTAGTTCTAATTCATACCCCTAAAGCAAAGGACCACTTCCGGACGACTTCACCTCGTTTCTTTGCAAAATGGCTGGATCCTTTCATGTTTCGATGGAATTATTTTTAAAAAATGACACTTTGACTTAGAAACAATTTGAACAGCAGAAATTCATTGACAGGAACAGAGAAGTTGATATATGCTGCTGCTGCCCTGGCAAATTCCACCAGAGAATATAAAACGTACTCCATGTGCTATAAATCAGTTATATTTTTAGAAGATATAGCAGTATCATATAGGGTTGGGAATTTCATTTCTTGATGCCATGACAAATGAAGTTTACTCAAAAATCGAAAAAAAGATGCTAGAAATTGTTATTGTTATGTAATTGCAGTGTTCTTAAAGATGTACCTAGTATACCAGTAGAGAGTTATGGTCCGCGACAGAGAGATAGCGTACGTCTGTCTGTATTCCCTAATTTGGACTATACAGGACTATATCATGCTGTTATGAATATAATAGATTTGGTATCTGTCATACAGATTGGTCAGTTAGGTAATATATTTATTATTTGTTCAACAGATCTGCTTTAATTTAGATCAAAATAAAGTATTTAAATGGGTTAATATATGTTATTTCTATTAGTGATGGATCAAGCTTTATACAATTAAATTTTTGTTTGTGTACTAACTTTCATTGTTGGCTTCTGTGTTGGTATAGGACCACACAATCAATTATATCTCAACATTGGTTATCTTTAATGTAAAATTTTGATCTAAGACAAATTGTCATCCAATAATACTAATCAATGTATAAAATCCAATGAAATTATCATTTTCTTTCTGACCCAGCAATGATTTTATGCAAGTGATAATAATTTGTTTTCATTAATCTGCCTTTGATTATATTAATTGTTAAATACACCTAATAATTTAGATATAACAGTTTAAGCTCTGTTTATGCAAATCTTTAGAATACTATCTCTTGAGGCTTTTCTTGATAATTTCGCTTACTGTAAACCAACACAATTTTGTTTACTGACTAATTTAAGAAATGGAGTAAGGTATAGATAGATTCATGCTGAGATTGGACCCTGGTTCATAAAAGGATGGGGGCAGAAGGTTTTTCCCCAGAGATAAATAAATCTGTAATTCACCTTGCAAATTTAACAGTTATTTTCTCAACACATAAATTCCAGTTTACTTCCTATTAAGTTTATTCTGAAGATGCTATGGCCCTGATGTCCAAACTGTTATTTTAAAATAACATGTCATTCTGATTTGTTGTAGCTTTTGGCGAAGCTGTTTTGAATGTTCTTGGATGTCTGGTACCATTTCTAGAACATGATCTGCTTGATTTGTTGCCTTACACAGTAGCATCAACATTGGCTGTTTTCCCTTCAACTGTCCATAAAGATATTATAGATTTAATGTGCTGTAGTCTTCTACCAATGACATTAGGTATGTGTCATAGCTACATTCATTTATTTGTGATCTTATCAAATATTTTCTTTAAAATTATTGTTAGATTTGCAGGTCAAGAAGTTTTTATTGGAAGATGGTCAATTGTGCATACTTTCTATTCAAAAGGATCATTTATTGAGGAACATTTCTTCATAAATTCATGGGCCTATAACCAACTGCTTAGAAAGTCCTGACCCAACTGCCTGTGATTATGTTTTTATTAAATCTTGTCTTCATTTTTTCTTTTTACTAGGTTTTGATGGATGTCAGGAACCATCTTATGCCAGTGAATCAGCTGCTGCTATTATAACTATGGTATTTGAGCATACTGAAAATGGAGGTAATTTTTAACATTTAAAGATGCATTATGTAAGATTTAGATAAAGAGCGGGCCGTCCTTGCTATAATAGTTTTAAAATAGATAATGAAAAATGAATATATTGAAAATTTCATTCAAATTATTTTATTCTGAGTAAAGTTATGGGTTTTGGAAGATGTAGCTTAAATTGTTATTATCGTAGCAATGGTACTGGACAAGCAATAGGCCTATCATTTTAATTTTTATACGCCCACATTTTCATGTGGACATATATTGTCATCGCCCTGTCCACCTGTCCACAGTTGCGGGGAATGGATGGTAGAATTGTATCATAAGGTCTGTCATTGAGTCAACTGGCATCGTTTCAATTCCCCGGTTGTATGTGACAAGGAGTAGGGTCGGCTGTCCAACCTCGTGGGTTTTCTCCGGGTCCTCTGGTTTCCTCCCACTGCTAAAGACCCCTATTAGCAAGTGAATTATTTAAATAAAATTGAATCATATATTAGTCCAGAAGTGGCCTGGTTTGTGTCAAGTAGACGTTAAACCCCATTTCTCTCCCTCCTTCCACAACTTGTTTGTGGACACTCTACACGTCACAATTCTTATTGGATTTTGACAAAACTTGAAATATAGGTTTATCTCTAAAAGATCTCGATCCTTTTAATATTGGCATCAATCAGATCAAACCTTATGGATTATGGCCCCTGATTGTAAGAAAAATCACGTTTTTAGCTTGTGGACACTCTGATTTAGATGAAACTTGAAATGTAAGTTTATATCCTGAAGATCTTGGTTCCTTTCAATATTCACGAATATCGGACTGCAGCTTCCTGGATTATGGCCCCTGATTGTACAAAAAATCATATTATTTTTTTAGCTCGTTCTCTGTCCAACTCTAGCAAAATATGGGTGTATCTTAATTGGCAACCGCCTGTTAATTCTAGTGGACATTCTAATGTATTTAAATCTCTGTCATCCAATGATCTAGAGAGTTGATTATAGTTTATATAACATTTGAAGCCAAAATAAAGACCTTCAATAGGTAGATTTAGCATTGATTTAGATAATGTATCTTTAATAGAGCAACATTTTGACTCACTTCTCATCAAAATTTTGTTAAAAGTTTCAAATAAAAGTTACAGGGTCTCTTTCTTCAACTTAGTGTTTATGATACAGTGTTCAGTCCACATATATCTGTATAACTTTTCTATCCTTTTTAGCATTCCATTCTCAAATTGTGGAGACTTTCATGGCAATGAAGAAAAATGTAATGAAAGTAAGTTATGTTTTTTTAAATTTAAGGGCAAAAATATGAAAAGACTGTTGTTTTTATGTAGTTACCGGTAACCACATCTGAGTATTTAAGAGCACTGGTATTATCCTGTTTGATTGGCTGATGAGACTCTTTACCCCACACTTCAGACCAGAACATCGGCTAGTCTTTTTAACGATGATTAGCTTTTTAAACGATTAAAATCATACAGTGTAGTTGCCAAGGAAACAAATGTTTTGAAAAAAAAATTTTTTGCAAGAAGTCAGTGACTATTTACTAGAAATTGGGAAATTTTATATAAAGTCCCTGACTTGTGGAAAAGTTCCATGTGAAATAATGCGAAATGGAAATATTAGCCTTTTTTAAAACATTAATTTCTTGCTTTTCTGTATTCACTATATGAAATAGATTAATAAGTTATTAAATGTTTAATAATATTACAGGATTTGATCAGTATTATAGCGTATGGATCACCTAGTGCTCGTGTTCCAGCAGCACATCTATTGTTTTATTACTGGCCACAATTAAATCCAGCTTTAACTGATAGACGTGGGATACACTATAAATACTGTGGTATGTAAACTCATATTTATATTTACAATGGGGAAATGAGAACTATGTGTCAGTTGACTGTTTTGGAATAATGTCTTGATTCATACAAAATAGACAGTAATACACACAATCTAATTAAAATATAGATCTATATTTCGTTTCGTTTTTATACGTCCACATTCATAATGTGAACGTATTATGCCGTCGCCCCTGTCTGTGTGTGTGTGTGTGTGTGTGTATGTATGTATGTGTGTGTGTGTGTGTGTGTGTCTGTGGTTCGCCTACAGGGCGCAATTCTTCATGGATTTTCTTCAAACTGTGTGTGTGTGTGAGTTAGTTTTATTTAACGTCCGCTTCCACCGAGGTGATATCGCAGACAAACTTGGTATACTTATTCCTTATACCCCAAGGAAGATCCCTATTGTTTTTGGTGCATGCCCGACCCCCCGGGGCAGAGCCACGCCCATTTCTAGTATTTGTTTGTTTGTCGTCTACAGGCCACATTTCTTAACTAATAATCTTGAAACTTTGCATACACATTCTTTGTACCCTAAGGAACATCCCTATCGTTTGGGGTGCATGCCCAACCCCCAGGGGCAGAGCCACGCCCATTTTCTTTTCGTGTGTCTTTGTGTCGCCTACAGGGCGCAATTCTTACTGGATTTTCTTCAAACTTGGTATACTTATTCCTTATACCCCAAGGAAGATCCCTATTGTTTTTGGTGCATGCCCGACCCCCAGGGGCAGAGCCACGCCCATTTCTAGTATTTGTTTGTTTGTCGTCTACAGGCCACATTTCTTAACTTATAATCTTGCATACACATTCTTTGTACCCTAAGGAACATCCCTATCGTTTGGGGTACATGCCCAACCCCCAGGGGCAGAGCCACGCCCATTTCCCATTTTCTTTTCGTGTGTCTTTGTGTCGCCTACAGGGCGCAATTCTTACTGGATTTTCTTCAAACTTGGTATACTTATTCCTTATACCCCAAGGAAGATCCCTATTGTTTTTGGTGCATGCCCGACCCCCAGGGGCAGAGCCACGCCCATTCCTTATATTTATTTATTTGTTTGTCATCTACAGACCGCATTTCTTAACGTATCAACTTTACATATTTATTCCTTATACCCTAAGGATGATCCCTATTGTTTTTAGTGCATGCTCGCCTCCCCGGGGCAGAGCCACGCCCATTTTTGTATTTGTTTGTTTGTCGTCTACAGGCCGCATTTCTTAACGTATCATCTTGAAACTTTGCATACTTATTCTTTGTACCCTCAGGAACATCCCTATCGTTTTGGGTGCATGCCCACCCCCCAGGGGCAAAGCCACGCCCATTTTCTTTTTCTATGTGTGTGTGTCGCCTACAGACCACAATTCTTAATCAATTGTCTTGAAATTTTTTCATATGAATTGCTTATACCCTAACGATGACCCCTATTGTTTTTTTACCCCCAGGGGCAGAGCCACGCCCATTTTCTTTTCTTTTTATGTCTGTGTGTCACCTACAGGCCACAATTCTTAATCAATCGTCTTGAAAATTTTTCATATGAATTGCTTATACCCTAAGTATGATCCCTATTGTTTTTGGTGCATGCCCGACCACCAGGGGTAGAGCCACGCCCATCCCTTATATTTATTTATTTGTTTGTCATCTACAGATCGCATTTCTTATCGTATCACCTTGAAACTTAGCATACATATTCCTTCTATCCTAAGGAACATCCCTATTAGTTGTGGTGAATACCCAACCCCCAGGGGCAGAGCTACGCCCATTTTCTTTTTTTATGTCTGTGTGTCACTTGCAGACCGCATTTCTTAATCGATCATCTTGAAATTTTTTTTAGACTTATTCCTTATAGCCTAAGGCTACGTTTTTACACTTATTCCTTAATCCTAAGGCTGGCCTCTATTATTATTTTTGGTGCATGCTCAACCCCTTGGGACAGAGTCACGCCTAATGTTTGTGTGTCTTGTGTTTTGCCTACAGGCCGCAATTCTTAACCGATCCTTTTGAAATGGGGATACCTATTCTAAACGTCATGCTTTTAGAATAAAGACATCGATTGTTTTAAAATAAAAATTGTGTTCTGTTAATGTGAACGAAACGTTAAACTGATAGCAGTCCTACAACCCAGTTTTATTTCACAGACCCTCAATGCAAACTGGACCATATCAAACAAAACAGGAATGTGGACGTATATTGCTGCGTTAGCGATGCTCTTGTTTATACTTTCAATGGCCTACACTACATGTAGATCTAACAAGTTAATAGGGGAGTTCACTTTCTATGACGTCAGGTACCAAGCAAGCGACATTTGACCCGATTACGTCAGTCATTCAATTAACCATGTAATTTTTATCTACTTTTGCTTTGTTTTGATTTCTATTGCTGCTAATGTCTACCCACAGTTCTGTGCAAAAAAGGTCAAACGCTCGATTCGACAGACCATTTGATTGGCTGACCCCTCATTTCAAGCAGAACACAAGTTAATTAACAACGCTTCCAGATCCAAGTGTAGTAAAGACAAGTAAAATCAAAATTTTGAACTATAAAAACGAAACGAAATTGGATCTGTGTTTTAATCAGATTGGTAATACACAGTTTCATACAAGCGGTTTGCTTCTTACTGAAGCTTCCGTATGTAAGAAAACATTGTTTAGGCCAAAGTGGAATTGGTACATTGGTAATAGCTTGCACTGGGTTTCTTCTAATTAGATATAATGTACAATTTGCAGTTTTTCGTTCCCAATCATGTTGGAGTTACTTTGTACAAATTGTTATATTAAAGTGAACTATTTTGATTAATACATTTATTGCAAATAATTTAAGCTTGAAATTTTAACTTAACAGTTATCTTATATGTCTACATTTTATATGCTATGCTACACAATAGGAAATATGGAAATTATTGGTAAGTTTAATGTGTTAAAAATGAAAAAAAATGAGTCTATGTTGTGTAGTTGTAGCTCTTTCATTTGTAGTTGTTTGCGCTTTTTTATTAAATTTATTTAAAACATTTTTGTTCTCTACCATACTATAGTGTGAAATTCTGTGAATTCCAATGTCTTAAAGTTTGAATCTTCTGTCTTGAGTCTTACTGCACAACTTCGCTGTCTATAGTTGTTACATATGTGATATAATTAGGGAACATATTCCTGTCCAAGCTAACTTATAATTATAATTATTTTATTAAAGAATTATGTTTTTTTTTTTAGTTTGGAAGCCATTATCATGTCAAAGAGATGACTGTTCTAATAGGAGAAAATGTCAAGCTACAAAGGTATAAGGAAGTTTTTTTTTTACATTTTATTTTTTTTTATTCTATGGCCATATTTAATGTGGATATATATTAATATTGTTGTCAGCTGCTCATCGACTGTCAACATACAATGTCAAACATGGACCTTACTGTGAAAATGAGGGATATCACACATGCCCAAGCTCACTGGGAGTTGAAAAACAGATGAGTAACCTACCACACACCCTCCCAATATGTCAGTTACCTTCAATAATTTCGGTAAACCCAAAGACAGCAGAATATTTCTTATTTTTTGATATATTAGATATTAAAGCCCTGACAGTTGTAATAAATAATTTGAATTTCCTGTGTTAGATTGTAAACATACATTATGTAGATTCTAGACATTGTGACACCAGTCAAAATTGTGCTTGGTTGGATTGTAAACAGACAACACCAGTCCTATAACCATATTTAGAGTGTAGACGTTGTGACACCAGTCAAAATGGTGCTTGGTTGGATTGTATAACCACTATTTACGTTGTACACATCATCATACCTGTTAAGATTGATAAATAATAAGCATAAATAAACATCCCTACATCTTCAGCTTATCATAAGCTATATTTATATTTTTAAAAAAGGACATGAAGATGTCAAATCATTTACATTTTATGTAAATTAACGACATAAAACCTACATTGTACTGACCTGTCATTGAGTCAACTGGCGTGGTTTCGAATCCCTGGTTGTACGTGACAAGGAGTAGGGTCACCTGTCCAACCTCATGGGTTTTCTCCGGGTCCTCCGGTTTCCTCCCACTGCTAAAGACCTCTACGAGCAAGCGAATTATTGAAATAAAATAAAACCATATGTTAGTCCCGAAATGACCTAGTTAGTGTCGAGTGGACATTAAACCCCATTTCTCTCTCTCTGTCATTTTGGTCATTTGTATTTGGTTACAATTGCCCACAATATTAATTGAATGTTTTATTTTTTAGATGTGTTTAAATCCAGCTCTGGCCATACATTCAGGTGATACACCACCACCATTATATATATGTAGTGATTGTGCTGAACAATTAAGTAAAGATAACGAGTATATGGTAGATCTACTACTACCTGTCAATCATGTATCAACGATATGTGAAAATAAGGTAAATGACTGCTTGGATTAGATCTTATTCTATTTACACAGATGGTTTCTTTCTTGGTACCTAAAATCTTGCTCCAACTGTTTGAAACAAATTTTCATGCTGGACGGTTTCTTCAGTACAACTTGTAAGTTTGGGGTAAGTTGTGTGATAGTTGAAGACTGAAGTTATAATTCCAAACTGTTTAATGATGAACACTTTCTGCATGCCTTATGTTTTACATAAGATAATATGATCGACAATCGTTGGCTATTCTTCCATTTATTAAAATAAATTGACCCAATCTAAAAAGGAAATATAACTGTATAGGCAAACCTGACCCAAAAAGTAAGAGTGTGCCATGGACCAGGAACCGAGCATGACGTCATATCAACAATCATAGTCCATCAATAAATAGATGCACATTTCTGCCAAGTTTCATGACATTCGTACTTGCATTGGGGAACTCCACCCCACCCCCATATCCTCCTCTCTCAAGATGAGTAGCGATGGGCTGGGGCATGTTCCTGGTTGTTTTAGACATGGGTGTAGAAAAATATTTTGGATTGGATCATCTACCAATAGCTAATCTACCAACCGGGTGCAGTAGCGGGGCCTGTAGAATGTTTTCTGGTGACAGATTGTGATCATACTAATCATGGATTTTTTTTTCTAGAATTGCAGATCAGAGCAGAATTTAGCTGTTAGTACATGTTTTTCCATAGAATGTGCCAGTTTTAATGGTAATCGGCCAATCAGATATTGTAAATTCTGTCACGAAGCTCGCCATAGTAACCAGGTTGAAGTGAATCATGTTTATCATATGAGTATATCTGATATTTGGAGTTGTACACCTGAATTGCAAAGATATCTTGTTGATGCTGTTGTCAGGTGAGATTTTAAGCATTTATTGTCAAAATAAAATGGGATTAACTGGGCTAATGAAGATGGGCATATGCTATCTAGTGTACTATGTTCTATTAGGAAAACTTTGTCTAGACAGTGATGTTAACAGCCTACTATTCTTCTAATTCCAACGACCAAAAAGTTCTTTTACATATGTACATAAGACCTCAATATATCCTCATATCCAAACGCTGTGGTCTTTGAGATGAATTATCATTACAAATGATAAATCTTTTGTTTGTTGCAATACGATATATTGCTGTGTCGGTTTATTATTTACCTGCCATATTAATTTGCTGATAGTTTCTTAAAATAATGGTAAATACACAGACATGGACTTGACCTTGTCAGACTTAACTTCATGATTATTACTAAACTATGAATTCCAGCATACCTGTAAGCATTTAGAAAATGTGCATTGAGAAAAAAAAAGTATATCAATGTTGTATTTGGTGGCAAATTTGGTGGTACATTTTTATCACACAATGATCGGTCGGGTAATGCTCTAAAAAAACAACCCGGTTTCATTACAATTAAAAATGTTTTTAGGAGAATACCCTTCAATAATAGACAGAATGTGCATGCAGAATTGATCAACAGTACCAAGATCAACACCCGCACTTTCGCCTCTAACTTTAAAGGCTCATTCGGCAAACCTCAGAGGACTCCGAAATGTTGAAACCACTCGTGTGTCATTCTGTTGATAATCAAGGTAATCAACAAAGACCAACACAAGTACTAATCTCACTGATAAGTAGTTATTTTCTGTCATTATTTTTAGAATTGTGATTAAATTATGATTGAATATTTACTGAACCCACAATTTTTTGAAAATAATATAGTTTATTAAAAGAAGCTCAGCCTATAGAATCTAAACGTATGGTAGAGATGGGAGAAGAGCAGCGTAGATTAACAGATGAAGATGAATGTTATGAAGTAGAGGAAGGAGGGGATCATAAGTTACTAAGTAGATATGGTATATGGTTAATGGTAGAATTATGTCGACCAAAAAATGATATATCCATTGTAAGTTATATCAAAATAGAACTTTATTATTAAAGAAACTTTTCACATAGCTGGTGGCCATCTTCTGGCTTATTATATCAACAAACTTTTATAGAATATAACAGGTTACAGATAAGTCATTTTAAATGACAAGTATCCATTTTGAAACTGAACCTTATTCCATGTTTCCGACTACCCACATTCAGAGTTTCAATAACTCACTGATATGAATTATATATTTTATAGGAGATATTAGGAAGAATATTGGGTATATTGTTTCAATGGTTTGATGCTACAGCTTATTTACCAGATGGTAAGATATTTTATTGATAATGTAATATTTTTTTATGTGAAGAATTTATTGATATCAGATGCTACAGAAATATCAATTTCAGCTTCTGTACCAACAGGGAATATAAAGACAGGAATACATCATTCAGTGTATGCTATGAGAGAAATTATACCTGGATAGAAGTGTTACAATCTACTTTTATTTTATTTCAAATTCCAACTGACAAGGGTTCTTTCATGTACATGCCAACGTGTACACAAACCCCAGATCTACTGGTTACAAAGCCACCATGGTTCGTTACTGAACTCCATGGAAACCATTATAAATGTGAATTTTACAATATCCTTGATATACAATGATTTACAGATTTCTCTCACGTGTAGATCAATTGAGTGAAATCCCAAAACATTTTATAGATGCATGACAATTTTGCTGAAATCAGAGTACCTATTTAATATCATTGCAACATCTAGTATTAATTATTGTAAACTATTTTTATGTTTTATTTTGACTGTTTTGTAGATAATGTTGGAAATGCATTGGAACGATTAAAACCTGAGGTATGTAGTATAGCTATTATATTATAAACTTCAGTGATGTGATTACCATTTTGTAAATAATATTTAGATTAGAAGATTCTGTAATGTGGTGTACAAGAAAAATATTATTATTCACATTCCAGATATATAATGTTTGTTAATATATTTTGTAATACTATATTTCAGTATATATATAGTTGGTTACAAGATGTAATGAAGACACATTTTGAGGTAGTTGTATCCTGTTTATTACCACACCCAGTGGAATATTCACGTGTTGGAGGATTTTGGTAAGACATGCAATCCCTTTTTATTAATTTTAATTTTGGGGGGAAATTACAGAACACACTGAAGGGAAATAATTCTTTGGTTTAGTTTAATAATGAAATTGTCAAGAACAGAAATCAACACAAATATTTCATTGATACTAGAAAAGCCAGAAGGCTTTGTGCGGCCTATTAGCTGAAAAAAAAGCTATTATCGCTCCGGTTGAAGGGCAGTAAAAAAGACCTGACTTATAACAGATCCCTGTTGGTCTTGTGACCATCAGTTTATCGAAGATGTCTTTAAACATGTGGTTGCACAAGGGTCAAATGAAGAGACTTTACAACATGATTATTGGTAATAAAATATCATCTTAGTAAAACTTATATTAATATATCTTGGGGTTTTTTTTCACTAAATGGGTTTTTAAGTTGAAATTTATAAACTAAATGTCAATAAGTTGAGTGTTATAATTAGTCTAAATAGAAGTTTTTACTGTGCATTTATATAGATATTTTAAGTTGCAAAGAAGTATGCATCCTCTTTTTGACTTGATATACTTATTAAGCAACTTCTCTGATTTAGTCACTGTAAACAACTTTATAATTTATATTGATCAAAGTTCAATTCCAATTTTAAAATGTCTTGTTTTAGATATCTTTTAAACAGATTCAAGAAAACTCCCATTTTTTCCCTCTTTGAACAAATAGGCAGCAGAAAACTGTCTGAGGGTTATAGTGAAATGTTATTAAATATAATGTTTTAATTTAGGCAACACAAATAAAATAACTTGTTTCTCGGGCACCGCCCGCACGCAAAATTGGTTGCGCGTGCAGTCTATTTATTAGTCTTGATGAAAAAAAATAAATATGTAACGCCCGCCCGCACATCGACAAGCAAGTCGTAAAAAAAATATCCCGCATGTACCTACATCCGCCATACATGTATATCTATTCAAATGTATTAAAATTGATTCAGATGAACATGCTGTCTTTTTTATCCGAACAATGGCGAAGTTTGGCAGATTTGCCTTTTTTATTGATATCGAAAGAACCTCCATTTTGTATCACGTGATATTAATTACCTCCCCTGATAAACTAGAATTTGATTCGTGTTAAAAGTCATTGGCGACAATATTTCAATCATTCGATCGTAATCGGTCCTTGTTTGGAAAATCCTATTGATAAAATAATGAACCGTAGAACAGGTTAATTAATTATAGCTAAGAATACGATACGATGACGATAGTCGTCATAATGCATACCTTAGAATCTGGGTCATTATTACTGAATATTAGCACATTTACGGTAGTTTCGATAATCCGGAAAATAATAATTGGATTACCGATTTGATGGTTTTACTGACCAGTTGTTAGTTAGATTTAAATAGTCATTCAATATAAACACCGGATAGAACACCGAATATCCTGAGAAACACACCGAATATCCCAAGAAACAGTATTTCCGGCAATCTCCAATACCGATGACACGGTGTGACATGCATTGGTTGGAATTCGGTAAATAATTATAAATAAACCGGCGATACTAGATTTAGTTTTAAATACTGTTTACCATGATTATTATTTTTGATACACCTGGTGAAAGAGGCTTAGTTTTTAAAAATATTGTTGTCTTTATGGAGGGCTATTACATAGTCGTATGGAATTTTATTTTAAACCAATTTCAATTATGTGAATTAAATATGGAAAATTATTTTCCTTTCAGTCAGTGTTCAGTCTCAGTGTTTTAGTAGACTTGATTTTGGGTTTATGTTTTAAGTATGTACAATAAAGTTGAATATAACGGAAAGCAAAAACGTAAACAAGTAATGACTTTCTCATTTAAAAAAAAAAAAAAAGAAAGACCGCCCTCCCGCCCCAACAATTTTCAGCAATAGCCAAATTTTATTTTGCACCATCAATGAGTAAAAAAAAAAAAGAAACCGCCCTCCCTCCCTACAGTTTCAGCTGTCAGTTGCCCGAGAAACAAGACATTTATTTTGTGTGGCCTTAAATAGATATTAAACTTTTACTTTCAGGGATACATTGGCAACAAGAACAGCACAGATAAAAGAAGGATTGAACTGTTTCTTCTGTCTTGTTCCCTATAATATTATTACGTTTGAGGTAATAAAAGAAATTTGAAATATACTTTTACTGTATCCAAAGTGATGGATTTATACATTTGTTCAAATGGAAAACAAATCAAACAGCCTAGATGCAAATGTTCACAAATATTCACCAGTCCTGTTGATTAGGTACCATAAAAAATGGCTGGTATCAGTAGCAGATCTAGAAGCTCTGAATGGGGGGGTGGGGGCCATGTCTAGTGCGCCATTCACAATTCCACCCCACAATGAATGTCAACAAAATACTGGCTATAACACAAAGCGTCCCGGTAGAACATAGATCGTATCCCCTAAATCAGCGCCTGGCCGGTATGTGAATCCCTGAAACAATTTGTAAAGTGTAAAGAAATTTGAAAATTGTTTTCAGATATGGGATTATGTGATGCCATATTGGTTAGAAGCAATCAGAACAGAAATAGCCGAAGAAGATTTACATGAATTAAAAGTTTTATTGAGGTATGATATCTTTATACATTGTAGAAACAATATCATCTCTATAACATTACTTTGACAAATAACAGAGTATTTTTTATTCCATACATTCCACAGAATTTTATCTCATGCAAATGACGAAACCTCTCTTTTTTGCCTGTCCAAGCTCGTGGGTTTTTTCTGGGTTGTTCTGTTTCCTCCCACTGCTTAAGACCACTACATGCAGGAGAATTATTGAAATAAAATTGGCTTAGTTTGTGTTGAGTTGACATTAAACCCCATCACTCTCTCAGACCTTGACTGCAAGTTTAGATGGGTCACCGAGTGGTAGAATTACAAAATGTCTTACAGCTTTGTTTCTAAATACTGAGAAGTTTAATTGTTATATTTTCAGTAAAGCTTTTGATATAGATATGTGTCCATTACCATTTACATTGGAGAAGATGTATCATTTCATAACAGAAAGATTTGCTGATAGTAGTGCTTCTGTACAAGAACAAGCATTGCAATGGCTACAGGCAAGTACTTCACAATTCTTTATAAGACATTTTAGATGTAAACTTTAAAACGTATAACACAGGATATATGGATAATACCACTTCTAATTTAACACTACACAACGTTGCAAAACATTCTTCTGTAACATTGTGAATTTTTAATTTGATATTTCATGAAAACAATTAGACATAATAATTCCAAAATTTTATTTCAAAAAGCTCATGAACATTTTTCTGTGTTGCAGATTCTGTCATCATTAGATATTATCATACCCATGCATTTATTTCTACGCATGTGTAAAGCTGGTGTTGATCAGATTAACACAGATCCAGAAGATGTGGCTAATGATGGTGGGAGGGAAGGTCATCTGCACTCGGCTATAGATTCTTCTTCTCCTAAAGAAGAATATCCAGCCCCTCTCAGTCCAGAACGTCAACCACATTATAACAGTGCTCATACATATATGTATGAACGTGAATCAGAAATAATTTTACCAAGTTTTATTATGATGTTAGATATGGTACTCAAACAAGTAAGATCAAATACCTGGTATCAAAATTTAATTCCTGTGAATAAGATAATGAAATTTGAATACTATTAAAAGCGAGAGCTTACAATCAATGACTGATCACAATATAATGGGGTCTTTGAGAAAATTTGAATCAGTTGTTAATAGTTATTAATTCTTAATTATTCCCCTGCTTATAAACTGACCTTGTCATCAGCCTGTTTCATCTGTTATCACCACGACGTAAATGAGAAAAGTTCAGCCACTGGGTCGCATGTGCACTGAAGGCAACAAACATTCTCCCAAAATAGACATTCACGTGACAATATTCATTCTTTTATTTAGGCAACACAAATAAAATAACTTGTTTCTCGGGCACCGCCCGCACGCAAAATTGGTTGCGCGTGCAGTCTATTTATTAGTCTTGATGAAAAAAAAAAAATATGTAACGCCCGCCCGCACATCGACAAGCAAGTCGTAAAAAAAATATCCCGCATGTACCTACATCCGCCATACATGTATATCTATTCAAATGTATTAAAACTGATTCAGATGAACATGCTGTCTTTTTTATCCGAACAATGGCGAAGTTTGGCAGATTTGACTTTTTTATTGATATCGAAAGAACCTCCATTTTGTATCACGTGATATTAATTACCTCCCCTGATAAACTAGAATTTGATTCGTGTTAAAAGTCATTGGCGACAATATTTCAATCATTCGATCGTAATCGGCTCATTATTGCCGGCTTCAGTCGGTCCTTGTTTGGAAAATCCTATTGATAAAATAATGAACCGTAGAACAGGTTAATTAATTATAGCTAAGAATACGATACGATGACGATAGTCGTCATAATGCATACCTTAGAATCTGGGTCATTATTAGCACATTTACGGTAGTTTCGATAATCCGGAAAATAATAATTGGATTACCGATTTGATGGTTTTACTGACCAGTTGTTAGTTAGATTTAAATAGTCATTCAATATAAACACCGGATAGAACACCGAATATCCTGAGAAACACACCGAATATCCCAAGAAACAGTATTTCCGGCAATCTCCAATACCGATGACACGGTGTGACATGCATTGGTTGGAATTCGGTAAATAATTATAAATAAACCGGCGATACTAGATTTAGTTTTAAATACTGTTTACCATGATTATTATTTTTGATACACCTGGTGAAAGAGGCTTAGTTTTTAAAAATATTGTTGTCTTTATGGAGGGCTATTACATAGTCGTATGGAATTTTATTTTAAACCAATTTCAATTATGTGAATTAAATATGGAAAATTATTTTCCTTTCAGTCAGTGTTCAGTCTCAGTGTTTTAGTAGACTTGATTTTGGGTTTATGTTTTAAGTATGTACAATAAAGTTGAATATAACGGAAAGCAAAAACGTAAACAAGTAATGACTTTCTCATTTAAAAAAAAAAAAAAAGAAAGACCGCCCTCCCGCCCCAACAATTTTCAGCAATAGCCAAATTTTATTTTGCACCATCAATGAGTAAAAAAAAAAAAGAAACCGCCCTCCCTCCCTACAGTTTCAGCTGTCAGTTGCCCGAGAAACAAGACATTTATTTTGTGTGGCCTTATCATTACACGTTGGACTTTTAAAAATACATTTACAAACTTGATTAAAACTTTGGCTAAAACTCAGCGATTTTATTTCTTATTTAGTTGATTATAACCAGTGACATATATATATTGTAACGGTTCTTGGTTCAGAGTCAATTCATGTAGTTTCGTTTAAACTCACTCTCGTAGCAACTTACCGACACCGTAAGACTGTGAAATTTACTTTCATTTAACCATAAAACCATGTGGTTAGTTGCCACCTTAGTGAGTTTAGAAGTTAATGGGAGCCAATCATACTTTGTGCCATTTAAAACATATGTCCAAATGGTTATATCCTCGAAAATCAAACATGGTCAGATTTCCATTGTTGATTGGTGACGTTTTTATGGTAAGTTTTATGTTAAAATAAGCCTCAAATATTGTCTTGTTTGATTGTCTTCAAACCCTGAACCACTCTACTGCTGTACAACATATGAAAGAAAACATTTCAGTTACAATATTATTTTCTTTTAGTATTGATACTGGAGGTCATTTCCTTAAGGTTGTCATAAAAAAAAACAACCCAAAAAGGGTGTAAGAATCTGACTAGATTTTCAGACAGTCACAAATGTATTCAAGAGTTCATTTCCTTGGTTGTATGAAGCTAGATCTAGGTTCCCCAGTCAAACTTCAGATTCTGTAATTCCGTCCCACTTCTAAAAGAGATCTACATGACAGCAAAATATTAATTTAATCATGTTAGTCTCAAACTGACCTTGTTAAGTTGAGTAGATGTTAAACCCTTTTTCTGTCTTGTTGAAAGAGTAACTGTCTGTTCCACATATTGAAAGTAAATAAATGTTATTTTATAGATGGAGCTACAAGAATCACCAAAACATCTAGGTATATATAATGAAACAAGTAGAGAAGTCATGCAGTTATTGACATGGATGTTACGCAAAGAATGGGATGGCATCCACACATGTTTATCAGAGGTTCAAAAGGTCAACTGTGAATTTTGTCAGAATATAGCATTGTGGCATCAACTTGCTGCTCAACTTATGGAACACATCTGTCCAAGAGATCCACTGAAAATCCCACCAAAAGAATTACCACGGGTTGAAGAGTTAAAACAAGATATTCTAAATACTGAATATCAAGGTAACAATTTAAGTGTGTTTCATGTTAATTTAGAGATGATCATTTTGAAGTTTTTCTAGATTAATTTTAAGAAGTTTGATAATCTTTTAAAACATGCGATTCTGTCATTCTATTATAGAATTTGAAAAAGGATCACCTCAACATGAGAAAGATGAAAAAGAACCAGAGTATGATATAAATACTTTTCCTATATATCTACAGTTATATGATACACTACTTAAAGTAAGTCTTTCTTTATAACAGCTGTGTGTGTGTGTGAAATAGATAACAGCTATGTCTCATAAAGTGTCTATATACAGTACAACCAGATTCTATATGCTCCATGTTCTGTTCATGATTATTGGATCATCAGCTAATTGGTGACCATGGATTGAAGCCAAAGAGCAAAAAACATAAAACTCGTGCCAGCAGATTTAGATCATACAATTTTGATTCCTTAATAATTAAAATTAACTGCAAAAGATTATCTGATGATCCAAAGAGAAATGGAAATGAAATGGGGTTTAACATCCTACTTTTCTGCTACATGTGGGCTTATGAGTATAGCCATACACCATACAGTGTGCTATGAGAGAAATTTTGCCCGGATTGTGGCCGTATGTCCAACTATTATGTCGACTGTCAAGAGTTCTTTTACGAGCCCACCAACATGTACACAGGTCCATTTTTTGTCTCATACTAATAACTTGGCACTGTTCCTTGCTAGACCATCCATCCTGCACCATTTTCTATGCCAACACCAGGATCGAACCTGGGACCTCCAGGTTAGCAAGCCAGAATCTTACTCATCAGGCCACTGCAGCTCCCAAAATAGAATTGGATGATCATGCACGATAGTTAAGACTAGTAGAATATTAGTTACTGTCGCTTCCAGGAGATACTCCAACTCTAAAATTCCTCTTCATTTCTTTAGTTTTTAATTTAAACAGCCAAAACTTGGTGACATACCTGAAATTATCAACCTGTTGCTCTTTCATCAAGCCTTAACGCCTAGAAATTCAGTAAAATACACTATTATTTTGTAAATTTGACATATTTCAACATTGTTTCATTCTCAGAACATAAATATCACGAGTGTGTCTGCGTAAAATGGGAGACTTGCATTTCGCGTAAAGGGTAGACAGGGATCTCCAAATCGGGTACATTCGGTTACAAATCTTTAGTGAAGATTCACCCGTTTGTTTTGCGGCAGTAATAGTTATTAGGGTTTCACATGTGACATTTTTATAAACACGTTATTAGTTTTCCAAAGTATGTAGGTTCTGATCAGCTGTAAATAAATATTAAAAATATATTTATCTAAATTATCTCCCTTTGGCGATACTGTTTTTAGCATATAAACTATAAAATAATTATCAGATTGACACAGAATCAATGGTATAGTATACACAATGGTACTAGCTATAATAATTATTGATACAAAATATTATTTCATCTCAATTTAGCTGATATATATCTGGATAGCCCTCATAAATAAGCACAGCAAACTTTTTCTTTCTAAAGAATATTAATTGATACCCCTTAATAATAATGTTTACTAATTTCCTTTAAGTAATATTGTGTAGATATATGATCAAGCACATTTCACAAAATAATTTCTTCCTTTAATCATTGCCAAAGAATGGCTGATTTCGCCGCATTGGTCACTTTGTAAGGGTTCCACACATCAACATACTTCCATAAATGGCCATTTTGCAAATATTTTTAACACGTGTATCATGCTCATATGGGAATACCGGTATGTTAAGTGACGTCAGTTAAATGGTAATGGGCACTGGTGAAACCTGTCATGACTGCTTAGCAGTTATAGTTTTCAATAATTTTCTGAGCTGTTTCTACCTTTTTTTGCAAAATAAATGCCGTTATTTTAATATTCCTCACAGTTCATTTGATCATAGATCACAGTTTCGAATATTGGTAATGAATACTTTATTTTTAGGATTTAGGCACACAAGATTTGTTTCAGATATTAAGTTAGAAAAAAAAAAAAGCGAATCTTAGAAAATTTAACCCCTTGAATAATTGATTGTTATTAGCTATAATTTATTATTTCAATATGTAAATGTCAAGGAATGTATCAATCTATTTCGAAAAACAGAATTATTTACAATATGGAAGTTCAAAAAATGAGATGGCCTACGCATTGAATACATCTGTAAAACCTTCTTTAAAGGAGGGCTCATCCTACAAAACCGGAAAAGGACAAAATTATATAATAATAAGAGAGACCATCCACAGACGCATATGCCATGTTCTGCATTACATAACCTTGATTGAAGAAATGAAATGCAATGATGTTTAATGGCATGTCAGCATCAACCGGGCGATAATGCGCCTGACATAAATATTGTTCTCCTTGATTTAAGACGTGCCAATAATGTAATAATATTATATAAAAATCGTTTTACTTTTGTTGAAGGCATCATGGGAAATTAGGTTACATATACAATTAATTTGATCATCACTCCAGCCTAAAATTCAAGACAAAGTCTTAAGCGGAAGAATATCAATTTAACCCGCGATGACTTTTGCTTTATGGACTGAATTATTATTGTGTACGCCTCCTTCCAAATTTCCATCACATGTCAGTTCGGGATAAAATTTGTATCTTGTTTATATCAATATCAAAACGCTACATCCCTCGTGGCCAATTAGATATTCAAGTCAGTTTGACAAACAACTGTGTTCTGGGATCCCGTAAAAAAAGTTACATTCTACTGGGCTAAAACAACTTCCTTAACATCCAAGTAGGCCGAAATGACTCAAAGCCAAACCAGTGCCCCTGGCCCTCTTCGACTTTTCTGGATAACTAGGTCAAACATGGCTGATGTTCAGCAGCGCGATGAAAACAAACCATGATTTTTCAAGAGAGAGAGGTTATGTAGCTTGATTTAAAATTGGTTCCTCTTGTAAGAAAGTAAGGGGATGGTAATTCCAGGTATGTCACTGAATTTTAGCTGTTTTAATTAAAAATTGAAGAAATGGCAAGCAATTTTCGTGTCATAGTGTCACCTAGAACAGACAGTAAACATCTGTTAAGCCTCTCTTTCTTGTAGTTTTTTTTAACATTTCGATGAGTGTTTTATGAAAATATTTTACAGAGTTTATGTGCTGTTACTGATGTGGATGCATTGTTTTATCTATTATCATCGTTTAAATATTTAATATTACACGGAGAATGTTTAAACTATACAGTTAGTCAGTATAATCTCTATATACCATTCACATTGAGGAAACATCTTATACCCAAGTAAGTTCTTATATGTGTAGATGATTGGCTCTATCTGGCTAAATCAGATATGTATGCATGAATTTAAGTTCTAAATTCAACAGGGGACGGTTGTTCAAAGCTCTGTTAACTTTTAACAACTTGTTAACATGGAGTTAACGGACTGTTATCTTTAACGGAGAGAAAGCCTGTTGCTGGAAGCCCCGTTAACTTTAACATGTCGTTAACTTATTGTTATATTTAACGGAGGTGCTAGGCTCTGTTATCTGTTTAACGATGGCATTAGTCGGCTGTCAGTCGAAGTATGCCCTTAACAACAGACTTTCTCTCCGTTAAAGATAATGATCTATTATCTCCATGTTAACAAGTCGTTAAAAGTTAACGGAGCTTTGAACAACCAGCACCTGTATGTGACACTGAAAATTACATGTTGTCGTTTATTACAAATTTAGCGTCCAATAACTTATTAACTTATTAACATGAAGGAGTAACAAAAAATGGGTAAATGAGTTCATATTAACAGCAACTCACTGTAAATTATGTATTGGACAAATTAAAAATTACTCACACCTATCAGTAATCAGTCAGAGATAATTAAATGAGTTCACATTATGATTGTGAATTAGACAAATTTAGAACCACTCATATTATTAGCAACTTTCTGTTAATTATGGATGGAACAAATTAAAAACCAAATTTGGTCAACATCAAAGCTTTTGGCTATTTTTTGCTTTTGATTGTTTTTTTTAAAAACATATCTACTGTAAGGGCGTATTTCCACTCTTTGCATGGCTATCTTTTGTTTTTTCAGCAGCAAAAGATATAATCTTCAATGTGCAAATTACATTTGGACAGTTTCAATTATTTAGAAAAAACATCTATTCATGATACTGTGCCTAATAAACATTACATGATCTTTTCAGAACTTTGTTTAGACTATTGTGTGTGTAGATCTTAGAACAGAACACTTTTGTAATTAAGCACTATAAATATCAAGTATTAATGTGGATATAACAACATGTTTGAAGTCAGACTTCAGATTCACTCTATCACCTACAAAACCTAGAACCTGAAGAATGTCCCATACTTTTGTTTACTAAAATTAAATAGTTTTTAGATTTTACAAAATGTGTTGAAATGTTAATAAAAGTGATAGTGAAATTTCACTTTATTTTAATGATATTCATTTTTGTTAAGATTAAAGTAACCTTTTAATGTACTTTGTAGTTTATGGAAGTTATTACAATGTGAACATTCCCAGTTATCAATAGTAGCTGTTCCTCTGTTGGTTCATTCTATCACATTACCGACTGGTGCTGACATCTTCTGGAAATTAGTAGAAGATTGTTTTGGTCTTGATGATTGGAGGGCAAGATTTGCTGCAGGTAGTAAAAATGTTTATTACAATTTAAACAAAAATCACAGACTTGTCATTATGTCCTGCCTGCATTTAGAAGAAGCAGTCATTGCTGCATTGACGTTGCCATTATGATTAAATGAAATCAAATGGGGTTTAATATCCTACTTTATAGTGTGAATCAGACTATCATCTTTATGTGGGACAGCAATGATATATTCGTCAAAAACTAATTGATTTACATTTCAAGCTTGATTTGTAAGATGGAGTTTCTGAGCTATCATTGCAATACAACTGTCATAATATGGCAAATTATTTCCCCTTAAAAAGATAATTCACCATATTCAAACTTGATTATATTTCTGTCATTGGTGATCATGATGATTTGTGCTTGATACAAAACCTTGGAAAGACTCAAATAAATTTCATCAAAATATGTATTTATTATTTTTTATAGTTGAGAAAGTAACAGTAATGGCACGTTGCCTAGATACAGACTCTATCAGAAATAATCAAGTTGTGCAAACAAGTTTAGCTCATGCATTCTGTCATTTGATTGGATCAGTAGAAGATATTAATGCAGCAATTGCACAGAAATCCATTCTATATATGGATACAATCAGACCAGCAGCATTAAAGGTAAAATCACACAGACTTTTATAGTTAGTATAAGCTCAACCTATTAATTTTAATCTTGTCTGACACATAGGATAAGGGATAGCACCAGTGTGTTCCCATTAAAGAATGTTTGCAAGCTGGAATTGGAAGAAGAAAGGGCATAAATGTTACTCTCTGGCTCAAATTCTCCTCACTAGCATGGGACATGTGAACATATTGAATATAAAGAACCATATTTTAATCTCAAAATGACCAAAGGATGGTGTTTATGAGATTTTGAACTGCTTTATTTTCAAGTGCCCTAATTAGCACCGTGTTAAAACCAATTCTTTAAATGACATCTAGAAGCACGGTTAACTATTCATAACAAAACACCGCTCATCCATACAGCCAATCTAATGGATTGTTTTTACTCTTGGTTGATAAATCTGTCATATTTAGGTGAGGTGGAATTTACATGCGCATTATGACTAGTTAATTTATATTAGATTAATAAGTATGCCATTTAGTTAAACTGTATTAATAATTCTACGAAAAGGGCCTCTGGAATCTAACAACCAAATCGTTCTTCTGTCTAATGGAATTACTTTCGACAAGGGAAGAGAAATTGTATAACTTATTGATAGATCTAATAATAAAAATTTGTGTATTTATTTCAGTGTTTGGTTCACTGTTTAGAGTTTCAGTTTGATACTGTTATAAACGATCGTACAATGATATTACACAGAATGCAACTACTGGCTTCAGTTTTACCAGATCATAAAATACTTACATGGGAGTTTTTTCTGGGTAGATTTGATACTCTATCTTTAGAAGCTCAGATAGATCTAGAAAACCGGGGTGATATTCCCTATCCACAAGGTATGTTCTTTAGATAGCTTATTATATTAAATGTTAATGGAACATTTTTTAATATTTTTTAATGCTATTGATGTATATGAAAACATAAATTCAATGAATCTGTTATTCGAGAATATTTAAGTTAACATGTTTTACATGTATATTTCTAAATTTCATAAGAATTATTATGAACACTCTCTCCAAGAATATTAATACAAAATTGAACAGGAAATTTACTGGTAATTAATTTTGAACAATATCGTATTCAAACTAAACTTAGACTCACTTAATTAGTGAAAGTCTATGCACTGACCTACTGTTTAGAGTATATTCACAAGCGCATTTTAAAATCTTTGAAAACCACTAAGAAATTTGTATGACTTTTAAATTGAAAGTTGAAATCAGCAATGGCTTGGTAACTGCATAATAAATCTGATCAAATCAAAAGTTATTTTTTTACCGACCCATAAAAACTTCCAAATCCCTAATGCTTCTTTAATGTAAATATGAATTTTATAGTAATTTCATCAAAGTGCAAGGTTTCCTAAGCACAGTGTTTACAAATAAAGATTGACCCGTAAATACTGTATTTATAAATGATGATTACCTTGTAAATACTGTTGAAGGATTGATAACCTAACACTAACCCTAGCTCATTGAAGCTACCAAGCACTTCTTGTGTTTGTTTATTATATAGAGTGTACCATAAAAAGTTGCCCTAACCCTAAATATGAATAACCTCTTCCTAATGTAATTTTTGTTTTGTTTCATTCAGATCTAACAAGTAGTGATCGTCACAGTGAACATTTTTTACGTAAATTAAATCGAGCCAGATTAGCATTAGCTAGAACAGATAGTATAAGATCTGTTAGTGTTAGTATATTAAGTAAACCACCATATAGAAGAGCTGTATCTGTACCATTACATCTTATAGCTAAAGGTGCTTCTCCACCTAAAGGTAAATTCTTCAGCTTATTAATTTATTACAAATTCTTGTAGGATATGTTGATGTAGGTCCTTACAAAAGTACCAATGATTTCAGAGTTAATGTTATAGCAAATATTTAAGGGGCAGTTATTTATAGAATATTTGCAGGTGGAGGAGGGGGAATTCCAATGACCTCAATAACATAATAAATAATAAAATAATATAATAATAAATTTTAGCATGTGTATAAATTATTATTAGATTCCCACATTATTTTTTCAGAGGAAAAATGACAACTATATGTCATAATCCATTATAAATTGTATGCAAAATTTGAATAGTTATGTTACAATATAGATGTTTTGTATTGCAGTACCATTAAAAGATTTATCATGTGTTAGACAACAATCAGCACCACAGTTTAATCTAGGTTCTAGAATGTCATCAAAATTAAACCTGGGTTCTTACAGTAATATGATGTTTCCAGGTAACTATTTATGCTATTAGGTCATACCGGGTGATTTGGTAATATTTTATGTCAAAAGTAGAAGGTGGTGCTTGCGATTTAGTACCTAAAGGGTTAAAGCACAGTGTATATACAGGTATTGACATGAAGAATCAAGTACTTGTATTGGGAGAATGGGATAGTATACAACATGTAGTGCTTTATCAATTTATGTAAACTTGTTACTTCAATTTGAGGTTTTTCCTTGACAAAGCTACTCATTTGTGCTCATTTAAATTACATGTTAGGTGGTCAGTTGAGAGAATTTACAGATGAAGAAAGTAATTTTGCTGCTTTACTACAGAGAGCCATGGATTTAGAAGGTGTCGATAGACATACTGTATATCAGCTAGTTTCTCTTCTAATGAAGGTTGGTTTTACTTATATATATGTCTGTTTTCTTTTATATTTTGTTATTATTTTATACTTCACTAGGAATATCATCTGCACATAAACTTTCAGAAAAGTCAGTGAGAGTTCACGATGCTTCCTTCAAGGCCTGAGGATCCTGTATTAAAACACTGGGGAATGCCTTAATTGCCAAACTAAATTTATTTTTAAAGCTGTAATCTTAGTAATGTAAATTGATGTACATGTATTTTAGTTTATGGGGACATATATAGAAGATCCTAAGAGAGATAATACTCGAGCTCAGGTAAATAATTTCTTTATAACCAGTTCAGTTTACTCAATAGAGCAGCTTCTAGGATTGTACAGGGAAGAACATATTTTTTAGCTTCTGATCTCACAGTATCTTCTAACTGGACAACAGATGAGATAGGTGGATCTTTAATGTAGTGTTTGGATTCCACAAATTTGGTGATAAATTGGAAAAAAGATTTTCTGCTTTCGGAATGTTTAATTATAGTAATGCGTTCTGAATGAATGTACAGTAAAATATATTTAGAATTATTAGTAATACTTTTTATCTTTTATTCGTAGAATACCGTTTTACGTCATTTAAACATCTTACTTGGATATAACCAAACAGAAAAATCTTTTAGTGTTCCGCCATATAAATTAAGGTAATGTGCTTTTCTATGACATCAACCATTCTCTAAAAGCTTTTGCTTTTTTTTGCTAATCAATATAATTTACAACTGTTAATAAAAGGGATTTAATATTGTTGACATTAAATTTAAATCCATGAATTATTCACTAGATTTCCACAAATAATGTTGGTTCTGATTAATATACAGAGAAGCAATACTAATTCACATAATAATTATTTATTTTTTTCAGATCGTCTGCAGTATTTAATGCATATTTATCTGGTGTTCCATTTGTAAGTGTATTTTCTCTATTACTGCTTTCTAAAATAATAAAGAAAGTATTTACAGATAAAATGGATGTCTTGCATTAATTCTCATAGTAGAACAATTGTTGGTTTTAAATTGAAACATGCCTTCAAAAATTAATGTTTTGTTTTTATAGGTATTGGATAATAATTTTAAGTTGGGAAATACAATTTTACCTATAACTCTACTATTACTACAATACAGTCCATCACCCCAGAGATATGCATCTGATTATCAACCACCAACATATACACTATGGTATCTAGAACAATATACTCGTATGTCATGGCTACGAGCTCTGCTAGTTATACTTTATAAGGTCTGTACTCTATGTGTATGAAATATTTGGGAATGCTGGTTTTTGAGAATTACTATTTACAGATTACTTTAGAATTAATAACCATACTAGATTTTGAGCTTTTTGCATGGCTCTGCCATTGACACCAGGGGGGTTGGATGGCTGAATGTATCATAAAGTCTGTCATTGAGTTGACTGGCGTGGTTTCGAATCCCCGGTTGTACGTGGCAAGGAGTAGGGTCGCCTGTCCAACCTCGTGGGTTTTCTCCGGGTCCTCCGGTTTCCTCCCACTGCTAAAGACCCCTACGCGCAAGCGAATTATGTAAATAAAATTAAACCATATGTTAGTCCCGAAATGACCTAGTTTGTGTCGATTGGACGTTAAACCCCATTTCTCTCTCTCTCTCTCTCTCTCCCATTGACACCAAAGGATTCAGCACCTGAATTTTATGTTTGAAAGCCCCAGATAAGTTTAATCAAAATAAAGGGCCACACAAAAAAAAAATTCTGGTTCTCAGATTCTGTCGCATCATCAAAAAAGAGCAGAATTACCAGTTTTTATTTATGAAAAAATAAAAACAAAATTCATAATTTCCGCACATACATATATCCCACGGTCAAGGGAAGTAACTTTAATAAACGTTTCTTAAAAGGAGGAACTGAACACTAGACTCAGCTATCAAATACGTAACCATGGGAAACACTATTGATAATCACGAACGGCACTGGATAATCAATTGTTAATTTGTTATTCTGCAATGATTGCGACATTTTGCTATCAATCTTTCTTTTTTACGATCATATGCCTTCTTCAGTGGACTATTTTGTCTTTTCCATGAACTATGACTGTGAGAGAGATGACGAAAGTATTGAGGGTGCAGACTTTGATTTAAATCACCACCAAAATCCATGCTTTGACAATGAGTACGGTATTGATGCCACATAATGGTCGACAATAGAAAAAATGGTGGATTTGAAAACATTTTCCCAGGAGTTAATCTGGATGAAGTCACAGAATTTTCATCCATTATTTCAAAATCTTATTTATTTTTTACTTTTCTCATTAAGAGTTAAAAAAAAACCATTCAATTTATAATAATTTGTGTGTTTCATAAAAACGAAAGAATAGCCAGATCTTGACAAACATTTGAAAACGTTTTCCCAGGAGTTAATCTGGATGAAGTCACAGAATTTTTCGTCCATTACTTCAAAATCTTATTTATTTTTTGCTTTTCTCATTAAGAGTTAAAAAAACCCATTCAATTTATAATAATTTGTGTGTTTCTTAAAAATGAAAGAATAGCCAGATCTTGACAAAATAAAAACAAAAACCACCCTCTCGCATCAATTTTTTGTGAAGGATTGTCTGAAAACCAGAATATTTTTTTGTGTGGCCTAATAGGGCCTGTTGACAAGGCAAATCAAGTACCGGTAAAGTACAAATACATTTATGCTCTGCAGATCAGCCATTTTTATTTCTATAGGGGGGTTGGATGGCTGAATGGTTAGCATGTGCACGCTTTATCATAAGGTCTGTCATTGAGTCAACTGGCATGGTTTTGATTCCCCGGTTGTATGTGACAAGGAGTAGGGTCGCCTGTCCAACCTCGTGGGTTTCCTCCCACTGCTAAAGACCCCTACGCGCAAGCGAATCTTTGAAATGAAATCGAACCATGTGTTAGTCCCGAAATGACCTAGTCTGTGTCGAGTGGACGTTAAACCCCATTTCTCTCTCCCTCTCTCATATTTCTATAATTATAGATAATTAAAAATGTAAATAACAATAAAATATGGGCAGTTCAGAAAGTGACAATTTTCTTTGCGTTGAAGAAGTGGAGTGAAATTGTTTTGATACTAGATTATTGAAAAAAAAATGACCTTCTCTTTGACAAAAAGTTTAGTAAATAAATAAGTTGTTATGGCAAAGATTTTCTGTTGGAGTTTATGTGGGGGGGGGGGGGATGCCCTTACTCTGAAAGGTTATAGATTGCTAGGTTACTTATTTGAGTACTGTTTTTATTTGTAATTCAGTATCAGATCAGTACATCACCGGTATCAGCTATAATACAGATATTAGTACAGATAGTTACTAATACAGTAGATGCTCAACATCATCGATGTAAAACATCAGAAGAAGGTCATCCATTGCCTAGTCCAACAGTCCCAAGAAGTAAAGGTAAAACATTTACATCAGCCGTGTCACACATCATTATTGGATGATAAATATTTTATAAGCGAGACGATATTCCCCCTATTCGATCACTTGTCCAGAACCCAATCGTATACACTTTTTTAGATGGGGTCAATGACTGAGCAACACCCTGTGAAGTCCTTGCTGTCTCGATTCACAAGAAGGCTAGCAAGGGTATTTCCATCTGGCAATGCTGCATTTTCTTTTTGTGGTCTCAGCATATACCATTCTGTGGTTGAAGTCTTTTTAAAAGATCCCTCAATCATCATACTGTCCTCAACTCGGAGAGTCTGTTTTTATCTATCAACATGCTGCAATTTATTAAAGAGTCCCAAGTTATTGAACCAAAAGCATATTTGCAACAGTGGTGACAAATGAAAGGAAAGACAGGCATACACCTTGCCCTGACAGAGGCGCCTACTCTAATTTTATTTTCAACAGTTTTGGGGATCTTTAACATGCTACCAAAGGTATACCGTATACACATACCTCGTTTTTCTGCTCCATCTGAACAACTAGATGCTTTTACTTAGCAAGCCCTGTTTCATCACTGACTAAGAGGAACTTTCTGGACTTCCTGCTTAATGATCAGTCAGCACCATTCTCACTGAGCCAATGTGGCTCCTATATTTGCAGCAATTGGTTATAGTTTTTCATAATCTAGTCTTTATCACCTAGTATGCAAAATATATAGTTGATCTATAAATAGTCTATTGTTTCTAGATTTTAGCAAAATATCCATGAGTGATCTGGAAAATATACAAGAGACAGAGACACCACCTCAAAGTCCGAGTAGCTTAAGTGGAAAAGAAGAGAAGACCAAGATACATTTTAAAGGTCATGATGGATCAAGTACTGTTAGGTATTTGAAGGAACAACAAGATGCTGCTGACAGTAGCGAGGGTGTTTTATCGGACGCAGAGTGTACACCAACCACACATGGCAGAAATAAGAAAGATGTGGGTAGAAAGCTATCTAAAGTAAGACAACCGCGACAATTAATTGATTATTCAGAACCCGATTCTGCAGAAGAGGATTTAAGTAATTTGAAATTTATAGGCAAAAATAAGGTAAATTTTATCAAAATCTGATTAAAATACAGATCTAATTTTCGTTCGTTTTTTTATACAACTTGAAGATCTGACCTGTTATAGTAAAAGGTCGATTCAGAGGTTGTACGAACAGCTTTTGACCCTATGACGTCAGTCATTGATTAATCAATCAGCGTTGATGTTTCTAGAGGTTTACCCACAGTTCCATGCATTGCACGCCAAGGAGTCACCATAATAGATGTTTTCATTGGCTAATCCCTCATGTCATCCAGAACGCAGGTTATATAACAACTCTTCCAGATCCTAGTTTTGACTATAAAAAATGAAACGGAGTAGGATCTGTGTTTTATTCAGATTGATTTTATCAAGATATTCATATAATTTTTATTTCATATTTGATTAGATTTTTGATTGCCTCAGGACAGAAAATCAGGAGAGCAACCCAAAAAGATCAGAAGACAGGGTATAAAACTGTCTGCAAAATCACCCTAAAACTTTTTTTTGTACAACCACATTTTGACAGATTTTGAATCCCTTGAAAACTACAACATTGTGAAAGTTGAATCTATTCACTTTTTACAACAATCAGATGAAATAAAAGTTTGTGAACATTCGGCATGCTCTGCAAATGATATAAAAACAAACTAGCACCACCTATAGCCTTTGAAATTATGCTTCAAATGCTTGGTGGCTCAAATGCAAATGTTTGTGAGAATTTCACATTGGTTATGTTTAAGAGAAAAGTATGGCATCCTTATCGAATTTGAAAGATTTTGGTCATCATCATAATTCTTTTCAAAAAATATTTAGGTAGACTTTCTTTTAATCGCCACTTTGTTATAATACATTCCTGTAATGTCAGGTTAAGATGCTGGCTCGCTAGCCTGGAGGTCGGGTGTTCGATCCCTGCATTGGCCGAGAAAGTTCATCCAGATTTTCCGACATGGTTTTCCCTTGTCAGTGGTGCAGAACAGAGGACCTGACAAGGACAGCTGTCTAGTCCTTCGGATGGGACGAAAAACTGAGGTCCCGTGTATATATTGGAATGCAGGAAAAAGATCCCCTGGCAGTTGGAATTCAATATAAGAGTAGGCGATAGTGCTGCTGCCCAGGAAAAATTTCCCTCATAGCACACTGTATGGCGTATGCCCGTCTTCATTAGCCCAGTATAGAACCAGAACAGTAGGACGTTGAACCCCATTTCATTTCATTTCATTTCTGTAATGTCAGGCTAAAATGTATTTATTTATCTGATATTTGATAGGTATATCAGTTGTCAAGGTCACCACTTAAACCAATCATGTCTCGAGATATTGAATCTGAGGACCAATCAGAATCTCCATCGGATTCTTCTCTGGTGGAAAAGAAGCTTAGTAAACACATGCATGAATATAACCAAGGTTTAGATGGTAGTTACGAAACAGAAACGTATAAAGCTGCAGGCAGCAGTACAACAGATGGCTCTAGTAATCGGGAAGGTGGTACATCAGAACAAAGTCGCGATGCTGCATCAGAAATTGAAAGTACAGAAGAAAGTGAAAAAGTTCAGACATCTGATGCTGAGTCCGAAAGAAATTCTGGAGATGGTGGACAAGATGATAAAACAGGTATTGTGATCCCAAAATATGTACCAAAATAATTTGCTTACTTATAATTTGCATATTAATTTTAATCTTTATTTTCAGTTGAATGTGGGAGTGAGATTCGACATAACTATTTTTGAAACACATTGACAAAATTGTTATTGCATTTATGATAAGTTTAAAGGATAATGATCCTAAACATTAGGTTCTATATTATAATAAAAAGATGCAGTTTGTTGTATGTCCCAACACAGTCATTTAACTATAGTAACCTATCAGTATTCACCTTTTCATGTTTTAATCATTCATACGTTTAGATTGAGATTTGATGCTTTATTACTTCATCAATCATTTATGTACCTGAAATCATTACATTGTATTTATATAGACACAGTATTCTAAATTCAATTGAAAATTTTATTCTTAGATTCAATGATATTTTATTGCAGAAGAGACACATGGACAAACTAGTCAGGTGTTAAAACCAAACTTTCGTCAAAGAAAATCGAGGAAGACAGGTTTAACGGCTGTTGAGATGCACAATATTTATCCAGAATTTTCAGAAGCATGTGAAAAAGTTCAAGAGTCCCAGAATGAGACATATTCAAGTTCGACAAGGTAATGCCAATTAATTTTGAGAATGTTATGAAAATTGATACACTGGTAGAAGTTAAATCTTTTGCTTACAAATACTTAGTTAGATGCAATGCAAATGCACCACTTTTATAAAGATATAATTCTGAATGTAACAACATCAGACCACAACCATGACATGTGAAAATCAGTAGCATTTATGACATAAATAGGAATATTTAACAGGAGAAGACTTTAATTTAAATACATTAATGTACTTTAAATACAAAAATTGACTTCTCATTCTTCCAGGTGTATTGCCAGTATTGGTTCATATACCTCAGTTACCTCACATTACCTGAGGTACTGAGATATGTGACCCAATATTCCAGGAAGTAAATTCTTACATGCATCTATTTTGTTTGTACACATTATATGAAGTGTTGTTCAGTTAAAGAGATTTAAAATTTATAAATTTGTGACAAATTTTTCAATTTTAGTCGAAAGTCCAGAAAAGCTGCTTTGTTAGCTAAAAGTCGAGAAAGTGCTAAGAAATGTAAAGCCAGTCGAAGTAGTGAGAGTATTATGATAGAGAAATGTACAGAATGTGGTGTAGTATTAGAGCTATATGATGATGATACTGTAGGACTATGTATTGTTGTTTTATCAACATTTATACATAGAGAACCAGGACTGGCCACACCCATGTTACTTAAAATTCTACAATGTGTATCAAGGTAAGAAATATAATGTAGTTTATATAATGTCTTTATTCGTACCTTAGAGAGCATCTATGTGATTGGAATTTCAATATCCTGCTCTTCAGGGACAAAGTACAAGGATTTGATACCATGCTTGGAAATCTAAATTGCTATTTGTGATCGAAGCATATTGAGGATTCCTAAATATAGTAAACGTTCTGGTGAATATGCTTTCTCCGTCAGAGCAGCTAAAATGTGGAATGATCTTCCAAAACTCCTCAAGAGCCCTCTTCAATCCAGAGCTTTAAGACTAACTTAAAAAAATATTTATTTCAAAAATGTTTTTGTACTGTTTTGTTATGAATGTGCTTAGAAACACCCATGTGTAATGAAGTGCTAGATAAATCGAACAATAATAATAATTACGTGATCAAGATTAGCGAGTAGTAAGAGTACTGGACTCTAGACTAGAATATCACAGGATCAAATCTCGACATGAACTGAGAAGAACATAGGGAATAAAACTAGCTAGATACAGAGGTTGCATTTACACAAAAACTTACGTTTTTCACACAGTTTTTTCAAAATTAACGCAAATATTGACCGACGCTGCATAATTTACACAAAGAAAATTTCCCGATGTGAGAATAATTAGATCATGTTTAGATAACCGATAGAATTATATCTTTGTTGTAGTTTGTACACTACATCATCAATCTATGTGCTTAATGTGGCATTTACACACTGCTACTGTAGTCTCCATAGGTTTTTATATCCAGACATTCAGTGCCAATAAAAAGAATGAAATGACTGTCACTGTACCATCAACCATGGATATGCTGTCAACCTCTAGTCATCATTAGACTAAATACAATATCAATAAGATAGGGACACTTTAAATAGGAATGTCTGCATAATTTTACGCAACTCGAAATTGATCCACTACAACCTCTGGCTAGATGTAAAGGCTTCCGGAAATATGCATGTTACTCTTGTGAAACTATCTGAAAATCTGTGATACTTTTGGCATTTGGTTTCACATTCTTAAACTAGCTTTTATTAACAGATATCTGAGAGTACCGGTACCCTTTTAATATTTGTTTTCTTTTCCTTTATTTTTTTGTTAGAATTGCTGCCAGTAGTCAGTATTCTTGGCAAGCTGAAAGGTATGGTTATTATGACAGTTACATTATTACATCTATTTAGTCTATTTCACAAGTATTATATTTATTCTTTGATAACAAATTGAAATATTAAATTCTATTTAAGGCCGTCGTTCGCACTTCATTTGGTGAATTTTAACAATAAAATCGTTTTTGAGGTTTTATGATTATCTGCGAGTAACACTATCTAGGAACACATACCAGTCATTTTTTTCACAAAATTCTTCTTTATTTCTACAAAATTTGGTTCTGAATGATCCCACCCTTTTTTATTTTGCCCTAATTCCGCTAAAACTATTGATATAAATCTAAAAACAATAGGCATTTCATACGTGAAATACTTGGCTTCAGACCGGTAAACTGTCGCCATGTTGGATACTGTCAGAAAGCTTGGGATTTCCCCTATTGAAAGGAAATGACGTTTTTTGGGGGTGTCTTGAAACCTTTCTTCTGTATTGAGATAAAAATAGCAAGCAAGAACAAGTTTTGCATACCTAATGAGGTTATTTCGAGATTACGTTATTTGATTGGTCGGTCACATAGGTCAATGGTGAAGTGTCCAATCAGAAGCGGGCAATCCTCTAGGTCAGGTCAATAGGCATGCGCACTAAGCTCAGGTCCCAAATCAATCCTGGTTGCTATATTACTGAACCGTACGTCACTGTTTATCAATATTTTTGAAGATTTTCAAATAAAATGCGTTTGAAATTGTTTAGATGACTAAATAAGTATGACAGACACTCATAATAAACAAAATGAAGATGAATATTCGTCTGCTAGACCTAGTAGTGGTATGGTTGCAATACCATTACCAGGTGGGCCTGCTGTCAGTGATTATTATAGTTATGGTTGTTTTGAATAACATCTATTCCTATGCCAATGTTCGGTTGTAAATTTACACACAAGAAATAAAATAAGAAAATACTGTATATTGATAAGAAATACATTAGAAAATATATATATTAAAAGTCAGTTTATTAATATTAAATAAATGAATTGAACAGATCGGCGTAAGTTGTTCTATTGAAATACTTCAACTTCAGTTGTTGATTTCTCAAAACAGTTTTTTTCTAGAGTTACCAGTTTTAGTCATGCTATATCTCTGAAAGTTATCGTCAGATTTTCTTGAAACTTGGAATATAACTTCCTATATAATAACTTTGTGCAATAGGAGAATTTTATTGAAATCTGCAAAATAATTCCTGATATATTGTTGCCATAGCAACTGTGACACGTGAAAGAATTTTGAAGTTAACATTAAAATGTGTATAACTTGCTTTCTAATTATTATTTTGTAATGAAACTTGCCTATTGCACAAAGGAACATGTCAGTAACCTCTCTGCTTAATTTTAAAACATTCTGTTGAATAGTTTCTGAGAAACTGGATGACTAAAATTATATGCAGAAATCCAAGATGGCCGCCGTTTCCATAGCAACAGGTACCCCCAGGAAAATTTTTCGGCCGATTTTGTAATATTCAATGGATGTGTTCTTAGATGTGTAAGAATGGTGACTTTACCTCAATTATTAAAAAAACTGAAATTTTCTACTGTCCACCCCCTTAATTTAAACTGATTATTGCATTCACAGCAATGGTTGATCCATTCATATATAATGGCAAGATTAAGAAAATTGTGTTATGGACCTCTGATCTTAGCATGACTGTACATTTTATCCAATCAAATGTGTGGATAATTAAAGATTTTGCAGGATTTGTCTGTAGATTTGGAATTGATCAATCATATTGCATGCATTATTGAATGGGCTCGATAGAGATATTCATTTCGAACTCAAAAATAAAATGGAATGAAATGTATTGAATACCAGTAATTATTTATTTTATAATATTATATTACAGTAATATGATAATGCCTGGTAATAGTATTACTATAGCAAGGCAACTCTTACGATGTGTTCTACACCAGTTAGCACCAAATGGTATATTTCCAATGTTATTCCAGAGTAATTTAGGTAGGTATCAATATTTCTGTATATGTTCATTAAAAGTTGGCATTTATATCATTGTAATTAAGTTCTCTGAAATCAGCATATAAGATAATTGTATTTGATAAATCTTATTTTAGTTCTATTTCATAGTGCCCAAGTTTTAACCAACATTTTATATTTGCCAGTCAATTATTAAATTTAATGCTTTTTGTACTGTTATTTCAGAACCATGTTTCTTGAAGACTGTGGCTGCAGCATTGGTTGATTTTAATGATCTGACTTGTCATGCTGTATTACAGTACCTTTTAGAGGTAAGTTGCAATAGTTCATTTAATATGGTGATTAATATACTGAAAGCGGGAGAGATATGGCTACTCCAGTTGTATACTCAGCTGATTAATAAATTCTTATCTAAACAAGCAGTTGCCATGCAAGATACGCCCACATTTTGCAAGAGATGGACAGAGAACAAGCTAAAAAAAGCGATTATTGGGAATACTCGATTGAACGTTCCGGAATTAAATTCTCTCAATTCCGAAAATAGTATCAATCGAGTGAAAAGGAGAATGTCGGAGTACAACGCATGTGCCGACTGCATAAAAAATATCTCAACCAATCATGGCAACTAAAACATATTTGTTACTTAAAATACGTCACGATTCTACTCACACCACCTCAGCTGTTTGGACTGGCACAACTGTGACAGGACTGAATTCCGTATCACTTGATTGCAATTCTGTCAATTCTGGACTTTCTGGACTGACAATCGAGCACCCCCAATCATACAATCATGCAGGGGCTATAATCCATGAAGTTACAGGTCCGACATGCGCCAATATCAGAAGGAACAGAGATCTTTGGGATATAAACATATATTTTAAGTTTCATCAAAATCAGATAAGAAGTGGCCATTTTGTTGGGCAGTTTCAGTTCGATTTTCATGGAATACTATTTAGGATATAAACATATATTTGAAGTTTCAGCAAAATCAGATAAAAATTGTGACCTCTAGAGGGTCCACAACCTTGGTATTACATACTTTTACACTATTTGCATACAGGTAGTGATCATTTTGTCAGGCAGTTTTGGTCTAATTCTTTTCATGAAATTTAAACTCAACCATCATTACGGTGTAGCAAGAATATAGTTCAACGTTTTTTTAAAATCAAATAAAAATTATGCCCTCTAGAGGGTCCAGGGGTGACGACAATATACGTCCACATGAAAATGTGGGTGCATAAAAATTACTGTAACTAATCTGATGCACGAGTAAACATAATTAAAATTGATAACTATATTTTCAGGGTTTGAACGAGAAGAAAAATCTTCCACAAGAAAATATTATGTTATTACTGAACAATATCTCTATATATCTAAACTGTGTATCATTAGAGAGTTCTACAGCTATATGGCCAGGTATTCTCAACCAGTTTGAAATATTCTTCCGTCGTCTGCCATGTGTTCTTCCTAACCCATGTGATATCACACCTGTATTAAAGATAATCATCTCTATATTAAAAGTATTTGCTGTTGGAAGTGTCAGGGTAAGTAACTCTATTTATTGCAATTACAAGCTCCAACCAATAAGGTAGCCTGTGAAGAGATTTATTGAGGAGGATATCAATTTTAAGAAAAATTAAATTTTCTGTTCTGTTGAAAGACTATTTAGGAAACGAGGAAATACCAATTATAGGCAAATGATTTTTGAGAAATAAACACATCTGATAAAGAATGGAACAAATAATGATACAAGATTAGTGTAATCAGTTGCACATTTTTATTTGCAGGCAATATTAGAGCCATTCTCCAAGATTGTAAGTTTTGCCATACAGAACTGTTCATTCAAGTTACAAAATCTATTAGATATCTGTTCTTTATGTAACAGAGCCTTTAGTAGGGTAAGTAAACTTTAATAATGATATCCATGGGCTGATCCAGATATTTAAAGAGTTTTGGAAAATGTTTACTAATGTTATATACGGTACTTAATTTATAAATGTGCCCCAGAATAAATGTTGAGAGAATAAACTAAAAATAAGTATGATATATTATGGAATTAATAAGTTGTAGCTGAATAATAAAGACAAATTCTTTACATTTGATAAAAACTATGGTATAGTGTTTTATAGAACCTCATTCATCAGTTTGTTTATATTTACAGGAACGAGACAAGTTTTTACTGACAAGGGTAGTTATATTTGAACTAATACAAACATTGAAGTTTAAGATCAGTATTCCAGATGAAAACCTTCTTATGTTAGTTCAGGTTAGTTTAGTTTATTATAAAACATTTTTACATAATTTTATGTTTTTATATCACCAAAATTTGCAAATGGAGTAAACTAATTATTTTTAATGTTCTTAAACATTAACATTTCCAGAAAACCCAAACATTACAGTGTCTTTGATCCCTGAGCCCCGACCAGAATGTTGTAATTCTGAATTCATCTTAGTTTGAAATATTCATTGAGACATTTCATATTAATATTTAAAGGAGAAAAACAACAAAACATTGGATTGGTATTTGCTGATTAAAACTGTTGTAATTTTAAACGTTTATTTTAGTTTGTAGTATTAGATACTGGTGGTAGTTTATGTACTAATATAACAGCTGAAGAAATAGGAATGATATATAATTCTCCACCACAATCTCTCATTAGTTATAATGCTGCTGAATGTATGAGACAACATCTTAATGAATGTATAGAATTTATATCAGATCTTCATACACTCTCTAAAGTCAAGGTAAATATTCAATTTTCATTCAGAGATAATATTTGTAGTTTACCTATTTCATTTGTACTTACATTACACACATTCTTGACCTATTATTTAGCCACCTGGCAAGCAAAGCCCAATTTTCAAAATGACTGCATTTATGAATATAGATACAATGGTCACAATCCTATGAATATAATTGCTGCTTAATACTGAGCAGTGTTTTGACTAAGCTTCTTTAGTCTCTATCAAGAGGTAAGAAGCCTTGTTGAAAAATCACTCAGTAGTAAGCAGTAATTTTATACAATGGAAACAATTTATAAATGTAGAGTTTTTGCATAGAATTTGTTTCCAGGTTATAACATTAAGTCAGACTCACAGATAATCTGCTGAACTCTGAAGTATATACTTCTAAGGTGTGGACATTTTTCATTTCAATTTTCTTTTTCTTCAGAATAACATCAAATGCACAGGTCGAAGTTTAAATGAAGATACATTAGGGTGTCAGTTGAAGGCTGGTATAGCTCAATTTGTAGCACTGGAAATAACACGAGGGAATGGACATGATAATCGTGCTATAACTAGATATCTACCATGGTTATATCATCCTCCTTCTGCCATGCAACAAGGGTATATATTTATTTACTTAATTATTACCTTATTTTGAAATGGTCAATGCCTTGTACATGCCTTGTTGCCTACAATAGCTAAAATACATCAGGGTTCATAATCTATACCAATCCTACAACCATGTTAATAAAGAAGCATCACTCTCCTGATACATTATTACTGTAAATAAAACAATCAAAGCAACCCAGTGATCTAAAATGTTGCTCTATAGTATTAGGCCACCAATTTGACTGAATGTGACCTAGAACTGGGTTGCCTGTCTTACACATGGACTTTCTGTATGTTCTAATGGTTCCTTCTTGCTGGTTAACAAACTATACAAGTAAGCAAATTATTTTTCCCCACAATGACGTTGTTCTGTTAAATAGATATTAAATGCTTTTCTGGTGCTCCTTCTGCCTTCATTAGACTGGTTGCTTGATTGGTAAAGAAGGAAATATAACCCCATTTCATTTCCTTCCATCTTTTACCACACTTTAAGGGAAAAGTTTAAATCAACAGTATATACTATCTTTCAGTCTGTTGTTATTTTTTACAATAAGTTCATGCATGCTATGATTTTCAGACCTAAAGAATTTAGTGATAGTATTGGTCATATTCGCTTGTTATCATGGATTTTAATTGGATCATTAACTCATACTGCTATTAGAGAAGGTGGAGCACCAACATCATGTTTACCTATACCAATAGAAACAAGTTGTCATATAGCTGATCACATCATGGTTATAATGACAGGATTCGCTGAACAATCAAAGGTAGGATGAATGCTTTACACAATCTTGTAAATTCTAATGTTTCTGAAATACAAGTAACATATTCCTAGGTTCTAAATATTTAGCTGAATTATCACTTCCAACAAGAAAATGTATGTAATTGATTTTATATAAAATCATGTTCAAAATGTCAATTCATAAATGTCAATTGAGAAGAAAAAGAATTTGCAAAACACTAATGTCTGTAAAGAAATTGTATGGTGCCACGCCTAGTCCATTCTTCCCTGCTACAGATAATGTGATGAAGTAGCAGGTTTTTCAAACTGAATTTCATATTGGACTCTTTCGGTCTTTGGAATAATTCATTCTCAAATTTTTTAAAATACTTTGTATTAATTTTAATATGACATTGTGTATTTCAGGCATCAGTTTTACATATGTCCTCATTATTTCATGCTTTTATACTATGCCAGGTGAGAATTTACACTAATTTATACATCAACCATCAGCAAATCTTGAAATTACAAAAATATTTTTCTCATTCTCTTTTCATCGCTTATGGAATTCATTCCCCTATAACATTAGAACCATTGACTCCTTTAATGCGTTTAAACTCGGCTAAAAACATTCCTGTTTTTATAGGCATTTTCCATAGTTCAATTAGAGAAAACTTTTAAAAAAGTTCAATAGAAACTTCTGTTTTAGTATTATCGTGCTATATAAATAGAGTTATTATTATTATATATTATTTGTTGGCGTAAGATGGAATAGGAATACCACCCTGGTTTTGTCTGTAAATGAATTTGTGGGAAAATTTTCATGATAGAAGTTGTCAAAAGAATTGTTGATTTTGTTTACCTTTTTCATGTATTTTTATGTTAAAGTTATGGACAATGTATTGTGAATCAGCTGCAGCATTACATCCACAGAATAGTGAACAATATGATACAGCTTCTTCTATGGTGATGGATTTCTGGGCGAGAGTTACACCAGGAATTCTACAACTCTTGTCTCATTCTACAGTGGTATGTCTATAATCATAATTATAAATGAAAGTTAATTAAGCAGATGAATGCGTGGTTGCTATTTTCTGACAACCATGAGTCAATTTGTCCAGTGCCAGTTTATTTATTTATTCTTCAAGTAAAGGTTACAACATGACAACAATAAATATAGATATGTCTATGAAATAAGAACTATGTGCTGCATTGTATAATTGGGAAAGTGACATATATAACATCCGTTGCTTATTTCCAATGACAGTAACTAGTGTTATTAACATTAACATCATACTTGATAATTGAGTCCAATTTCCATCAAAAATGTTTACTTAATTCTCTTTACCACAGGATATATGAATGTGAGGTAATCGAGGAGGATGTTTTTATTTTTTATTGTTTAAAATACAAATGTGTTATGTGTCCCATTGTAAGTAATTGAGAACCAGAACATTTTTCCGTGTTGTAACTATTATGTGTTTTACGAGTTGATTCATTTTTTTGTTGGGGGGGGGGGGTATTATTATCAGTGTATTTTCAGCTGTTTCCTCTTTTGCTAGTCCATCACCAAAGGGCTTATGTTATCACTGATGTTTGTCGTCTGTCTGGGGTTAGCATTTCATCGTTTTCGAATTTGATGTTTTTCATGATTTATTCAAATGAGGAAAGGGGCATTTAGGTCATCTTTAAAGTATTTTTGTTTAGAATGTCTGAATGAATTCATTTGAAATTTGATAGGAATCATCTTAAAATGATCAAGATAAAAAAAAAGGTAGGAGCAGCTGGAGGGAGTATAGTTTGACGGGGTTTTTTTTATGGGTGATTATTGCCTTTGGACCTGGTGTTCATAAATTTTAGATGCTTTCCAGATATATTTCATTTAAAGATATTTCATACCATTTTCACTGTATTTGAATATTATGCTTCAAATTGGATTTCTTCAATGTTTTTACAGCTAGCAGAAATGGTCAACCTACATTTCCTTAGCTTAATGGAAGCACTTCAAGAATGCAATTCTTCAGTTTTAGCAAAGGTAATTTCATTTTTTCAAAATAATTTACAGTCAATTTGAAATTTTCAGTAGCAAGAATGGTTTTTAATTTGATTGTAAATTAAAAAGAATTATTATTATTGAGAATGTAATTGTGTACCAGTATTGCTCTATTTTTCAGCTATTTCCAATGTGGACTACCATTTTGTTTGCCTACCACTCTAAGGTAATTGATGTCTTTATGAAAATAATATTACAAAAAAGTTGATGTTTTTTATAAGCCATAAAGGCTAGATGGAACAGATTTGGTTACAACAGAGAGAATATTCCAAGATTAATCAAATCTTTTGTAACAAGAACATATTGGTTTGAATTTGGTTAATATTTTTATAATATGTTTGTTTTATAGCTACCAGGCCATCTACAGGTTAGAATGCAAGTTTGTCAGAACTGGAAACCACCACATCCAACCAAAGATCAGACTAATTTTAATTCTTCTGTTTTACTCAACTGGTTAAAACGAAGTCAATTTAGACTTGGTCAAATAGAAATTCAGTCATCAGCTGCTACTCAGTTCTATACTGTTTAATTCTCACCAATCATGTGTTTCACCGGGTGTGCAAAATCTCTTATAAATGAAATGATTATTTATAACTCAACTCCAAGGAACACTCTATAATTTATGTAAATTGCTATGATGCATGAAACATTGTGGAGGTAGTATCAATCCGCTAATATCCCCCAAAGATTATCTAATGCCTGAAAATTAATCAAATTCTAAGCCTGGATATTTGTAAGAGCAGTTGTACAGGCACTACAACAGAGTCAACAACCTGTATTTCCGACAGGATGCTAAAACTGGATCAAGATTTCTATAAACTATTAACACAGACCTGTATTTTCATGTTTCAATGTGCTAAAAATAAAGCATACTGTTGTTGTTAAAGACAATGTTGCCAAAATAAAATGTGATATTTGATGTTATATTGTTAATGTTGATGATGTGTGTCATTTTGTAGTCTACATATCAAATTTTGTGTATGTAACTTGTTGACAATGTATATTATCCTTGATTTCTGTCCATTCAAACTCTCTGTGATTATTCAACTAGTCATAAGGAGATTCAGAGAGATTTGTCTGCTTTATGCAGACTCATGCAAATCTTTGACCCTGTCACTAAAACCTTGCACATGTCACAATAAATCAGAAAGGTTTTTTTTATTTTCAAAAATAAACTTGTGTCAAAAATTAGTGCTGTAGATCAAATTTTCACCAAGTAATTGCAAGTGCCACAGAAATGTAGTGAAGTGTTTTTGAAATGAGTTATTAATTGTGAATTATATCTTGTTAAAATACAGATGTGACATTATTCCTTTTTATGTTGGCATACCATTATTTTGTGCAAGACATTGTGATATATATAGATATAGCATATACAAGTATTTGATGTTGTATTATATTATGGTATTTAATGCTAGTTTGAGCCATAGTATTATTTATTATTATGTATATTATTATATTTATTATTTATATGTATAACAGGGGCGGATCCAGGAAATTATGCAGGAGGGCGTTAAGCAAATTTGACAGTTGACAATGCATGATGCCATCATCGTCTCCAAATTAAGTAGGCATACATACACACCAAGTTTTTTAAAGAGAGAAATTCAACACCCCGTTTGACGTCAATTTTTATTATGAATTAATAGGATCACATTTTGATTCAATTTCATTTATGCAAAGCAATAAATATGATATCACATCTATATCATCATCTTGTGCTTTGAATGTCCATCTCATCCCACCATCTGATATTGAAGGATAAAGCACACGACCGACCGTGACACTTCTCTCATAAAAGTGTTGTTTTACAAATTTTTTTATGTAGTTGAGCAGGGAGGGGTTTGAACCCCCCCTCCCCGGATCTGCCCCTGGTCCAACCCTTTTATACACAACCTTATTAATTATCGACTTATCTGAAGATTGCTTAAAATAACTAAATCTAAAAATAACTTCAGGTGCACATTTAATTTTTGACCTCAATTAGAAATTCACATAAACTTTTTGAAAAAAAATCCCAGAGAACTTCAAAATCAGATATTCCAGATATTTTGAATTGAATGGACTTATTCATACTTCCTAATTATTGTATTACATTAAACGTGTAGTTTTCTTGTAGTATATGTATTAATATTTCTAACAAAGGTTAGCCTACCGAGTACTGATATTTGTTAAGTAAAACATTGTAAGGGAGTTCTTTATGTATTTATCTGCAGTTAATAGCTGAATTCTTATTTATAAATTTGTCATATTTGAAGTTTTGTTTTGTTAAAAATAATTTAGGTATTTGTATACTGATTCTGTGCAATAAATATATGTTTTACTTTTAACGTTGATTTCTTAAAAGGAGAAATCTGACCTTATAAGAAGCAGACAACTCAAATCAACCACTGATCCAATTTCAATCTTCAAAATTAGTGATACAAGGCCTATATGCTCTTGTCAAAATTTGAATAAAGAAAGAAGAATATTTCCACCTCTTCAATCTGTGGAAGATCAAAAATAGAAATTACTGCAATTATACAATCAGCTGGATGCCATTGGACCCATAAATTACTACAATTAAATGGATTACTGTTATCCTGTTCTTGAATTTTATTGAAACCTATAATTTAATTGGTTGTCAAATAATTAGGGTCAGCGTAATTTGAATATTGTAAGTCAGCACTAGCTAGGAGACTGTATCATATCAAAATGCTGATTAATGTCTTTACTAAAAGTAGAATTATTATTGTAACAACACTGTAGGAAGAACTTCGTGTACTGCAGTTTTTCAATTTTCATAAGGAAATGAGTAAAACTTACAAAAAGTCAAAATTATACAGATTATCTATCAACCTGTTATTAGGCGTTGAATTAAACTCTTCACTGACAACAGCTTACAAATTTTGGGGTGATAATTTTAAACCGTAATTTGTAATCCTATTGTCCACATCAATTTCAGATCGGTTCGCAGAAATAATTCAATTTATAGCAGTGAACCCGAAATCAACCAGTATTAGGTCATAGCATATGTGTAGAACCTATTCCCAGGTGATCCCCACCTAACGATGTAAATATTGTGTTTTCGTGCCCCCGCGAGATTTTTTTCCTCGTTCAAAATCACTGGTCACCACGACCCTGCTCTAGCCGAAACGACCTTTTATTTCTTTGCGTTATAACCCCGGTGTTGAATAAATCCATTTCACACAAAACTCGGTCACCCAAGAAAGCTTCTTGCCGCCACCTCACGGAATGCGTGTTCGCTTCCGATGAAAATTGAGTAAGACGAAAACATAAACAATTACATAAATGTGGGACAGGCCGAGTGAAAATTGCTCTATTAACACGTTATAGGAGATTTTTAATGCATGGGAAAATAAATGATTTGGCTGCTTTAATTAGTAGGTCTTCTAGAATTGTTTTCCTGTTATATAAATTAAACCACATAATTCGGATGAACATTTAAGAATTAATTCCGTCGGTGCTTTTAAATTAGTTTCGGGTGACTTTAAGACCGTAAATAGAATTTGTATCTGTGTATCTGATATAAAAGCAAACGGTGACCTCTAGTCAGCACGTCGTGGTGAATTTTCCCGCGTAAAATGGTGTTAGATGAAGTTCTCTGTAGTGGGAGGGACGCAATGACGCGCTTTGCGTCATGGTGTTGAGTTTTTGCGCCCCCTCTCAAATGGCAAAAATCACGCGGTTTCAATGCAATTTTCAACATTATAATCATAATAATGCTAACCAGTATCAACCATATACCGTGGGTCAGATATGCTACAAATCGACTCTAGCACTGCCCAATATTACTCGGTGGTACTGGGAGGCACCCTGCACCTTCCCCGCACACACGTTTGTTTTTTGGGGTCCCGGATCTTGTTCCTCATACAAATTATGGGTCATCATGCCCCTGACTGCAGTATAGGGGCCTACTACTGGACATTCGCATAGAAAATATGATCTTACCAAATACTAACGATATTGGCATGGGTACACAGTATAGGTGTGTGCAGTACCTTTCAGAAAAAACTTTGTGGTGACATATTATTAATCTAGGATAAACCCTTTACAGAATAGTGCATATAATTGCACATGGCAGCAAGGATTTAGTGGAACCTAGGGATTCTCTCGGTGTATGACTGAACACAACAAGTGGTTATATTAGATAACAGGACCGTATTTCCAAATAAGTTTTTAAATTTTAAGAACCCCGTCGTATATTGGAATTTTAATCAAGACTTGTAAATTAAATGCAAGGATGCACACACACGGTAGTCATCGCCACTAGCTCTTATTACTTGAATGAATTAACAAAGATTCAATTTCACAGTAAAACTGATTTGTTCATTTTCAATCAAAAATATCAGGATAATTGGTACGGAAAGGTTGGTTGCCCGAGGTCATACTCACCCGTTACTATTTATGAAATGCAATTTCTTAAAAAGAGGTCAAAATAAAGTATTGAACTGTGTTGATCTGGTGTTTTATTTAGGTTAGTGATGGGACAAGCCCCATACATTAAATCGTTCAAAAACACAATCACAATCAGTTGTATCTGAATACTGGCTGTATTGAAAAATGTATACAAAAAGAGTGGACTTCAGGACAAAATCTTACAGTAGATGTCTTCTGGTGCGAAACTTCTTCAAATATGAATCCATTTAATTCTAAAGCTTTCCTATGGGCATAATTTTTGTCACTATCTGGATCAATCTTGAAAAGCTCAATTATGTTTATCGTAACATTTCCACTTACGTGTTTTGGTCTGTTATGGTTCATATCTGCAACCCCGTCGGAGCAGATCTGAAGGACGTTAAACCTCATTTCAATTAATATCTGCCAAGTGGGTTTTTTTTTTTAATTCGACTTGAAAAGCATTGATTTCTTTCCCCCAAGTATTGATTCTGAAATAGGGAGCAAGTTAATAGGTAGAAGACTATATTACCCTGGCAATTAAAACCATTACCACAGAGAAATTGCTTGTCAGTTGTGCTACTAAGGAAGCAGCTGTTTTGGTTTAATTTGCTGCAAATATCAAAGTCTCACATTCTTACTTCATGCTGAAGAGTTCACAGTAGAACGAAAGTACTAGCTTTATGAGATGAATCTGGGACCAGGGCTGGGGCCATTACATTGACAATGTAATTAATTACATTACCATTACTTTTTAAATGTAATCATTACAATTACTTTCTCATTTTAGCAATGTAATTAATTACCATTACCCATTACATTGAAAGTAATTAATTACCATTACCTATTACTTTATGACTATATAAATAAAAAAAACATTTTCATAGAAATTAAAAAGACAACATTATTTTTCTGCCATGAAGTACCTACAAAATCAAACTCAAAATAATCCTTGATTCACGTAATATATATTTGTTAATGAATTATTATTTCTAGCAATTATAACATCAAGGCAAATTTTATAGTGACAGGCAGAGGTGACAAAAACTGATATTTTCACTGTATGACTTGAAAAATGAATCAAAACTATAGTTAATTAACTGTATTTTCTTTTAAGTAATTTTTTTAAATTTTTAATCAGTCCAAATAGTTTTTCTATAATATATTGTATAATAAATGGTAAATTATTCACCGTGACTCTAAAACAAAATATATATTATTAGTTTTAAGTAACCATAAAATGATGAGATACTTGAAGGTCATTGTTTGGTTTGTCACTTGTTACCTTGAGATTAAGATTAAAGTGCAGTAAGACTATTGTCTTTTAATCTAACTGATTAATTGATTGACTGACTGAGTGATTGGCTGCAAATTAGTACTAATCTTTGATTATAATATACATCTTATCAGAAATCCACTTCTTAGGTTACATGTCTAAAAAAGGTTCCTACATAAAAAGTAATAAAAGAAAATGTTTAACGCCTTCTTATTTTTCTTAAAAACTGATTTAAATCTTTTTTTTTTTAGAATTATAATGAATTGGATTTGTGTCAGATACACTTAATTACTTCTTTGGTGCTATAAAATTTGAGGCTTGTCATATTGGAAATATTTATATTATGTCATAAAATGTAATTGAAAAGTAATTGAAATGTAATTGACCATTACAAGATTTTGGGAATGTAATTTTAATTACATTACTCATTACTTTTGAAATCTTCCATTACTCATTACATGGCCATTACTTAAAAAATGTAATGATTACATTCCATTACCCATTACCATTACCCCAGCCCTGTCTGGGACGTCTACGATCCCAAACTTAGGCTGCCTCTCTACAGTACTGTTAGCTCCGCCTGAGAATGTATTCTCGAGGTATGAAGTAGATGCATCGGTGTGTGCAGTATGGGACGTCTACCTGCCACTACATGGACCCAAAAATATGGGTAATGCAACTAAATTGATTTCAAATTTTCAATGAATACAGAATGAACAATTTTGTGATTGAACCCATCAAAGAGGGCTAATTTTAATATAGATTTAATATGTTTACACTTAGTGTACATGTAGGTGTTTATTAAGTGAATTCCTTGATGGAGTTCGAAGATGAGAATTTTCTGCAGAGATAAGCAGTTTGATTGGTTGAAGCTTTGGGACACGAAAACTTTAGTTCTAATTAAGTGAGAGTGATGAAACTTGGTGTATAGTTTCATCACATCAGTACCTTGACTAAGTTTGATGATGAACATTTTCTGCTGTGGGTAAGCAGAGCGATAAGCAATTTGATTTGTCGAGACATTAAAACACAATAACTCTCCTTCTAATTGAGGTAGAAAGTTCAAACTTGGTGTAGGCGTTCATTGGGCGAATGCCTTGATAGAGTACGATGATGGACATTGTCTGCTTACGATAAGCAGTGATAGGCAATTTGATTGGTTGATGCTTTTGAGGACGATAACTTTGGTTATAATTAAGTGAGAGCTATGAAACTCCGAGTATACATTCATTATATCATTACCTTTCTGCTAAGGCTAAGGAACAATAAGCAATTTGATTAGTCAAGACTTTGGAACATAACAACTCTACTTTTAATTGAGGTAGAATGTTGAAACTTGATGTTGATGTTCATTAGGCGAATGTCTTGACCAGTTCAATGATTAACATTTCCCACTAAAGGCAAGCTAAGCAGAGCTAAGCAATAATTTCTTTGACTTTGATTCTATCTGATAGAGAGTGATAAAACTTAGTGTATAGTTGATAATCAGTTTGATTGCTTGATACTTTTGAAAAAGATAAACGTGCAATTAATTAATATGTGTCATCTATTTATTTTGGGATTTCGGCTGGGGTCAGCCTCTCTGTTGGCTTGTTTGACATTGTCATGGTAAATGACTCAATCAATTTATGAAAATTTGTGTTTATCAGCACATGTTGGCATAAAAATTTGATCGAACATAGTCACATAAGTGTTAAGTATATTAATAAAATTAGTGAAAGAGATGTCCTATAATGCCATTTTATGTAGCTGACAGTTTTGTATTCATCTTTACATTTGATTTATTCATTTGTCTCTGTGTTGATATTTTAGATTGTCTGAGTTTGGAGATTGTTGGGTGTTGACTTTATTAAAATTTATCAACAAATATGTTCAATTTCAATTTTGAAAAAAAAAAGAAAGCTAAAATGATTGAGATAGGGAGTGTTAATTTAAAAATGAGTTACCTCCCCTTTAACTGAAACTAGATTACTTGTCTGCAACTACCATTTCTAGATTGACTGTACAGAAATCAAATATTAATAGGAGTAACTTATCTCATATGTTAGTTTGATATCTTGGGGGTGCAGGAAATATATCAATTGTTTATTTGAATACATAGGTTGCGAATGGCATTGGATTGATTTCAATGAGATTTGGTAGGTAGACAATGTTGGATTGTGCTTAATCAGATTTGTTTAAATTAAGTTGCTTAAAATTGGCTCTTGATTAGGGTGGCGAGACGGCACAGGGCAGAGTCTTTTTTTTTACTAACTTATATATTTTTATCCAAGGGTGAACACTTATTTTGATAAACATGAGCCCACTTGTTAGATAGAAAATTTTCACAGCATTATTGCTGTATGTAGTTTAAGATATGATAAAAATGAAAAAATGAAAGAAATTAAGTGATTATTGTAATATCGGTTAAAAATGGGCCTAACCCCTGACAGGTTGAAAATCACTGAAATCAATAAGCCTCTGCCACTTACACACAGACTATATAACATACTAAACTTACACTGTCTGTGCACAATTAGCTCTGCTAGAAAACAGACATTAAGCTGGTTGACCAACATTTTAATTCCTAAATCAACGATCTTAGTCGAAAACACTAAGTATATTTCGTGAATTTTGAAGAGTATATATTCTGCTTTCAATTAATAAAATTGAAAAGGTTTAATTAATCTTGTGTGTATAACAGCTGATGTGAACCGGAGTAGGATCACATTACAAAAATTGTTGGATAACTTGGCCATTTAGGGCAGAGGTCTATTCTCAAAGTAGAGTTGCTAGTTCTCTGTGTACAGAATGACTTCAAATTTCATAAAATCAGATGAAAATTATTGTCTATAGGATAGATAAAGATTGCATGATAATTGTTGTCTCTAGAGTGTCAACAAAGTTTCGTTACCAGGTACTCCATAATGTCAAGAGGTATAATTGATTAAAATTAATGAGATTCTTTGCTTTTTGCAGTTAGGTAACCAATAAAAATTTCAAAGAGATTGATTGATAATTGTAGCCTTTACAGTGTTAACATGACACTGTTCAAAATTTGTAAGCCTCATCCTCTGATATGGCCAATCAACTTACACAAGTTTAAAAACAAAAAAAGGATGATAAGTGGACCTTCAGAGTCTTTACAAGGTTTCATTACTAAGGTGCATATCATAGACAGCTAATTTTGTTAATCATTGGATATCAATGCATTTGTTATTCATTAGTAGAGCATAACATCCATTTCCACAGAGGGTGAAAAGGCAGACAATTGGTTCTTAAAAAGTCTTGTTAATAATGGAAGCGTTCACAGTGTTTTCTTTACAAATGTTAACTTTAGAAACTTTGAAAATCAATAGGAATCTTATTCTTCTTTCATAACCAAGCAAGCTATATAATTTCAAAAAGCTTGCTTTACAACTGTGATCTGAAATGAGTCTTAACAAAGTTTTGTTTCAGAGAGAAAGAAATAGGGTTTAATGTACACTCGACACAAACTAGGTCTTTTCAGGACTAACACAGATTAATTTTATTTCAATAATTTTCTTGCCCATAGTGGTCCTTAGCAGTGGGAGGAAACCAGAGGACCCAGAGAAACCCCATTAGGTTGGACAGAAGATCACATGCTGGGAATCAAAACCATGTCACTAGAATTATTCCTCTGATATTTAAGAAAAATAAACAGGAGTAACAACAATATATGACCACATTAAAATGTATCTGTAGAAATAGGTTTGACTAAAACAAAATGTGATTTATTTTTTAATTTTGTGGATAATGATGATTTTTGAAATATTGTATGTTTTTATCATGTTTCAGAGAAATTTGTGTATAAAAGGAAGAATAGTTGAACTATGCCACGTAGCAAAAAGAGAGGTAAGTTCTAGTGCTGAGCGTTTTTTCTGACCTTTGAATTTGTTTATTTTCATAGTGAAAGGCGCAAGAGCATCTTAAAGACACTGTAGGAAAATGTATTTCTTTAGTATTCTTTAGACAAAGTCCAACAGCTGTTAGGGGTATACATGCAGGTCTGTCTCTATAGATCAATTAAATCATTATTGAATGAAAATAAATACTTATAAGAACAGGTAATTTAATTGACATGTTAACCTTTTAAACCCAGAATCATATATCCACTTGATTATATTGATGAACGCTTTTACATGACTTGGGTGTCAGAGGCCATAGAATCGAAAAGAAGTGCATATAATTTTATGTGTAATGTCTTGTTGATTGTTGATCAGTAACAGCCTTGAGTGTCAACTGCTCTGAAAGAAAACACCAAGAAATGGTATGGCATTTAATGTTTTCACTACAATAAAATATGTCGCAAAACCCCAAAATGTGTTGGTTAGATAATAAGCCTGGGCCAGTTTAGCAATGCAAGTGATTCCATGCTTATAACTGATATTTTATGTAGTGTAGCTATATTTTGGCACCAAACTGGTATTGAGTCGTTCTTTAGCGCAGTAGAAGTCCCCTTTCTGCTGGCATCATTGCACTTGTTTACGATTTTGGGGTCTATTTAGAAGATAAATAATAATAATAGAGACATTTATATCAGGATGTAATCCATATCACATATACATTCTGGTACGATTTGGTGTGCTTGGATGCGATATGGTCATGACTGGTCAATTTCCGGTGACACGATCTGTCACAATCTGGGCTCCTATGGAGATACGATCAGATACATTTTGGAGGATAGTCCCTATTGAGTCCATGATCTGGTATGTTTGGATACATTTTGATACATTTTAATACAATCATCAGGAACCGATGCACTCTTTTGCATTAGGATACAATTGTGGTTAAAATGTCTTTCACGATCGGGATCAAAAGTGATCACGATTTCAGGAACGATTGGACCCTGATGGCTATATATACAGGCCGACTAACCATGGACTTCATTGTTTCCTAAACTTCTACAGAGATCGCAGTGCATCTTGATGCTAGGTTCCCACTATCACAATTAGCCGTGGAGTAATCGTGGTGATTCTATAAGGTCTGATCATATCTTGTGGCCAGTTATGGCAATTGTGTTGATCATAGAAAAGTGTTGGATGGTTCAAAAGTTTCTACAATTAAGACGATTAATTGTCAATTGTGATCATCTCACCAGATCGTATTGGATCGTAACAAAGTGCGGCAGATCACATCTAATCGTGCTTACAAATCGTGGTGATTGGGATTAGAATTGGACTAGGCAAACACCACGCCCTGTTGAGATGCACTGACACAAATGACTCATGAACAGTTACGAGTTGATACGAGTAGTCACGCTTTTCACAGGCGCTCACGGCTTCGCGCCCGTATATATAGACACTACATCGACTTGATTTTGCTAGTAAATTTTTACACCTTTGAGAGATGCCACCTAAGGCTACCAGAGGCAAGACGGGGCAGTGAGGAGAGGGTTACCTCTGGAGAACTGAGTAAGTATTATCTCCCCTAATAACAATTGCAATTTCAATTCATTTCACATTAACACAATATACTTGGAGATATACTTACTAGAAATAATAATATTTCTAAGGAGAGGTTCCCTCACTTTCTCTCTTTCAGAAGACCTGCAGGTGGAATTTGTGTCCAGTAGCCCCCATTCCAGTTCCATCAGGCCCTGTGGCAGCCTACACCCACCTGGTGGGTGCCTCACCCTGTGTCTGGGGTAGTCAGGATCAAAGTTATGTCCAGCGACTGTTCTCCACACTCCCGATGACCATTCCATTACCACCAACCAACCAACCACCATCAGGACCCCCAGGTGGCAGAGCCACCACCACTTAGTACTATGACCACCACTGCGCTATCCTCCTCTTTTGCTACATGGCTCCTTGATCAGCCTGCTTGGAGCCAGTCTGCCAGTTGCCGGCAGTTTTAACCTCTTCTCCCAACGCAACACCCCCGGTCCATTTGCTGAAGATGATGATGACATATACCTGACCGACAAGCAGACCCCCCGGATAGCCAGTTGAGACTCATTGTGGCAGAAGTCACCCTCAGAGACAGACAACTTAAAGATAGGTTCCCAGAAAAGTATTTATCGGGTGGTTATTTCCAATAAAAGTATTGAAATTTTGGTATATATGGAAAGTAGAGATATCCAATCTTACTAGAAAAATACTGGATTCCCTGAAAAACACCCATGGAGCCTATACAGGACAAAAATGCAAGGGTTCCCCTAATCGACAGCCCGACAATTAGGAATATCTGCACGCGTGACGTCAAAGGTTGCACGCAGAGATTGAGCACTTGATGTACACTTTATGAAGAGTTAGACGTACAACACTTCCTGAGATAAAAATCACGGAAAAAGACACGGGCAGTGGATAATCCGAGAATTTAATTAGGATTTGATATTTGTAATAAATAGTCGGAGATTAAAGACAACATTGTCTTGTGTATGCAATGAATTCTCCTCCGACTTTGCACCCGTAAGTCATGTGACACAAACATGACCTCTTTTGATCGATTTTTCATAGCAAGGGTATTCCTTGACAATTACAATGTTTTGAGAAGGATCTGATGCAAATTTATGATAAATTAATTAGTTTGAATAGGTTTTTAGGTCAAATATATCATAAAATCACCCAGTTTGTACACCGGAATGTATCTTTAATGGACCTTTTTAGGGTTACCAACTTCCCAACAAAAGAACATTATGTGATTATTACAAAAAATAAAATAAATAGAAAAATAAAAAGAACATTAAGTTGTTTTGATCCCCTGTTTGATTCTAATAAATCATATACCCCCCAAAAATTCAGATTTAATATAGATTTGAAAAACAAGGCATATGATACACTATGTGAATCTGAAAAAACAGAAGCAATTTTATTTGACCAACTTCCTTATATCAAGAGGACATTAACCATATCCTCTTTTCAGGTTTCATTACATCCTCGGGAACTGGAACTGGCAGTCTAGCTGTTGTTGAGGACGGTCCTATCGTACCATGGTACCAATATCATCTCCAACTAGGAATTGGTGGAGTCAGTGTTTTGGGTGGTCTTTCAGTCGGCAGCGGCATCATCATTGCCACTATCTCAATTTGCTACTTTACCGTCGTCTCCACCATCTGCATAATGCATTCCGCCTATCCTTTCCTGCCATTTGACTGCACCTTGTGGTCCTGTAGCGGAGTGGGAGGTTGATCTACATCTGCCAAGTCCACTTGGTCCAACTATGTCCCTGGGATGACATTTGTGGTTTTCATCACCATGGTCCGTCTCTTGTGCTACAATGCCTGGATGCCTCTGCCTCTGTAGGTTGTGCAGAACTACTGCCACCTACTCCATATCCTTCACAGTGTTGGGCTTATCCTCTCCTCTCGCGACATCCCTCTTCTGCTGTATGGCTTCATGAGGTAGTTCCTGAGTGCAAAGGCATCATCCCCCAGGTTGAAGAGGGGCATGTCATGGTGGTCATCAGGGCTTGCAGTCAGTGGGCTGGTTGCGATAGTCCTAGGGCTTCCTCTTCCAAACTATTGACATGAACATATGACATGTGTCCTTTTCCACCAAGCTTCTTATACTGAGCGAGCTTGATTTCCTTATAGTTTGCTGGCTTATAGTGTCACAGGCTGATCTAGGCGATGTTTCCGTATATGTTAATAAGTCACTAAAAATGCAAAAAATCACATTAAAATTTCAAAATTTTCTTGGGGCACAAACCCGACGCCTGAAGCTTTCCAAGCCTGCAGCAACACCCGCTCGCTTTGCTTCGTTGTCGGGACTTCGTCCCTCAATTATCAGACCCCACACTTTGGAAACTGATCCGCGGCCTCTGATCTGTCACTCTTTGTTACGATCCAATGCAATCTGAAGCAATGATCATGACTGACAATTAATTGTGTTGATTGTAGAAATTTATTTTGAACTGTCCAAAACTTTTCTAGATCAACACGATTGCTACAACTGACCTCAAGATATGATAAGCCCTGATAGGATTACCACAATTACTCCACGATTAAAACTTAGATTTCAATTGTAGCACGAATCATGATAGGGGGAACCTAGCATTAGAGCAGGATGGGTTTGGGATGAGAGAAGGACTGTGAATGTGATGAAACTTCTTAAACATAATAGAGAATTTTATCTGAACACAACTGTGAAATTCAGAATATTTTAACAGACTTGATCACCTAGAATAATATACAAATAAAATGTCAACAAGTAGATCATTACATTGAAAAATCTGTTTAATTTGATTGACATTGATGAAATGATTTACATTTAGTCTGGACTATGACTTTCAATTAACATATAACGATCATGCAGGTAGTCAGGGCTCTGTGTGTTTACTTGATTTAAACCCTGACTGATTATTTTATTGTCTTCAAACATCAAATAATGATTACATGAAGCCTTCTATATATTTACCAAGCTAATTGACAGATGACCTCTCAGATGTCTAGTCCAATTCTTACAGCTATTATCCCCCAACAGACTGACAACCCCATGTATGTAAAATATGTTGATATTATTAAGACCAGAAGAATAGACATGTCATGTACTTATTGTTTACATTATATTAATGAGTAAAATCAGTTGGTGTTACCCAGTTTGAATGACCGCCTGTCCAAGACAATGTTGGAAATCAGATGTAAGTGTAGGGTATAAATGTAGAGACAAATGGGGTTATTGCCCTATCTCAGCTATATATAACTGTAATTGCATACTTGAGATGACTTGATAGAACCTTGATAAATTGCTCTCTACTACCCTTGCCCCAACTTAACAAACTTTCTAATCATGACCCAAAGGCTATGTAGATGGCTGTTAAAATTTGCTTACTTATTTTCTATCAGAATTAAACTATAAATCTAAAGATGCGTCTACGGAAAACATGTGATTTTTCAGGCATTTGTAATAGAT